CTCGCAGTGCCACGGACCTCAAATTCTCTCTGTATTTATACTTTGGAAATTTTCCTTATAAGGGAAATCTCCGTTTTGGGAGTAAAATTGCGATCTAAAAAGGAAAAAATCAAAATTCCTGAGCCTGAAATTTGTCTTTTTATTTTTGACCCCCCTGTTCAAATTTCACCCTAAATCAAAATATCAATTTATAGTGTAATTAAGGTGTAATAAAGGTAGTATTAGGCTGGAAAGTGTCTTAAAGTAAGGAATATCGAGTATGGACTCATAATATGACAATAAATCAACAACTATTTAATGATATTCTCTAGTTAGATTCAGTTGGTGTTAAGTTAAGTTGGTATTAGGTTAGTATATATAGGTAGGTAAACCACAAATCAACTTAACACAACTCAATACACAACTCAATACACAATCTGAACACAACTTAACTTATAGTATACTATTATAACAATGATATAGTCTTTATTGAAGGTAATTAGCTAACTGGTTCTTCAATGGGTCTTTTACACTGATTGGTGATGTGTTCTTGGACTATTCGGCAAAGAAAAGGGAAAGACCTCGAATACGCGAGTCTCGGCCTTCTTGGTGATTAGAAAGAATTACCATTTGTAGAATACAACAATCTTGATTAACTGTGATATTAGCAATAGATAGCTTATCACTAATTAATGCTTTCTTAACTGAAACAATGGAGTCTTTAGTCTTACCACAACGAATATCTATCTCTTTAGGAATGTAACTCTTATCTTGAGCATGACCAAGAGTTAGTCTTATCTCTAAAAGATGCTTAATCTCTTCAAACTCAATTTCTATGTGGTGGGGAAGATTTCCATCCGTATGCCAGTACTTCTCCAAGTCGTCACTAAACAACTCCTCTGGACCATGGTCTGGTTTGTATGTACTAACCCGAGCTTCCATGCGATGAAAGAAAAACAGCTTAGATTAGTATTGAGTTGAGTTATAGTAAGATAACAAGTAGTAAATAGTAAATGGCAAGTAAGTAGTAAGTAGTAAAGTAGGTATTAGGTAGTAAGTAGCAAGTAAGATAACAAGTAACTAGTAAGATAACAAGTAGTAAGTAGTAAGATAACAAGTAAATAGTAAGTAGCAAGTAAATAGTAAGTAAGTTTACGTTAAGAACGATTTATTGCCGGGTGGTTTTAGGGGCAGAGATTGGAGCGGGCGATAGAGATGGCATCGGGATTGATGCAAGTACTAATATCACCGACTTCTTTGCCTTCCAATAGGCTGCGCAGCACTCGGCGCATCATTTTGCCCGTACTGGTTTTAGGAAGTTCTGGGCACGTAATGATTCGTTTAGGAGCTACTACTGCTCCAATCTTCTTCCGGAGAGCTTGTTTTATCTCGACGGCTAGGGCTTGGTCATCTTTCTCCGTGGTTTTGACCACAAAGATGCACACACTCTGCCCAGTTACTTCATCTTCTTGGCCTAAAGCTGCTGCTTCAGCAATACCTGGAACCGAACAAACTGCACTTTCAATTTCTGCCGTACTTAATCGGTGTCCAGAAACATTGATGACGTCATCAACTCGGCCTCGAATCCAAAAGTAGCCATCTTCATCACGACATGCTTCATCACCCGTATAGAAGTGACCTGGATAGGGGAAGTAAGCACTTTCATACCGCTCATGGTTCTTAACAATAGTTCGAGCAATACCCGGCCAGAATCCTTTAAAGACTAGTAGGCCATTCACACCTACTCCGGGCTCTTCTTCTAACTTATCTTGGTTCTTCTTGATAATCAAGGGCTGCATCCCAAAGAAAGGGAAAGAAGCACTTTCTGGTTTAGGTAGAGTCACATCAATTAATGGAGATAACATAACTCCACCCGCTTCAGTTTGCCAGTACGTATCAATTAAGGGCAACTGGCCATTACCAAAGAACATACTAAACCAAACATAAGCTCCTTTGTTAATCGGTTCGCCTACTGAACCAAGCACTCGTAAAGAAGATAGATCAATTTGACGCAAAAGTGAATCAGCGGGATACTCCTTGGTGTACCGTTCTGAACAGAAGACACCCGTGATTCCGTGTGAGAAAATAGACCGAGTACTAGCCGGTGAGTCTGGAACGTGATCAACTGCCGGAGTTAAATCATCAGTTGATTCACTTAAGTCCATGGGCCGCACTAAGTACGTCGGTAAACTCTTCTGGAGAAGTCTTACGACCGTTGGGGCCGTATAAAGATGGGTAGCTCGATGTCTAGCTACGGACCGGAAGAGTCGCAAAGGATCAGGGAAGGTCGGAATACCACTGAACACTACTGTAGTTGCTCCTAAGACCAAAGGGCCATAAAGAACATAAGAGTGTCCAGTAATCCAACCCAACTCAGCCGTACAGAAGAACACATCGTTCTCTTGTACGTCAAAACATACTAAGGTAGTTAAAGCTGCATACAAAAGATACCCAGCTGTACTATGGGATAAACCTTTAGGCCGGCCCGTACTCCCACTTGTATAAAGATGGAATAGAACTGATTCGGCTGGAACACTAACACAAGGTCTATCCCTGTTCAGTTCTGGGGACTCCATATCTAGTTCAGATAATAAATCAACCTTAATCTTATCTCTTAATTCCTGAACAACAGTACTATCTCTTGTACTAACTGACTGGTCACAAAGAAGTACACCACGTAAGGAAGGACTCTTCTCACTCAGAACAGTTGTAACTGCAGCCACTACATTGGGCAAGTACTCAATAGTCCGACCCCCACGCTGTGTCTTATCAGCCGTAACTAGCCAAGTTGCATCTGAGTCTTCAATACGTAAAGCTAAACTATCCGAACTAAACCCGCCAAAAACTACTGTATGGGCTACTCCTAAACGAGCACAAGCTAAAGAAGCAATCAAAGCCTTAGGCTCCATAGGCATGTAAAGACAAACAGTTTCACCTTGTTTAACTCCACTTTGGACTAGATAGTTAGCAAATCTAATAACGGCTGTTTTTAAATCGGCGTAGGTTAGTTTTTCGGTCTTTTCATCGTCAGTTTCATGAATAATTGCTATTTTATCTGGAGTTACTTCGGCATGACGATCAACTGCATTATAACAGGCATTAAGCTCTCCATCGGCAAACCAAGTGATTTGGGTTGGCGAACTTTTGATATTCATAACCTCAGTAAAGTCTTTAGTGAAACTTAGCAGAATTCGAGCTTGTTCGGCAAAAAAGGCCTCTTTTGCTTCTAAACTACGTTTATGTTCACGGTAGTAGTTAGCACGAAGGTGTTTGCCATGTTCAAATACGCTTTTCATTACAGAGTGGAAATCCGAAAAATAAATAGGCCGGAATTGCTAATTGGTTCATTAACTAGCTCGTTTATTGGATTAGATTGGTATTGGATTAAGTTTTAGATGAGTATTAGATTGGTTTGGCTTGGATTGGTGTGTGTTGGCTTGGGTTGGGGTTAAGTGGAGTTAGAATTAAACGGGAGATGATTAAATTGAAATCGGTTTAGGATTGTATTGTATTGGGTTAGTATTGGATTGTATTGGATTAGTCTAGTTTGCATTTAATATTGTATTGGATTGAGTTGAATTGAGTTGGGTTGAGGTGAGTTGTATTGGATTGGGATGGATTGAGTTGAGGTGAGTTAAGTTGAGTTGGTATGGTGGTGGTATAGTATGATAGTGTGGTATTGAATTGGGTTAGTGTGAACTTATCTGTTGAATAATTGGTAGAGAGTGGGGACGGAAGAGATGCAGATGGTGGGGATGGGAGTGGGTGGTGATTGTTGTAGAATGCGGAAGAGATGGGTGGGATGGGTTTGGATGAGGTAGGTGGTTAGGGCTGAACAAATGAGGAAGAAAGGGTTGGTGAGATGGGAGGTAAGAAGGGGAGTAGGGAGGGCTTGGAGGAAAGGGAGAAAGTCGGTAGGGGAGAAGAGAGTGGCTAGATCAGGGGTAGTATTGGATGGATTGGTGGGTGGGAATGGTAAAGTAGTAATAAAGTGGTTTTGAAGAGTAATCTTATTCTTGAAGAGGAGATCTGTATTCTCGGGTTGGGTTAGGATGGGGATAAGGGTGGCGGGAATGGGTAGGGAGAGAGGAATAACATTGGAGGAGTTGGGGAGATTGATCATGAGGTAGGAAAGAGTGGCGGTGTAGATGTTGAATGCAAGGAGATTAGCTTCTTTTTGGAAGAGCATCCATTCGGACGAGATAGGACCGACTAGAAGAGCGCCTTTGAGAGAATGGGTGGCGGGAGTACAGGTGGAGGAAGAGCAGGAAATTTGGGAAGTAGAGGGTAGTTGAGTAGTTTGTAGAGGCTGAAGGGTTGCCGGTGGATATTGGCCGGGTGAGGATAATGGGATCATGGGGTGTGAGTCAACAGTAAAGATAGTTGTGGTCTGGATTGGATTAGTATTGCTGTGAATTGGATTAGTATTGCTGTGGATTGGATTGGTATTGCTGTGAGTTGGTGTGGGAGTGGATGGAGTAGCGGTGGGTTGGGGTGTGGATGGAAGTTTAGGTCTTTTGGGGGAGAGGAAGAGATTGAGGGGGAGAATTTGGCTGTCCGTTCTTATCTTTTTGGAGGGAGTTGATGGTAGAGGGCGACTGTCATGTTGTGATGGGTTTGGAGTGAGTTGAGTGGTGGTAGGATTGAGTTGGGATGGGGTGGATTTGGAATTGGAATTAGGAGATTGAATGGAAGAATTAGAGTTAAGTAATTGGGAGGACATTAGATGTTTGGATTGAGATTTGGAGGGGGTTATATTCTCTTTTTCCGACTGAATTGAAGTTGATTTGGACTGGCCTGTCAACTTTTGGTTTTGAAGGGTGTTTTTGATTTGAACCAGAATTGTATCGATTAAACTGTCTTCTTGGCTTAGATGAACTTCGGTTTTAGAAGGATGAACGTTGACATCTATTTGAGCCGGGGGTACGTCTATTTCAATATAGACAAAAGGATGACCTTTAACTAGTACTTCTTTGTAGAGACTTACTAGTGCTCGTTTGAGTTTGGGTAGTTCAACTAGTCGTTGATTAACAAAGAGGATAAATACTAGTGAGTTAAGCACAAAATTAGCATGCGTAAATGCCCCAATGATTCTAATTTCAGCCTGAGTTGTTTCAAAGGGAATTAGACCGTTCTTTAGCTTGTAAGAAAAGACTTGGGCAATAGCAGCTATCTTGGTAGTAGGAAGTGGCTGATTATACCGCTGCCGGTTAAGACCTAGTTCAATTTCAAAAACAACTTGTTGATAACAAATAGAATATCTCATAACTAAAGAGTAGATCTTTTTGATTTCTTGCTTATTGTAGGCAAACTGGTCTCTCTTAATGGGGTCATTAAAGAAAAGGTCAGTTATCATTAGTTTAGTGCCTGGTAAGCAAGATACTTCTTTTTGACTTACTAAACGAGTATTATCATAAACCAACAAATGACCTAAACCAACTCCTACTGAAGTTTGGACACTAACTTGTGCTAAGGAAGAGATAGAAGCCAAGGCTTCTCCTCTAAACCCCAAAGTTCCAACACTTTCTAAGTCCTTGTATGAACTCAACTTACTTGTTGCATGGCGCCGACATAGCAAAGGAGCATCAGCTAGTGCAATACCCGTGCCATTATCTTCAATTTCAATCTTATCCACTAATTTGTCAGTTAAACTAATCCGAATAAAACTCGCTTTCGCATCTAAACTATTCTCAATCAACTCTTTAATACCAGCTGCCGGGGACAAAACTACCTCCCCAGCCGCAATTTTAGCTATCACTTCACTAGGCAGTGCTTGTATAGTCATAAATATTTTGCCAGATGATATAGTATATATCATGTTTCTTCCTATATACTAACCTCTTCCTTAATACCAACCCACTCCCTACTCACCCCCATCATTATTCCAAGTAAGCACTTAATTTCTGCCCATTACCAATCCAACTACTAACCCCAGATTAGTATTTTAGCAATTAACAACTAGTTCTTGGACCTAACTACATCCAGCCATCTTTATTCTTGATTAGAAAGTGATTCACCCATTTCATACACCCATCTAAACCTCTTATACCACAAGGACAATTTTGATGTTTTAGCTTAGCATTAAGTTGGGTTTAGTTGGTGTTGAGTTGAGTTGAGTTGAGTTGGTGTTAAGTTTGGATTGAGTTAGTTTAATATTAGGTTGAGTTAGGATTAAATTGGTTTAAGATTAGGACAGTATATTATAAGACAGCATAGTTTAGTCTACTACACACATCCTTACATAATCTAACTCTAATGTCGTAATACAACTACTACCTAATACCATCTTAATACCAATATGATTACTACTCACTACTACACTACTCACTACTACACTACTTAGTAGTACCAAACTAATATCAATACCAATCTAACACCAACCCAATATGACGTCATCTTATTTCAACTCACCCTTACTAACCCAATACTAAACAGCCTCAACACTTATCTCAAGTACTATCTTTAATAGAATACGTATTATGTTGGTATTGAATTAGGATTGAGTGCTACGCTACATTACACCACCAAACCCAACACCAACACCAACATAACCCAACCCAATACCAACCTAACTTAACGTAACTCATTTATTGCCTACACAAACTATCACAGATATATCGCAAAAGAATATCATTCTCCACAATCAATCGTTTGTACTGCTGCTGCATATCTTGCAACTCAACCTCTCTCTCCTGCTGTAGCTGCAGTAGATAAGACATCTTCTTTATATAAACACTCTCAGTAGCTGCTAACTGTTCGTGCGTCTTAGTATGTTTACTCAATGCATCCGACCGACTGTACTCCTTGTTGCACAAGTTGCATTTGAATGGCTTTTCACGAGTATGAATACGAATGTGTGTCAATAAAGTGCAACGACTGATCTTCTTTTCAACCATTCGCGTGCAATCTTTCCATTGACAAGTCTTAGTATTCGAATCTTGAACATGACTATTAACATGCATAGCAAACTCCTTTTGATCGCAAAATGTTTCACCACAACTATTCCACTTACACTCCATACTAAGAATTTATTTTCGCTACTTATCTCTATCTCTGTTATTCGCCATAATATGCGGCTAAAGGATAGTTGTAAGTAAAGGTTTTGGCTTGATTTGGAGTGGTTTGAGAAGTAGTAGTAATAATAGTTCTATTAAGATTAGTAGATAAATCTTGTAATTGTTGGTTTTGAAGTTCATTGAGTTCTTCTTTAGCAATCAGTGCTAGATAGTTCTTCTCTAGACGAATGAGTTTGTAAAGATTAGATAGTGAGGATGGAGAGTAAGAAGAAGTACGTTTGGGATTATCTTGTCGAGCAATCTTCTCTTCTTCGGCACTGACTACTACTAGTAAGTGGTCGTGGCTGAGCAGTAGGTCTTTGATAGTAGCTATTTCGGTATGGACACGGTAGATGCCGAGTGTAGGTGAGTGGAAGACTAAAAGGTTGTGCAAAACATAGATATGGCCTGGAATAAGGATTTTATCTTGGCTAGGACAGGTTATGATTGGGCTGGCATTGGTTTCTGTTCCGGAAAGAGAAGGTACGTACTGAGTTGGTTCTTCGGCGACTGTATGTTCGACTGGTACGACTTTAGTTGCTCTGGTGAGTAGGTAGATGGTTTGACGAGCAGTTTTAGCGGCAATATCAAAAATAACAATAGATACGGGTGTAGTGTAGATAAGATATCCTAAAGAACTGACTTTGAATTCTAAAACTGGCTGATTAGTTGTACATAAGAAAGTATTAGCTAAAGAATCACAATCAGTTAGTAAAAAAGTACCATTAACCGCTAAAGATACAATCAGTTCACCACTAACTGGTACTATTTGCGATACGGGTTTTGAATGCCACTTACATGGCTTAATTGTCTTGGTTAGCAGATTAACCACTAAAAGTGTGCCATCACTCAGAGCAATAATTGGACTACTCTCCGTATGAGACAGGGCAGTGACCTTTAAGTTAGGGAGACGTAGAACTAACTCTTCTCCGGCCTTATCTAAACTTTGATAGTAAAGATTGTTATCACGATAGTAGTAGCAAAGATTCTTATAGAAGTAAAAAGACTTATTAAGAAGATACTCACTATCACTACTCTTCTTACACAACTCAATGCTTATCTTTTTGTTCGTTTTTGTTTGTTTGCTTATCTTTCTTATCTCTAATTGACCATTACGGATTCGATACTGATAAACTTCTTGATTGTACCAGTAAACTTCCCAACTTTTATCAAATGTAGCAATAGTAACTTGGTTAAACTCATCGATCATTTCGCCATTGTTAAGTCTAATTAGCTGATTATCTAGAGTTTTGTACTCTCCTACACCTCTTGGAAGGCTTTTTAGAACACTACAGTCTTCAATTTGCCGTACTTCTACTTCTGATCTATCAATTAATACAAAAGTGCTATCTAAAAGGCCAATTGTAGCCACCTCTTTAAACGATTCCATTAAAAATTTGTCAATTCCGCGAAAAATGAAGTTTACTACGGCAAATTCTAACGTAAATGAGGGCCCAGAAGAGGCTCTAAGGGGGGGGTATTGGAGGGCCTTAATGACCGAATCTATTGAAGGTTTAATTGAAATAGCTCAACAAGCTGAGCTGGAAACGACTCTTATTAGCGATCAGGTCCATAATTTAGCCTTATCTAATGCCATTAGAATTGCTTTGCAGCGCGAGGACTACAGTACGTGTGCTGAGATATTAGAGATGGTTGATGAAAATGAGTTACAGGAGGCACGTTTGGAGTACTTAGAACAGACTCAGCAGAGTTTACCTGCTATCTTTTTGATCAATCAGATACTGCAGAATGAACCACAACTACTCTTGCTTAGAAAACGAGCCCAATTAAGAGCAGGACACGGTTTGGTCTTAGAAGAACCGGAAGAGGATGTTAAAGTAGAGAGATTAGAGGATGATTTGTACGTAGTCTTCTGGGAGCTTTTCCAATGGATTAGAGCTAAGAAGATTGGGCGGGTGGCGGCTGTGAGTCTAGTAGGTCGGGAAAGAAGCGAGCCGGCCTGGACAGCAACGGTAGTGGGATGGGCCAAGCAGGAAAAGTTGCCCATGAACTATTCTGAGCCTAAGATAAGAATTGTTACTGATACGCGCAGTGAACTATCCCCATCAGCTTACCATAATTCAAAACAAGTAAATTATGATAGTTCAGGCGGTTTAGACGCGGGTTTAGATAAAGTTACTCTGCCGACTATGGAATGTGCTGTGAAAGTACTGGATCGGTTTTCAAGTATTTGGCAAGGGGATCTTTTCTACTTGGCCGAGGAGTACTCGTTTTATATGGCTTACTTGGTTATTTTAGATTATGTTGCTCCGAATATGCTGACTAGTCGGATTGTTGAGTTTGTTTATCGGCACTTATGGCTGAGTAAAGTATTGGGTGGGTGCAATGAATACTCGCACTTGGAAATCAATGATTGTCTTGATCGTGTGGTAAGGAAGCTTTCTATGTGGGCTTGGCAATCAGGACGAACTACTGCTGAGATTTTGCATAAGGTCCGAGTGCCTCCTCCGAATCGGCCGCACAGTACTGAACAGATGGCTTTAGATGGACTTTTACGAGGGTACTTGGTGGCGGAAGTATCTGGTGGACATATTTTTGAGCTGATTCTGCGCAACCCGTTCTTTGATATTCAGCCTAACTCGCTTTACTTCCGGGTCTTAGAGAAGGCTATGGCAGAAGCAGATGCCAATATAGCTTTACTTTGTATTGCTGTGATTAAGAACATTTCAATTGCGCGGTGTAAAGAGATATTTTGTCAGTGCTCTTCAGTTGCACAATCATTTTTCTTATCTGGATTGTTAGATAATCCTTTGATAAGTGTGGCTGATAAGTTGTTTTTCTTTCTAGGAATTGCTGCTCCGGTTAGGGAGATGTTTACTTATAACAATGCAGTGAATTTATTAGCTATTTCTCCTAAAGATACGCACTTATCTTTCTTTGCCCATTTTATCAGGCCGCGACATTTAATGGTGCCAAATACGATCTATAACTTTGATAAGAAGAAGATAAACTTATCGGAAAGTCAATTTATTCGAGCTTCAGAACTGATCAAAAAGTACTTGAAAACTCCCCAAAGAATGTACTTATCTCTTCTTAATTGTCACAATCCGCTGTATACACGTATTCTAGCTGTCTTCCTTTATAAGAAGGAGTATGAAGCTGCTTTGGCAATTAGGCCGTTTGACTGTCGCATTATAGCTGAGTACATTAAACACTTACATGCCCAAATAGTCTCTTCTAAGTACGAGAAGAAGAGTTCTTTAGTACTAAGTTATGAGCTGTGCAAGAAAGTCGCTAATCTATTCATTCTTGGTATGTACAATAGTCAGCAGCTGGAAAGTGTTGAGTTACTAGGATCGGTACTGAATGAAGGTTTATCTGTGCTCTTGTCTTTAGAACTTCCATTGAAGAAGAAGGACTACAAACAGTTTAAGGAGATTCCTAACCCTAAACCGACCTTTTTACTGATGAGGAAGGCACTTAGTGCTCTTCGGGCCCAATGTCATATCTATCCGCCTTATATTTTGGAAAGTGCTTACCAGGCCTATGCTCGTAAGACTAATCAACTAGTTGTTTATCCTAACTCGGGCTTTTCGGCCAATCTTGTATCTCTATCTAATCCACCGACTACTAAGTCTGAGAAGAAGCGGCGTAATAGTTTACTGAACTATTCTAGCACGAACTATACTTGGTTTCTTCGTTATGATTTATGGCGGATTTTGTCTTTTAATGGACCTCTCACTGATGTCTGTGTTAATGTTATTTACTATTGTATGCGACAGCTATCTTCCCTATCTTTGGTGGAGTTTGATTATTTAGTGCAACTTCGTTTACAGCGTTTAGGCGATCAGTTTTGGCAAGTCATTCTTATGGATACTGATTCGAAAAGCGTGCAAACTAAGATCTTGCAACAGACGAGTGTTGAGCAGATCTATGCTCAATATGTGGAGTATCTAGTGAATTTAGAGGAGGACGTATCATTCTTTTTGTTCCATATTCTTAAGACGTATCAAGATCTGTCCAAAGACCAAGTTGAAGATATTATTGATAAGATGTTTTTTGATAGTTCTGGGAAGATTATTTGTGGGTTTACTTGCTGGATTCCAAATCTCTCTGTAACTCGGCGCCGAGAATACTTTGACTATTTATTTGCGCATCTAACTCAACACAACCCCAAACTGCTCAAAGAAATCAAAGGTGAGCTAAGAAAACAAGGCTTCGTTATCGAATGAGTTGGGTGGAGTTGTGTTGTGTTGTGTTGTGTTGTGTTGAGTTTGGTGAATCTTTCATTATATTCAGTTGATGGTTTACCAGATTGAGTAATTTAGTATTAAATCGGATTAGTTTCTGTTTTTGGATAGCTTTTTCTTAACTATTTCCTTATTGGGCAATTTTTTGATTAAACAAACTCAGTCCAGTCTAAACTAACTCAATTCAAACTAATAGAGTTGCTTTTCGTATTTAGAATTTAGACTTACGTTGGCAACCGTAGTGTATACAAACAAACCCTACCTTTTACATAAGGCTTCCCCTACTGATCGTTATGAAGTGGAGGCCCTCGGAAATCCGTTCCATGGAGGAGGAGACGACTACCCCGACCAATGCTAAGCAAACCTACCTTGAAAACCTTATCTCTGGAATTAGCATCCGCAAAGACTTTAGTAGTGAAAGTATCTTTGCCGGGGCAAATACTAATGAAAAACGGTCCAATATCAGGCCGGTTGTGCTTGTATCCTTTTACAGCAACGAACTAGTCCAAGCTCCGTCTGAAATGGCTTCGCCTAATCATTCGTTTTTTACTGATAAGGTCATTTTACAAGTTGGCCAAGACAGTTCCGGCATTCTATTTAACGACCTCTCTTCTGCCGTCAAAGAGAGTCTCCGAGCCGAGAAAGCCATTATCCAGTGGCTTGACGAACAAAAATGTCCACCTAAGAGCACCGTCTACCTTACGACCGAAACTCAGTCCTTCTTCGTTAGCAAAATCCGCTTACTAGGCGAGATTCTCAAGGCCCAGCGCAAGATAGAGCGAGCCCGAATGTATCGCACCCTAACCGCTCAAAAACCGCTTGAAGCTTTCATCAAGAAACTCTGTACACTCAAAGTCCTAGGCGATCGAGCCGAGTTCAATCGCTTTACCAATTTCCCCGCCAAGTAAGTATCTACTAATATATCCACCAAATCATTAACTTACTCCAACTATTCCTACCCCTAATACCTGTCACAATAAAGCACATTTTGGTTTACACAGACTAACTCAATACTAACCCAATAAGCAAAACATCAAATCAAACACATATACCAATTTATATCATATTCACTAACACCAAAGCCCATCTCTAACGACCACATTCCAAACTAACTCGACTCAACTCACCCAACACAAACTCAACCTAACTCAACACAACCTAATACCAACTCAACACAACCTAATACCAACCCAACTCAACTCAACTCAAACCCATCTTATTTCCATCGAACTAACATCGACATAATGGGGGCTCCAATCAAATTTAAAGCAATGATAGTGAACAAGTTCTCATTCAAGCCTAAAGTCCGCTGTGCTAAAGAAGAAGCACTGCCCAGAGGAATTTGAATAAGCATTGTAAACAACCCCAATCCACGGCATCCCAAGCAATCATCAAAAATATACTCATGTACTATCCCACTGACTAAAAACACTATTATCTTACTCATCCGCAAACTAATATTCCGTTTCAAAAAGGGCCGATGCACATGTCTCTTCACCCAGTTATGCACCATGAAGTTCCAAGCTCGCCAGTACTCTACTGTACTACAGTCCCACCAACTTCCAAAGAATTCCTTATCAGCAAATCCAGTCAGTTCTCCCTGTAACCCAAAAAGAGCCACAAATACTAGCAAGAAAGCAGCCAGCCAGCCAATATTAACCCACATTACTACGTTCACATAAGTAAATAGCCGAGGAAAGAGATAAAACTCAGCATAAGCAATACCTCCTCTAATTACCAAAGCTACATAAGACAAAACACTTAAAGGCATCAACATCAGCCCATAAATCACCACATGAAGTTTAGAAATCTTAGCGGCATAAGGATAACTTTCTTGATAACAAAAAGTCGGATAGAGAATAAACTTCCATAATTGTGTTTTACATTTAAGTCCCTCTATCTCAGTCCGTTCTAAACTCTGGTCTAACTCTTCCTGTCGCACCAATAAGTAAGAAATACCTTTCATAAGCTGAGTAACACTCAAGTATCGCAAAACAAGTCCTATAAACCCAGTAGTTCGATAGAAACATAACAAAGTCTCTAAAGTCACCCCTAGTCCTACTAGTCCTAAAAAAGAGCGATAAGATAGATTGGCCGGTACCAAACAAACAGCTAGCCATCGTAAAACATTAATTCCCAAAAATACCAACAAAGATAAGCCAGAAAGATCCTCTTCTATCTGATCTTTAATAACCAAAACCACTCCCCAGTACATATCTGAGCACCATATCTTATAATTCGCAACAATCAAGCCAGAAATAAGCCAGGCAATTCCTCCCACTCCTAAGTGTATTCCAGAGAGTACTCCATTAGACTTACAATGGACTAATTTACTATGTATACGCCGATCCATAAAAAACTTTGGATGTGTTTGGCATTAACTATTGGATTGGATTGAGTTTAGATTAAGTTTAGATTTGGTTGAGTTGGGTTGGGTTGAGTTGAGTTGTGTTGGGTTGAGTTGGTAGTGAGTGGATTGGATTGGATTTAGTGATGAAAGTATTAAGTTATTGGGTTGGATTGGATAGTTAGTTATTGGATTAGATATAAGTTGAATTTATTTTAGATATCAAATAGGTGTAATACTATTTAGTGTTGAATACTTAAGTTTCTTTTTCGCCTGAATTTACACACAACTTATAAACAGTATTTGGTAATGTTCATCTGATTAATTAAATGATCAATCAAATTACTTGCTAGATATTTATTGATGTTAGATTGGGTTGTCTAGTTTTGATTCGTTAAGTATTTTTGTTTTCTAGGTTTATATTTTGATATGACGTCATCTTTTTTACTCTTCATTACACTTTATCTAATAAAAGTACTACATAATCAGACATTCTTTAAGCAAATTGGTATTGATCAATGAATGCTATCTATTTATTCTTAACTTACTCTACCAATCATGTCTCAACTAGTGGAATATAAATCTTGCTCCTTTCTATCAATTTGTATGACTCTTGCTAATCAGTCAGAACTTGTTAAAGATGACGTAGAATCTATGCCTGCTGTATCAAAAGCTATAGTAGAAAGGGTCATCCAACCCATTGCTTCGTATTTTGAGATTAGTGTGCCTCTTACAATACTACTTGGTGTTCTGGCTGGTCCAGCAGTAATAATGGTAGTTCTCATAGTAGTTCTTGCTCACCGAATGCGATCTAATCAACGCACATCCGAAATGGACACAAGCCAACAAAAAAGCCCCAGCCAATCCCAAGCCGCCAGCGATTCCACTATCAGACTCCAGAAACAACTACAAATTATAAAAGACCTAGATCAATCATCACTCCAGCGCCAGTTAGAACAGCACAAAACCCAATTAGACCAGATCAAACAAAAGACCCAACAAACTCCAGAGGCCCAAGCTCTATTACTAAAACCCAGCCCAACCCCAATACTAACCCAACTATCAACCCACCTAAAAGATCTAGAAATCACCCAAAATCTAATAAATGGCTGGCTAAGAGCCATAAAAGCTATAGAAAGTCAACGAGAACTAGTACTACACCCTGATGCTAGAAAGCAAGTAGCAGAAGCACGACAACAATGCCAGGAAAAGCTAGACAGACTCAACAAGCTAAAAGAAGAAAGCCAAGACTTATGGCAATCACTAGGAAAACCCGCCCTCTCAGGCCAAGTAAACGATATAAGCCAAACACTAAACAGCCAATTAACGCCCCAAGAATTAAAGAACTACGAAGCTTTACTAGTCGAACTAGAACCAAAAGTAGAGCAAGAACAACAAAATCCAAAAGACCCCGAAGCCCTAAAACACCAGTATCAACAGTTGGACGAGGAGCTAATCGAACCAAAAGACTGGCCACTACAGTACCAAGTAAACTACAACATACTAATGAGGCTACAAGGAAACAAACAATCCATAAACCTCTGCCTAGAAGACCTAGAAGCCCTAAAAGTCCAGCAGAAAGAACTACCACAAGATCCAGAGATACGCCAGCAAATAACTGAATTAGAACAGCAATGCCAGGAAAAACTAACAACTATAACGAATCTAGAAAAAGAAGCCAACAATCTGTTAGAAAAACTACCACCCCCACCATCACGAGACTAAACCATCTCAAAGCAAGATCTACACCAGTCGCTACCACCACCAGAGTTAAGCACCCTAACCCAATAAGATGTATTCTCAACTTAAAACAGACAACTATATTGTCTTAGTATCTACTTTGATATCGATTGTATCCCAAAATAAATCTCTACGGTAGAAACAGTCTCTAATTGCCATTCTACTTTCATATTAACTTGGCACAGCTCAACTCAATTCAATCTTCACATAAACCCACTCCAACCCACCTCAACCCAACTCAATACAAACTTATATCTATTTTGGCTTATTTGTTATGTAGATATGGGACTCTTATGTAGAGTTAATAGAGATTCCAAGCAAGAAGTATCTATGAAAGGAGAGCAGATCTTTTGTCCTTTATGCTTAACTAGATCTAAAGTAATAGCCAGAAGAGATACTATCTGGCTATCTCTCTTCACAATCAAAATCTTAGAGGTTAAAAGAATGAAAGTCTACCCAGCCTGTTCTCACTGCTACAACCAACTACCTACTCAATTTATTCTATGTCCAATTTGTAAGTATATCTTACCATCGGTTGATATGTTTTGTTATCAATGCCAAGCCAATCCAGCCTAGCAAATTTTCTTATGCGAAGTGAACCAGACAATCTATTACCACACTCTCGTCGATCAGCCATTAGATTAAAGAAGCACAAAGGCAAAGACTTCAACCGAGAGAAAAGGAAGATGAAAAGAGGAGGACATCGTTTGGGTCAAATAGATACTTCAGTTAAGTCCATTAAATTTGAAGATTAACTTAAGTTATATCTTATTAGTATCTCTTTAGTATCTTATTAGTATCTTATTGGTATCTTATTAGTATCTTATTGGTATCTCATTTTAATAAATAGGCAATTGATTTAGTCTTTTTATCTTATCTAAGTATGTTTTGTTTTTGTTTAGATAAGTTGATATTGAGTTAAGATGGGGTGTGGTTGAATTGGGTTGGATAGAGATAAGATAAGTTAAGATGGGGTGTGGTTGAGTTGATATAAGTTAAGTTGAGATAAGATAAGATAAAACAAGTTGAGATAAGATAAGATTGAGATAAGATAGAGATAAGGTATTTATGTACCTATCTAGTTGGTATCTTATCTTATCTAAACACAACATAACACATAACATAATATATAACTAAATCTAACTCCAATTTAATAGGCCTCATTGATTATCTCGGCTGTTCTGGCTAAGATAACAGCTAGTTCTTGGGCTTGCTGGGGTAGAATAGACCAGCGCTGGATAAGAATGACTTGTAGGAGGCGGCTGGCAGTCGAGTAGAGTTGCGGAGTACGTGCCCATTGCATAAGATAGTTTAAAGCTTGTTTTTGATTAGTAGCCATAGCAGAGATAAGAGGAGATAAATCTGTTTTTTTATCAATATTTTTGATTGCTGATTTTAACCCTTTTTTATCATCAATTTCAAAATATTTGATAGCAGCTTCTAAATAAAAATGTTTTTGCATTAAACTTTTAGCTTGTTCTTTGATAAGATAAGCCTCTCTTTGTTTTTGTTCTTTCATCTTTTCCATAGCTAAAGTATTATCCTGAATGAGATAAAGTGTACCCCCAGCACTAGCCAAGTACTTATCTCCCTCCATCTCTTTAATACTCCAAATCCGATCGTGTTTTGACTCAGCAATCCGTAAGGCTGCTAACTCCTTCTCTTTACTACTATCCCAGACTCTTACTACTCCATCAGCAGTAGCTGTAATAACTCGACTAGTTAAGATAGCTTTGATAACTGAAGTATTATGTTGGTAGATTTTAGTGCAACTACTATCTTTCCATAAACGAACAGTCTTATCAGCCGAAGCACTAAGTAAGATATCATTATTACTATCTAAAGACCAAAGACCTTTTTTATGTCCTGATAAGCTAGGTTTAATAGCACCAGTTAAAGATAAGCAACAAAGATCTTTTTGTTTTGAACTAACTAAGATAGACTTATGTAAAACAACTAAACCTGTTATCTCAGATAGAGCAGGGGCACTAGAAAACAAATGAATAAACTGAGATGGAGTAGAACCAGTACTACTAACTAACTGCCAACCTTTAACTAGTCCATCTTCAAATCCAGCTAGTAAAACATCTTTATGCATAGATAAAGCCGTTACTGCTTTTGAACTAGTTAAATTTTGAGTAAGATTAGATTGCCAAACAAGTTTGTTACTCTTACCACCAGTAAATACATTAATATAACCATCTTTACTACCAGCAAAAACAAAATCACCATAAGAAAATAAGCACAAAGAACACTCCTTATTAGGTGTACGTATAAATTCAGCCGCACAACTCATTATAATTTTTTTAGAGATACCATCAGTAAAATCAAAACTTTTCGTCATATCTAAATAATTTTGCTTAGATAAAACTCTTAACCAACAACTATTAGTAGCCAAAACAACCAACTCATCCAAAACCAAAATATCCGTTATTTCATCATTATCCCCCACCAAACTCAACTCCACCTTAAACTTACCTACTCCAATCTTATCACTCACCTCAATCTTATCACTCACTCCATTCTTATCTCTACTCAACTCAATCTTATCACCACCCAATACTAAACTAACTCCATTCACTACTAAACTAACTCCAACAACAATATCATTCTCTTCCGTACGTAGAACTAACTCTTCTCCTTCACCACCCAAGACTAACCCCAGACCAACCACTACTCCTCCTACTCCTTCAACCTCTACTCTTCTCCTTCCCTCTAAATCTAGATCTAAGTACTCTAAAGTACTTCCATCTCCTACTACTACTATCTCTTCATTAATCAGTAAAGCATCACGTATATTATAGCCTAATTCACGTACTTTAGGTACTTCTCCTATCTTATGTCTTATCAAAGTACCATCAGAACTACTTGTAAAGATAAGATCTTTAAACCCATCGATCCAAGTAATACTCATACTATGAGCACTACTTACTTCGTATTGAGTCTGACCAGTTTGCATATCAAAAATTGTTAAATTACCTAAGATAGTACCAACAGCTAAACTCAACCGACTTGATCCATAAGTTCTCTTCTTACTACTCCAAGTAAAAGGACTTAAAGCTGAAACAGAACTATCAACTGCTCTCTTAAGTAAAATACCTTTAGACTCTAAATCAATCAAAATAACTAAACCATCTGCTGTACCTAAAACTATCTTATCTTCAATCAAAATTATTTGTTTAACCACCCAAGAACCTTTTAACAAATATTCTAATCTTTTTTCAGATAAGAAATATTGATAAAGTATTCCACCGGTTGTAGCTATCACTACTGTATTACGGGCTGGCACAACAACTAAACCTTCAATTGCACTAGATAAAAGTACTTCTTCAATGATTATTTGATTTTTCTTATCAGTAATAATCATTTCACAATCAAAAGAACTAAAGATAAGCTTATCAGTAACTGCTAAACCCACTCCATCGTAAATAGGCCGTATCTTAACTAATGGTGCTAATTCTTCCATAAAAAATTTACAACTAGCCAATTTATTGTTCAAAGATAAGATTTGGTTTTGGTTTTTATTTGATTTAGTATTTAGATTAGATTGGGTTTAGATTAGATTGGGTTGTGTTAGTAGTTGACTATGTTATGTTTTGACTCGTATATCTACATAATCATAACTAGTAACTAGATGGCAAATAACGTATATCTACATAATAAAATAACAACTGATAAGTAATTAGATAACTTAACTTCTACTAACTCAATACCAACTCAATATCAACCTAATACCAACTCAATACAACATACTAACCCATTTATTGAATGTAGACAACATTATGACGTCATACTTAAATTTTAATAATACCAGTTACTATTGAGTTGGTTTGAGTTGGGATTTGATATGACGTCATACCAATATAATCTTATCTTAACTCAATCTTAACTTAATACCAACACAATACCAACACAATCTTAACTTAACTTAACTCAACTTAATATTATACTATTTTTAGATAAAAAGATAAGAATGTTTTTTTCTTATCTATCTCTACTAACTTACCTATTACTTCTACTTTTTGTCCCTTATTAATCTCTCTACCCCATGCCTTACCAAAATAAGCCAGCCATAATCTTTTGCTACCCCAAACCACCCCTATTCTATACTCATAAGCTGATATCTGCACTCTCTTCATATACTTAGCTATAAAGACTAGTAAGACTTCCTGTCTTGCTTTTAAAAAGACTAGATCTTCCATCCGATGACTCTCTATCTTTTCAGCTAATCTTTTGAAAATCATCTCTTATCTCTCTTCTTATTTATCTTATCACAACCTATTTATACCCACCTCTACTCATCCCAACCCAAACCTACTTATATTTGAATTCTACCTCATTACCACTACGAACTCTACCTTATCATCATTCTATTGAGTTTAGTATTGAGTTGAGTATTGAGTTGAGTTGAGTTAAGTTTAGTATTAGTGTAGTGTACTGTCTTAATCCAACTGCCACCAAATACCACCATAATACTACTCTGATTACTAGTCAGCTACTACTCAGTACTACACTACTCAATACTACTCTGATTACTACTGACTATTACACTACTTAGCACTACACTATTACACTACTTAGTACTATACTACTTACTACTTACTACTTAGTACTATACTACTTACTACTTACTATTACACTACTTAGTACTACACTACTTACTACTTAGTACTACACTACTTACTACTTAGTACTACACTATTACACTACTTAGTACTACACTACTTAATACTACACTACTTACTACTAAACCAATCTAACACCAACTTAATATGACGTCATCTTATTTCAACTCAACCATTACTCACTCAATAGACAACCTCAACACCTATTCAACAAGTACTATCTTTAATAGAATACGTATTAGTTAAGATGAACTTTTTATTATGTCCTACATCTAGTCTGAGTTAAGTAGATCATCAGTAACTTAATAGATAAGTAGATAACTTAATTTTTTAATATCTAAATACGAAATCAAAAACTAAACCAAATCAAAACCAAACCATATCTTATCTAAATACGAAATCAAAAACACAACACAACCATATCTTATCTAAATCAAAAACCAACCCAACCCAATCTAAATACACTAATAATTAAAACGTAATAGATGCTTTATTCAGCTGCACATGGTACGTCTGCCACCATGTCCACCCGTTTACTCCTCTGCTTACTGTCATACTGACCCTCTTCCACCTTCGGTCGTTTCACTACCTTCACCTTCTTCACATGACAACTTTGCAACGGATAAATACGCAACGTCTCCTGCTCAATACGACTCCCAATACTCTCCCCCATTAACTTCTTCATCACCTCCTGAATAGAACATCCCTCTAACTCTTCAGCAATGATCTTAAAGATTATCTGTCTTATCGCTTTAACTTGAGCTAAACTCGCATAACAGTTCTTCTTAACTGCCTTAGGCTTACGCTTAGTATTAGCAATAGTAAAGACTCTTAATAAGTAACCATCTGAAGTCTCTACCTTTAAACAGGCTTCAATTAAAGTATGCCATTTCTTAGGAATACTTTTGATCTTATCGCTTATCAATTCCATCCCATAAAAACTACTCATCGCATCTTTACCTCTAACTCCTTCCACTACAAACTTAAACTTCCTAATAGCCTGTTGATCTCCTTCACTAGTAGTAGTAGTAGTAGTAGTAGTAGTACTATTAAGACCTAAATCGGCTTGATTGACCTCAAAGGTACGGCCTTTAAGTGCATCTGGGGCGTAGTAAGTCCCTTGACTCTTATCTATGAAGGTAAGACCGGCTTCTTTTGGACCTAAAAAGCTGGGGAGGACTAAATTGTAAAACTCTTTCTTTTCCATTGTATCGGCTGACTTTTTGGATCGCAACTTTTTGGACTTCATTTTAGAAGTGACGGATGAAACTTTTGCTTTGCCTTTGCCTGCCATGGTTTGTTGCTAGGGTTAAAAAAAATTTAGTAGTAGTTTGTTGTAATTAAATGGCTAGTAGTAGTAGTAGGACTGTAAATTTATGTGGAGGAAAAAGTGAGGGTGAGTGCCGAAATGGAAAGATTTTGTTTTTGTTTGATGTAGATGGGACGTTAACTGCCTCTCGGGGTGAAGTTAAAAGGGAGATGGTGCGATTTTTGGCTAAGTTAAGGTGTAAGGTTTTGGTGGGGTTTGTTGGGGGGTCGGATTTAGAGAAGCAGAAGGAGCAGTTAGGGAGTGAGTGTTTGCAGATGTTTGATTATTGCTTCCCGGAGAATGGGTTGCATTACATTAAGAATGGAGTTGAAGTTTCGGCTCAGAGTTATATAGGAGCGGTTGGTGAGGAGGAACATTTGCGGTTGGTTAATAAGATTTTGAAATGCTTATCTGAGATAGATTTACCGGTGAAAAGAGGGACTTTTATTGAGTATCGGAACTGTATTTTGAATGTATCTCCTATTGGTAGATCTTGTAGTCAGGCGGAGAGGAAGGCTTTTGCGGCTTTGGATAAGGAAAGAGGGATAAGGGCGGGTTTAGTGGCGGAATTAAGTCGGGAGTTTCCAGAGTTGACTTTTTCGATTGGGGGAGAGATATCTATTGATATATTTCCAAAAGGTTGGGACAAGACGTACTGTTTATCGCATTTAGAAAAGGAAGGAATAGATAAGATCTATTTCTTTGGAGATATGACTCAAGAGGGTGGGAATGATTTTGAGATTGCCCGGGATGAACGAGTGGTAGGTACAACGGTTACTTCACCAGAGAATACGATGGAGAAGGTCCAGGAGAAGTTGCACGAATTAGGAATGAGTTTGTAGTTGGGTTTGGATTGAGTTGGGTGAAGGTTGAGTTAGGTGGAGTTAGTATCTGATACCAAATCGTATCTCAATACTAAACTTAACTTAACTTAACTTAACTCATTGACTTATTCAATAAAACACTCTAGTTAGTTTGTCTTGTTATGTTTAATAGGGAAAGTCTTTCTTGACTTTGTTGATATGATTACTTTTTTGATCTTATCTTATCTTATCTTAGTAAAAGTGTGTCTTGTTAATAAAAAGTGTACTTGCTTGAGTTAGTATTATATTGAGTTAAGTTGAGTTAGTATTATGTTGAGTTAGTATTATGTTGAGTTAGTATTATGTTAATTGGTCTTGGCTATCTTATAGATATCACAGTTTGCTATCTAGTTGTTACATTGTCATTTAAATGGTATCTCCTATCATATCCCACCTCACATCAACTCAACTTAACACAACACAACACAAACTCACCCAACTACCAACTCAACTTAACTTAACTTAACTCAACTACCAACTCAACTCAACTTAACTCAACTTAACTCAAACTAACTCAATTTTGTATCTTTACTTTTTCTATCTTTAGTCCTTGAATGGAAGTTGCTATTGTTGTGATTGGGATAGGCCAGACAGTTTATTCTCTTCTTTCTCTCTTTCCTCCTAAGACTGATATTCTGTTGATTGATTTAGAATGTGAATACTTTCTGCCAATTGAACCATGTCCTAATGAACTTCCTTCTTCTCTTCGTTTAGTTCATGTTCTACCTGAAGCACTCAGTACTATTCTTACTCAACCTATCCCCGAATCAACTATTATTCTTAATCGGATCTTTTCTTTCCAAGCCTCGCCCGCTGAAATCCAGCAACGACTTAACTACCTCCAAAATCTAGCTTTCCAAAACAAACGGGTCTTTGCCACTACTGAATATACTAACTCTCTCACTACTTCCATCCGATACTTTCCAATCCTCCGCCGAATGACTCATCTCTACCACCTAATCTCCGATTGAGTTGGGTTGAGTTGTGTTGTGTTGAGTTGTGATATGATAAGTCACTGCGTTGTTATTAAACTATATAGATCCTATACTATATCAGTATTGTGTTGGTGTTTATTTATCTAATTACTATCTTATCAACTGCTTTGGCTAAGTTACTATAAAGTGGTGTAGGGTGGTATAAGAGTTGTATAAAAGTAGTAGATTAACTTATACTTACTTTAGTCGGGCCAAAAAGCTACCATGGATTTATTAAATCGCTTCTTGTTTATACTTTAATCTAATCTAGTCTATAATGTTAAGTAAGAGTTCTAATTCACTACCAACCCAACACAATCCCAACCCAATCCCAACCCAACACAATCCCAACCTAATATATGCCTACCACAGTAATAAGTCTGAGGATGACGTCATACTCAAATTTTAATAATCCGACTACTACTGAGTTAGTTTGAGTTAGTTTGAGTTAGTATTTGATATGACTCAATTTCTCTACTAACCCAATACTCTTGCAATGGTATAGTATTACTATATACCGACTATTAATCAATCAATAAGAGGTGCCAATTTTAATAAAACCAACCCAAGCTAAGTTCAATTAAACTATTATAAGCCAACAAGTGAATAAATATCATACCCCATAGACAATAAAGCACACAATTAACATCTAATTACTTACATACACATATCATATTACTTGTATAATCAAATGCTATCTCAATACCATCTCTATACTACCACAATACTATCTCAATACTACCACTATACTATCTCAATACTACCACGATCAGTCTGATTACTAACCAGCTACACACTACTTAGTATTAACAGTACTTAGACTAATACCAATCTAAAACTAAACTAAACTCAAATACTAACTCAAATACTAAACCAATCCAAATACTAACTCAAATACTAAACCAACTCAAATCCCAAACTAAATACCAACCCAACAAATACTAACTCAATATGACGTCATCACATTTCAACCCATCCATATTTACTCAATAAACAACCCCAACTCATACCCCAAGACATATCTTCACTAGAATACCTATTAAGTTAGTATTTAGTACAACTCCACCTAAACCAAACCAAACTCCACTCAACTCCACTCAACTCAATCTAATCCTATTTTTATTTAACCCCAAATCTGAATCTAACTATGTCTACAACTACAACACCACAAACTCTCTCTTTAACCCGTCGTACTTTCAGACTCAGAGCTGCCCAACCAAGAAAACGTGTTTCTTTCACCCCAGACACTATCGATAACGAACACCTCAACCGCAAAAAGTCAAAATCTTGTTGTATCTACCATCAAGAAAACAATCTTCAAAATACACCAGCCGATTAGCCAAATTTTTTAAGCATGCAACTTTCAGTCGGAGACGTATTTAAATCAAAAAACGAAGCTCAGAATGCTATCAGAATGTATGCCGTAGATAACAATTTCAATTTTGAAACTACAGATAGTACACCAAAAAAGTACACTATTCAGTGTAAGGAAAGACGTAGCCATGGTTGTGATGCCATTATAACGGCAGCTTTACGTAAGAAAGATAACATGTTTGTGATAAAGAAACTCAAAAACATGCATAACTGTCCGCAACAGAGTTCTTGTTCTATTCAGTCTTCTTCCAGGTATATTGCTGATGAACTCAGAGATATGCCTGATGTTTTGGAAACTAGAGTTGGTCAGATAATCAATCGTATCTCTTTAAGAAGAGGGATTAAGATAGGATACTTAGCTGCCTGGCGGGCTAAACAAGAAGTACTAGGGGAAGAAGTAGGGGAAGAATCAGCTGTAGAAGAATCTCTTCTTAATGCTATTGCTGAGAATAAGTACTTAAACCCTGAAGATATTACTAGGGCATCTAACTTTAAGCAAGTTCTAAGTAGTTGGGTTGAACAGGGGTATAATTTACCAGTTGAACAAGGGTTTATTAGAAGAGTTGTTAAGACTTTGAGTGCTTTTGATACGAGTGGACCTGGTTTAGATACTCTTTTTTATGCTAGTAGCTTATCTTTACATGTTTATAAGTACTCTCGACCTATTATTGAGTTAAGTTGTTATCAAAGACATAATGAAATCAGAGAACATGCCGGATATGCCTTTGTTGCTACTAGTTATGATGCTTTTGATACGCCTTATATCTTATCTATATTTTGTGTTCCTGAATACTGTCCTCGGAAAGAGGGTTGGATTGGGTTTATTAAAGAGTTACTAGCCGTTATAGATACGGGTGTACTTCTCATGGACTGGGAAGACTCACACAGTACCGTAGAAGAGATTCAGAAGGAGATTCAGAAGAAGAATGGGTTGAGTATGGGTGGTGGTAATGGGTTGGGTAGTAGTGGTGGAAGCAGTAGAGGAAGTAGTAGTAGTAGAGGAAGTGAAGGAGGAGGAGGAGAAGGTCCTTGGTCTGGTCATTTTGATATTGAGGAGTCTATTAGAGCGGGAGAACTGGATGGTTTAGCGGCTGGAGGTAATCGAGTGAGTTTATTCTTGCGGACTCGGAGTTTATGTAAGGAGATCTTTGCTACTTATCCTTGTCCTAGTACAATTGGTCTGATTTGGTCTTTATGTAATAGTCCTGATTTAGCTACTTTTATGATGTATTACCGGAAAGTGAAGGCTAAGAATGTTCCTTCTTTATTATCTTTATTAAGTTCGTTACCTACTAGTATGTGGGCTAAGTATTTATGTGGGTTCCCATTGTATAACAAGAATAATACAAGTGCGGCTGAGTTGGAGTCAATTCAGGAAATGTTTACTTTATCTTTAGTAGATACGTTATGTATGGGGATTAAGATGATTTGTGATAATGCTGTGAAGAAGAAAGAGACGATTGCTCATTCGGAGTTGGCTAGTAAGAAAGCGACTGATCGGGCTCGTTTTGGGGATGCAATTAATAAGGCGATGGATATTAATGTGAGTAAAGCTGGGAATTATGAAGTGGATGTAGGTCGGGCACCAGGAGGTGTTTGTAAGGCTTCATGGATAGATCCTCGGAAGTTAAGTGATGAGGAGGAGCAGGGGCAAGGGATAGTTTATGCGGGAGGTAATTTAAGGTTTTATGTTGATTTAAGATTGCGTGTATGTTCTTGTATGAAGTTTCAGGAGATGAGTTATCCTTGTTCGCATGCTTGTGCCTTGATAGCTAAGATTGGGGGACATCCTTATGCTTATATTGATGAGATATATTCAGTGGATACTTTAACACAGATGTTTAAGCCGGCAAGTATGCGGTGCATTGTTAATGAGCCAATTCGGGGTACGGAAGAAAGACGGCGAGTAGCTGCTCCTTTGAAACGGGGTCTGGCCGGGTTTGAAGAGGAAGAGTTTTCGTGTCTGGAGTACAAAGAGAACATGCCCAGATAAAATCACAATAAAGATAATAACTAATTGAATGGGGTTGGGTTGGGTTTGGTTTAGTATTTGGTTGATATTGGGTTTAGTTTGGTATTGGGTTGAGTTTGGTAGATGGTTTACGTTATGTTATGTGTTGTGTTTGATATTGGGTTGATATGGGGTTAGGTTAGTAGGCAACTTATGTTAGGCTTACGTTATGTGTTAGTTTAGGTTGGGTTTAGTATGGGTTGATATGGGGTTGATATTGGGTTATGTGGGGTGAGGTGTGTTAAATTAGTAATACTCTACCAATACCATGCTAATACCATACTAATATGATGTTGTAGTTGGGTTAGATAGCTACTTAAATGGTTGGGTTAGATAGCTACTTAAATGGTTACTTAGATGGCTATTTAGATGGCTACTTAGATAATAAGATAAGTGTTTGGGATGGGGTTAGGATTTATTGGACGGGTTGGGGATGGCGGTGGTGGGCGTTCTTTTTGATGAAGGTGGAAAGTTGGTTGATGCGTTCGTTGATGTCGGGGTCGGTGGTCTTTTTCGACTGGAGAATGCTTTGGATGTTGTAGGTAAGGAGAAGAGGAATAATGCTGGGGTTGTTCCAGGTGATGTTAGTTAAGTACCAGATGAAGGGGATAGTTAGAGATGGGGAGATTGCGGCTAGATCTATGGCGGCGGAAATAAGATGGGGATGGAGGGCTTTTTCTTGTGTAATAACGGCAATGTTGGCTAGAATGAAAAGAAGTTCACTTGATAGGTCGATATCAATGGGATCAATACTGGCTTGTGGGGCAGTAAAAGACTCGGTTAGTCGGAGAGTTTCGTTGATGAGACGAGTAACTAGTTGGCCAATTTCTGGGAGGTTGCGGGCTACACAGATCAAGTTGCGGTAAATGCGGTAGTACTCGAGTCTTTCGGGCTTGGTCCAGTTGGTCTTCTCAAAGAAGGATTTGGGGAGGGCGCGGTAAATGCGAGGTAGAAGGTCTTCTTTGCATTCATAGAGATGCATTTTGATGAACGTGAGAGCTTCAATCGAAAACTCGGGATGGTGGAGGTAGTTGCTTATGTATGGGAAAATAGAGTCGATGGCTATCTCTTTCCAACGATGGCTGAAGAGAACTAAATTGCCAATGAGTTTGAGGTACTGGCAAATGGATTGGGTTAGACTGGAATAACTGTCTTTGTGGTGGAGCTTGCTAGCATTGGCGGCTAGACGTTCAATTAGGTTAATGACTTGGAAGGTTGACATGAAACTGCTGATGATTTGGGGTGTGCGGGCGAGTAGCCGGAGGAGACAAAGGAATGAATAAACTTCGCCATCAAGAATGCCATTGTCCATTTTGATCTCTAGACGTTTGATAATATTATCAACATAGCCTTCTTCAGCTATGGCCGTGGCGGCTCGGCGGCTGGTTTCTAAAACTAAGATAAGAAAGTGCTCTATACGTAATCTGTCCTTGCCTGTACTGGATAGAGCTTCTCGAGTAATCTTATGGAAGTCGCCGGTATCGAGTAAGTACTGGGCGACACTGCCGGCAGATGCGGAAACGAGGAAAGCTAGAGCGGGGAAGACTAATGGGGCACTCTTCTTTTGTAGTAATGAATCAACGAGGACTTTCAAGTTGAGTGATTGTAATGGAAAGTAACTGAGCTTTCTCTTGTCCCAGGGGAGGGCTAGTCGCTTTTCATAGACTTGTTCATCAAGTTCGGGACTTTGACCCATGAGTTGGTACCCTTCAATGTACGCCAGGAGAACTTCACAATTAACTAGGAGTGAACCTTTGCTTTTATGTTGGAGTTGTTCAATGGCTGGTTTGTCTATTAGCTTGTAGGTGCTGGCTGTGACTAAACAGATGAGAAGGGCTAGAGTTTTGCGGGGGGAGATAGTTAGATGGTCTTGTACGGCTTTGAAAAACTCAAGATCGGCTTGGAATGGTTGGGGATGGCGGTGGCTTAGATGTAATGCGGATTCTAGGACTTGGTTCTTCCAAATAACTCTTTCGGTATCATTAGTGATGGGCTTTTCTAAGGCTTCTAAGAAGAACTGGACTACTTCGGGAGTTGGCTGTTCGGATAATAAGGAAAAGATGCGTAGCATCATTTGGGTAATCTTGAGCGAGTCTTTCTTTTGTCGTATGCGGTCCCATAGGCCGGCTGCACATGCTTCTTTCTCGGTCGCAGATAAAGAGGTTGTATGCGCGGCCAAAAGAAAGTGAGTAAGAGATGGTTCGTCGGCTTCGTTGATAAGATGTAAAGTCTTCGACTGGATATAATTATCAGTGGTTCCATCCACTTCCTGGCCTGAACTCTCCCTATAGCCAAACAATGATCCCGTCATGTTTACAAACAATAGACCGATTTTCCATCCTTTGATTAAAAGCGGCACTTGTGACTACCCAAGAGGGTAATTGGCCGGCTTGTTTAATAAACCTGTCTATAAATAGGGTTCGAATTGAGATACTATGTTCTTTCCTCTGGCTTTCCTAGCTAGAGATAGTCTGCTATCTAAATTGTATATTTATTCATGTGCACGACGGCGTACGACTGCTACTGTTCCTCTTGAGGTACTGAGAGCAGGTGCTAATGAATTACAGCGTAGTCAGTTGTCTTTGCGACTCTGGTCTCGTTTGGCTTTGACTTTAGTTCATAGTGTGCGCATGCACTACCAGTTGATTCACGCTGATTTGCTGCGCTTGTTCAAGCTAACACGACTTGTCCGAGAAAGAGACCGTGTGTTTGCAGTGCCGATGGAGCGAGTAACTCTTTCCATTAATCCGGCTCTTTTCCTTAGTTGTTCTGCTTCTGTACCCACTACCACTACTACTCGCTATGAAACAGTTGAAGCGGTTGAAGTTGCCCGGGCATATAGTAGTTTACTTCTGAATACTTCAATGGCAGGTCCGGCTGAACTACCTAAACACACGCCTGATCGACTAGATAGACGAATTGATCTTTTACGTATTGATCTTAAGATAGTAACACTGCCGCCTAAGAAGAAGGTTTGCTCTCTCTTTGGCCAAAGACATAGTTGGCTAGTCTCAGAGGAGGATAGTTTCGGTCGTCTAAGCTTTATTGAGTTCCCAACTAGTGAGATAGATATTTCCTCAATTGAAGCACCTCGAGGCGGCAGTTTAGGCACTGAGCACTTTCCTTTACTAGATACATCTGACTCGCGCTCTTTTCTAATAGACAGATCGATGATCTCAGGACCAACAGTCAATCCAGCTCTAGCCGATTTTCTATCTATGCTTATCTCAATTACTGAAGGTAAAATCAAAGCTGAACAAACAATTCCCTACGGAGAAATAAAGATTGTAACTCTTCAGAATGAACATTCAAAAGTGTAGAGTTGCTATTTATTTTAACATTCAATTGGATTTAGATTAAGTTGTAATTGGGTTAGGATGGGATGGGGTTGAGTTGGGGTTGAGTTGGAGTTGAGGGAGGCTGTTTCTGATTTTATTATCAAATCATGGCATACTACATTAAATTAAGTTAGATCAAATTATATCAAAAGTTGTTAAATTATACCAAAATATCTTAATACACATTCTACTCTTTATATTGTTATCTTGTCTCCTTTTATCTTAACTCAACTCATTCTATATCACTTAACTCTAATGCACCTAACCCAATGCTAACCCAATACTACACTTACGTATTAGCGTTGGATACGGCTGTGCTGAGTGAGCTCATCAAATTCCCCGGTCTTCTTCCATTCTTCTATGACCTTGCGGCCATGCTGGTACCCATGCGCTACTATCTCATCAAACTGGCCAAAGTTCATGGTCTTGTACCCGGTTAAGTCCGGCCGAATGTACTTCACTGATACATCCGAGCGCAAAGACTTCTCTTTATGCGAACTAGTGATGTAAGATAAGCGGTACTGAATTTCGGTCAGAGATAAGAACCGTTTGGTGCCAAATAGCTTTTGAAAGAGAATATAGAACCCATTTAAACTATCCCCATAGTTATAATAATTCGAATCAACCTCACTGCCCACATCAACGGCTATAATATTTCTAATTCCCATTGAGCGCATGGCATCGGCTGGAACATTGTTCACATACCCACCATCAAGTAAGAACGAGTCTCGATCACATAATGGTGGTAAGTACCCAGATAAACTCATACTTGCTCTAACATACCGCCAAAGCAAGCCAAACTTATGCACCCGCTCCTCAATCTTAAGAATGTCGGTAGTCACACAGTAGTACGGCAGCCATAAGTCCTCTATCTTGCGTTTCTTGAAGATCCGGGTCAGTACCCAGTTAAAGGTCTTCCCAGAGAACATTGAGCAAATAGGATAGGTTAAGTCCATTACTATATGCCAAATACTCCCGAATAAGCGAGCGAACTTCTTAGCCCGACTAAACACTTCGGCATTATTGCAGCCAATGGCATAAAGCGCCCCAACAAAAGCACCCATAGAAGTACCACCAACGGCATCAATAGGAATACCTGCTTCTTCTAAGGCTTGAATAATCCCAATATGAGCTATACCCCGGGCACCTCCACCGCCCAAAACTAGTCCAACATTCTCACCTTTAAGTGTGCGCAAGAACCGCTTCATATCACTCAACGGGAAGACCGGGACTAAAGGATGGGGTGAAGCTTCCGTAAAGGCACAGTGCGTGCGATGGGCATACTCTTCCTTCTCACTAAACCCAATCACTACACTAGCCGGTACATCAATTGAAGGAAACTCTAAATGGTGTCTCTGTCCGCGCCATCGTCCACCCACGACTTGTTTCTTACTATCTCTATGAAGGACAACCGTATCAACCTTACACCAAACTCTTTCTATCTCACTATCAAGACTATCGCCATTAACAACTAAATAAAAGACTATCTCAGCTAATCTTAAAGCAGCTGTTGTTGAATCTTCCGCTGGTTTAGCTACAATCGGCAGTAAAACATAAGAGTACTCACTTTGCAAGTAAGATAAGAGACTAATTATAGCTACCGGTGCCGAAGAAGAAGAATAAACAGGGCCTAAACCCTTCTCTAAAGCCGTAGAAGAAAGAACCGTACATGTATCGCTCTGGTTAATCTCGGCATTCAAAAAGTGCGTAAATATCTCTATTTGGGTCACCACCGGATCAGCCGGAGCAAAAACTATCACCCGCGGCCTATCTAAATGCTCTTGCTGTGTAGCTCGAGATAAAGCCCCGCGATATAACCGAGGTGCTGCTTCATGGAACAGAGTTAACATCGCTGTTATGTAAGCCGGTGGAATTTCAATAATCTCAGAACACCGAGTCGCAATGGCAATATAAGGCGACTCCAAACCAAGTACGGCTTCTCTTTCAAACAAAATACGACCCGATCCAATGCCAAAGTACTTAATATCTCCTTCTTTCAAGAAGTACCCACACCCCACGATCTTAACCGAACGACTAGGTTGGTTTACTGAAATACGTTCGCCCGGCTGAATAATACGCCAGTGCACTGAAGCATCAGTAATCTGCAGAATATCTGAAGCCTGGTCAACATACTCTTTAGCTATCGCCAGTAAACCTTCCCCACGTGGATCTGGTGCGCCCATAATCACTTCTAAAACCTCACACTCACCCACTAACCGTCGCTCAGCTTCTAAACGACTCACTCGATTAAGGACTCCAAAGACACAACCAACCTCTACATCACGACTGTACTCACCATAAAATAGAGTCGGCTGCCCAGCTAAGACCAAATAGACTCCATTGGGTGAAAGATGAACTGGATCCTTTTGCCGGCGTACAGATTTCACTCGTCGACCAAGTGGTACGTTCTTCTGTAGTTGTGCTAGTAAACTCTGATCATCTAGTTTGGCCAAGTCAGCTGCGTCGGGTAGAGTTCGTAAGTCATAAGGCTCAGGAGCAGCCCCGGCATAGTTCAGTAGAGTATAAAGTGTACCCCGAAAGAACTTAGTAAGGAGTACATAGCGTAGTTCTGGACTAGTTAGTTGACTAGTGTGGTAAAAGACACTTTTGGCCTTCAAGACATACGATATTTCTGATTTAGCTAAAGGATTGACAATCCATTGCGTAGTTGTGGCAAAGAAGTCTCTTTCATGGGCAACTACAGCTACACCACGATAATGCACTTCCACTAAGCCACTAACTAGATAGTAGATCACCTCTCCCGAAGAAATAACAATATCTCTAGTAGTGGTTGCTGCCGGTCCAAAAAGAGATGTATCATCAGCAAAGAAGGCGAAGAGTCCACTTGTTTCTACAGGTGAAACATCTACAATCTCTTCTGTCTCTAATGCGTCAGGAACAACCGCACTACTCCGTTTAAAGGCCCGATAAGTCACAAACCCTGTGACCAGAGTAACTAGCATCCCAACAACCCAAAAGATAGTGGTAAATTGACTTTCAAGTCCAGACCAAGTTACGAACGTAAGCATCCACATAAAAAATATCCAATCTCCTTGGGTCAAATAGAACTACCAGCTAGTAACCCAATAGCCATACAAGATAAGATCAGTAGTTGTGTGGTGTTGTTTATAGTAAATGTGTTAGTTAAGTTATGTTTTGAATTGGGCTAAGTTAAGTTTAAGTTGCTATTTATATGGTAGTTAAGTTGGTTTTGGGTTGGCAATTAGATAAGATAAGGAAATATTGTTAATGTTAATGTTATTGTTCAGGTAAGGTGTGATGTGGTGTGGTAAGATGTTGAATTGGGTGGTATTTACTTGTTGATGTAAAATGATTGGTTCTCGTGGTATTAGTGATGGTAGAAGGTCCCGTGGGGATGTAAATTGGGAGTGATGGGTTGTAGCCCCATAGTATAGGTAAGTGTTTACATACCTATTGGTGCGACTAGATCACTTAGTTTGGTACTGAGTTAGTTTTCATTCGGAGCATATCTTTAGCAAGTCAACCACTAGCCCGGCAGATACCAATATCATCTAAATATAACTCCATCTAAGCACTAACACTAACTCAACTCAACTCAACCCAAACCCAAACCCAACTCAACTCAACTCAATACTATAATAACTTAATGTGTGTGCTGTTTATTGCGATTGGTAAATACGCCAGGGCTTTTCTTGGCCATCACGGGCGTAATAGTCCATGGGGTAGTCGGCTACTTCCTGTTCAAGAGTAAAGTACTCAAAAGGAGTCAGAAGTGGCTGTTCAAAAGTAGTCCCCCAATCAATAGCTATCCTAGGACACGCAATCTCAATAATTGCTGTGTTTTTATCAACCGAGTCCATGAATGTTTCGTCTATCTCTGATAAGTAAGCGCAAGTAAAGGCCCGATTATGTGCCTTTAAAGAAGCAAGTACTCGTTTTAGAATCATCTGGCCACCTTGCCGGCCTAGTGTCCCGAAAATCACCAAGAATTGCTGGCACTCCAATGCCTTCAACTGCTGCTGTCTTCTGATTGTTCTAAATTGAGTATAATCGTGCTTCTCTTCGGTTAAGGTCTTAGTGGCTGGACAGTACCGGAAGAACTTCCTATGCGGATTATGTATCATAGTGCTTTCTAAATGAAACCGGCCTTCAGCTACAAACAGTAAATTACCCGTCTTAACTGCCGGAGATGTACACCCTAGTACTTCACCCGGACTAAGGGGCATTATACGTGGTACAACCACTCCCTCACTACTACACGCATTCTTACACTCTTTACTACTCCCTTCCATCCCATTTCTATTTTCACTGATCTTATCTCTATTTTCACCTATCCGTCGTTGAACAGTCTCTTGAATAATCCTTCTAATTCTTCTTACTGCTCCACTGTACTGAATTGTGCCTAGCACTGACAAGTCCGTACAATCTAAGTGTTGTAAAGCCATAGCCACACAATGTTCAACTGCAAAGGAGATTTCCACAAAGACATAAACTACTCCCAGTAAAGACTTAGGAATTTCAAAGAGACAAGAATGTCCGTAATGAATCAATAAATCACAACCAATTAAAAAGGCAGATATATCATCTAAACAACACGCACCATAAACCACATCACTTAAGATCACAACTTCTTCTACTTCACTAGCCCCTCTAATTATATCAGAAATAACCGTTGCCAAATGAATAATACCCTCTGGAAATTGCAAAGCAATACGTTTACTTCCACGTCTTCGTATCTGCACTAATGTCTTATCTATTTCAAAACGATAATTAACCGGCAAATATTCAACACCAGCAATCACCCGCCCCATACTCGAAAAATTTCACTAATCTCTGCATTTACTTACCCCAATCTCAATCTCCATTTCACACCATCTCTATCAACTTATTCCCCAACACATTAACTACCTCATCTTAACCCAATCTTCTTCATTGTCTTGTTTAGCTCACATATCAACTTAACTCAACTTAGTAAAATAGAATAGAGTAAAGTAGAGTATAGTAGAGTATAGTAAAGTAGAGTGTAGTTTAGCACATCTTAACACAATACAACAGCAACTTAATATAATATAATCTAATCAAAATCAAAACAACCTAATACAACATAATCTAGTCAAAATCTAAATCTAAATCTAAATCAAAACAATACAACATAATCTAAATCAAAATCAAAACACAAAACAATATTAACCCAATTCAAATTTATAACAACTTTAACCCACCCGTTATCTTATCTATTTCATCTTCATAGTATGGACCAACAAATGTCACAGTCCATGTATTAGGCTCAACTTGAGTCCTACCAGCATCAATAATGGGATAAGTCGGTATCTTTTGCCTCTTAAACTGACTTACTAGATTCTTCATCGTAGCTAAGTCTGGTACTTGTAAAGAGACCTTCTTATACCCAAAGGTTTGCCATAACCGACAGAGAAGATTGTTACGATCGGCTTGACCTGCTGCATAAGCTGCATGTAAGCCTTGTGATACTAACTTTCCTTTTGACATTTTCAAATCAGTTCTAACCAGTAAAATTCCTTTGATAGGCTTATTTCTTATCTCAAAACAACAAGCTTTGCGATAATGGAAGTATAGATAAGATAATATTACTGCTAAGAGAGTAAAAACCACGTAATAGGCAGCTACCATTAAATAAAAAAACAAGTCGGGCTTAATAACTCTTCTAGTTGTACATTGCTATCATTAAACACCTCTTCTGTTTTGTTCTCTATTTCTTCCTCATATGGTAATACGTTTTCAATCTCTATCTTATCATTATTTGTTAAATTAGAAGAAGAATTAAGATTAAGTTGGGTTTGGGTTAGTATTGGATTAGTAGACTTAAAAGAAGTGGACTTAGTTGGTGAAGAGTTCGAATGAGAAGTAAGATTAGTCTTATCTCTTAAGATGCGGTCGACTCCCATGTAAATAAAAAGAGCAGGCTAAAAATAGCCTAGTTGACTCTGGTTAATCTTGTATATTAATCAAATACATAAAGTTAAGTGGGGTGGTGTGGGTTGAGTGGGGTTAAGTTTGGATTGGTTTGGGTTAAGTTGAGTTTAGTATTTGGTTGGGTTTAGTATTGGGTTTGGATTAGGTTGGGTTGGATTAGTGTTAATGTTGGGTGGAGTTGGGTTTGGTTTAACTTGAGTTTAGATTATATGGTGGGTTAAGTTAAGTTAAGTTAGTGTTGAGTTAGTATTGGTATTAAGTTGAGTTAAGTTGAGTTTAGATTATATGGTGGGGGAAGCATTCTATTGGTGCTTATATAAATGGATATATGGTCCTTCTCTAAGTACTTATATTGAGATAGTATAAGTTGACATAAGTTGGTATAAGTTGGTATAGAGATAATATTGATATTAATGCATATCTTAATATGTACTCACATAAATACCACTAATAATGGCCGTTTGACCTTAAATGAAAGGACTTTATTTAACACAACTACACTATCTAAATAAGCAACCATAACTTAACTTAACACTAACTTAATCAATGCCTGGGCAAGTTATACGTATACTTATCTTTATTTGGTCCGTCTAGAAGAAATTGGCTTTAGGAACAATGTACTCGGTGCCGGTTGAGTTTCTTACTGAATAGTACGATCCAATCGTCCTTAGTAACTCGACTGTTTCTCCCTTTCTGATATACACGACCCCATTAATCACAAAATCGGTCTTGGTTCTAAGATGTCTTAGTTCCGTACTAACGGCAATTGAAGGTAGTCTTATCTCTTTCCCAAACCTTCTTTTGATCACTGGTGTCTTTTTAAGAGCCGTTCGGCGTCTTGATTTGTACACCCATTTGATAATGTACAAAACTGGTGCTCCAATAGATAAAAGAACATAAACTATCGTAAAAATCATCCCCAATACTGACCACTTAGGCTCCCTCCCATAACCAACTAGTAAACAAAGACTAAGTGCGGCTGTGACCAGTAATAAACAACCTTTGAGATACTTTCTAGTCCGGGCAGTGAGGGTGATAAACAGGGTAGAAAACAGTTCGGCTAAATCCAATGCTCTACTAAGCAGGATTAGACTAACCCATAATGAACATCTTTTCAGACTCTCTCGCTGGATTAGTAACGTAGTGCCCAGAACAGCCGACCAGGCAAAGATAGCAAAAGAAAGTCTAGACTCGGACAACCACATACAAAATGCAGGGGAGAGAAAATGAAATATAAATCTATTGACGCATCAGTGGTCAATGGTTGGTTCATGTTGGCTTAGGCTTGGTAATAAAACGAGTTGGTAGAATCCGATTAATGGCCAAAAGAGCGACTTCGCCATCTTTCTCAGAAAAGCGTCGTCGAGTCTCTTCCCGGAAGATTTGTTCTAAGGCCATGGCCGTACTGGTGGAGGTTTTGGTGCTGACTTTGGTCTTGGCCACCAATCGGCTGGTTTCACGCATGCGTCGCAGTAGGGGGGTTGGAATAGGAATAGTTGTGATTGGCTTAAGCGTAGAGACTTGGATCTGGGGTGGAGTAAGAGTGGCTGGGGCGGTGGGAGAAGTAGAGATAGCAATGGGTTTGGGTTTAGGAATATTTTGAAAAAGACCGGGGTTGAGGATATCTCGGGTTTTGAGGGGTAGTTGGGGTCGTTCAGTGGGTGTCCAGGAAGTCCATTCACTCTCTTCAATCATGGAGTAGGCATTAAGTCTTTCAACGGGCCCAGAACCTCTTTTGAGCTCAACGAGAAGCATTTTGTCTACTTCGTTTTCTTCTTGGTTAGCTATAACGTAGCCGGTAAAGAGATCTTTGACAAACTGATCAAAATCAATGTTCATCTTGAAGAAGACATTGAGAAGAGTGCGGTTAGTCAGGACGTATTGGGCTTTTTTACGGCTGGAATGTAAGCTGGTTAGATCAGGATCGGACTTTTTAGTGCGACTAATGATTCGATCGCCAAAAGTCTTGTAGAAGAGTTGTTGTTCTTCAGTGGCAATGTTTTGATAAAGGTGGTTTAGTTGGATATCTTGCTTAATTAAAGTTTTGATTTCATCTTGGCTTATCATTCGCTTTTTTTGGACAACTTCGATAATTTGGTCGGAATCAGATAAGGAAAGTCCTTCTATTTCGAGATGGTGTTCGGGTGTAGTAATGATAGTCTTTTGATTTTGTCGTTGAATTTGCGAGATATCGTGTAAGTCGATCACAAAGTGTGGTGAAGCGAGTTTTAAGTACTTCTCATCTAAACCGATAAGAAGAGGATGAGTTTGGGTTCGGGCAGTAATGACACGCATGGGAAAAAAAGAAATGGGTTTATTATATCAAGGGGAGAGGTCCATTGTTTGTCTTGGCGCCTTTCTCCAGACGAATAAGGAGTTTGTCCCCTTCAACATGAGCTGATTGGAAGCCTTGGCCGGCGGGGATGGTGAAGGAGTAGCTGCCAGTACGTGAGGAGTAGGAATTGTCATTTTTGATCTCTTTTTCGTAGTTGATTTTGATAAGATTGTCACTGGCGGTGATTTTAATGTCGCTTTTATCTAAGCCGTGTGGCAGGGCTACGCAGTACCCATTGAAGGTTGAGGTTTCGCATTTCTTGATGCCCGTGCACTCAGCTAGAATGTCACAGGGGCAGCAAGGCTGAGTAGAGCAGTCGGTTGAGGATTTAGTGCTGCAGCTAGTATTAGTGTTGCAGTTGGTGTTGCAATTGTTGTTAGTATTGCAGTTGTTGGTGGTGTTGGATTTAGGGTTGCAGTTAGTGTTCGCACATTGATTTTGGGCGCAGCGGCAGTCACAGGCTTTATTATCGCACTTTTGCTGGCTGTTGCAGTCATTAGCATTGCAGTGTTTGTCCATAAGGAGGTAGAGTCTACCGTTATTTATAGGCTGAAAAAAGGAGGTGATACTGCCTATTGGCTGGACAGCTTGGATACAAAACATCCATTGGCTGTCACTACTCCTATACTACCTCATCTGATCTCATCTAACATAAAACTCAACACTCACCAATCCCATTCCGAAACATAACCAAGACAATACAGACTCAACTTAATACAATTTAATACAGGCCCAATTCAATACAACACTAACTCAACACAATACAATCTAATACCAATCCAACACTAACTCAACTCAATACTAACTCAATACTAACTCAATACAATACAATACATTTTAATCATAAACCTATCTCACTCCACCCCGCTCAACTTAAGACAATACAATATTAACACCAACGAGTGATAGCTATCTTGCCCAGTATAACTAAAGTACAAAAGAGTCCTTGGCTGAGCATTAAACTCTGGGCTAGAGCTCGCTCAGACATAGGCCCAAACCATTGTAGAATTAGATTAAGTAAAGTAAAGTTAACTATCTTCATCGGCTGGATTGGCTTGGGACTAGTTGGGAGACTTGGTCCTAATTGGTCGGTTTTAGACTTAATTTGGGACTGGCCTGTAAATAACTCCTCCTTGCTTCGTTTGTTCCAATAACTGGTTAGTGTTGAGTTAATCTGGCCTAGGCCGTCCTCTACCTCAACTAGGCCTACCAAATACGCCAGACGCAGTACAGGCACTTGCAATAGTTTCAGCCGTTTTGGTGCGGCTACGGGTGCTTCCGAAGCCCGTACTAGCCAGGCCTGACCTATTCTTTGTGCGCGGGGCATTCGGTGTCTTGGACAAGCAACAATTCCAGCTAGTTGTGGCAAAGACAGACCAAAGTTCAGTAATTGCGGCCCAAAGAAGACAAACACCGTTTTAGTAAACCCGCCCACTAAACCAACACAAAGAATACTTGATCCAGCAAAGTAACAAAACGTATCCCCAACAAAACACCGGGCCGGGTAAGCATTCAACCAGAACAGCCCCAAGGTACAACAGAAAAGAGAAAACGATAGGGATAAACTCACTACACTCAATCCATCCCAAAATATCCATCTATCAACTACCATAAACCCACTAATTACCAAAACCTGTCCACTTTCTACTCCATTAACTCCACTCAAGATATTCACTGCATTAGTAAAGAAGACAGCCAAAACCAAAACCAATCCATAAAACCACCCGCCCAAATCCACACTACCTCTAAAAGGCAGCTGCACCCAAGTACTCCCATTGTACGCTAAAACCAACGGCACCATAGCTATTAAAGGAAAAACCAACTTACAAGACCAGCCCAGCTCCATCGTATCATCCACGTAACCCAGTAATAAGTTCAACGTAATCGTACAAGCACTTACTAACAAAACCTCTCGAAAGATAGGCACTAACCCGGCCAAACAAAAGATACTACAAACAAAGGCCAAGCCACAGCCTAGACCTACCCCTTCCGGAATCTTCATTTTCGTCTCTTTGTTAAGATCAATTCCAAAGATACGAGTGTGTTTCATTAACCCAAGACTAATCCGATAGGCCAAAACCCCAAATACTAACCCAATAAGCACACCCCAGCCAACTTTAACCCCAACTAATCCAAAACCAAGCTTAGTCCAATCGATACCAAGTACCCCTTCACTAAAACTCACCTGATCACTATGTAGAACTCCGTCTCTGATCAATGTCCCAGCCATATATTAATAAATGAAAAACAAGATACGTATGCTATCTTCCACACCAAAACCAACTAGCAAACTCTTATCAATTGAAGAGGAAATGCTCTTTACCAAGATAAACAAGCTAACCAACCACGGTTCTCAAGAAGATCTTCTCAATATCTTCAAACTAGACGCCTTTATTCGACTAGACAACTTCTTTATCTCGCCCTTCTCACTACTTAGCATTAAACGCGGTCTCCGCAACAAGCTAATTGGCTGGAAGTTCTCAGAAGCCGGCTGGTGTTTCTACTTTCAAGATGGCATTGAAATCTTCTTCCACGGCAAGTTCACCAGTCTTATTAAAGACAAGAAAGTCGTCCACATCAAAATAGACACCCACCGTATCGAATGCAAATCCAAACCCCACTATGAAATTCTCCTCCGTTACTTCAAATGTCTAGACACATTCTACTTCATGGTCACTGAAGTGGATACATCCTTCCACCTCCTCACCAACCCACTCGCCGCCAATGTTCTCTGGCCCAATGAGTAAGTCCCTATTTCCTATCTACTCATTTTGACCCACCACATACTCACCCAATTTGACTCACCACATACTAACACTAACCCAATACATTATACATTTACTTACTATTTACTTGCTATCTTAACTTAACTCAACCAAATACTATTTACTTGCTGTCTTAACCAAACCAAGTACTAACTCAACTTAACTTAACTCCACTTAACCCCAACTCAACTTAAACTCAATACTAACCCAATACTAAACTCAACTTAAACCTAACCAAATACTAACTCAACCAAATACTATTTACTTGCTGTCTTAACCAAACCAAATACTAGCTCAACTCAACTCAACCAAATACTTAAACCTAACCAAATAGTTAACTTAAACCAAACCAACTCCATCTAAACTTAAACCAAACTTAACCCCACTTAAACCAAACCAAACCCAACCAAACTCAAACCCAAACTTAACTCAAAATATATCTTTACTAACTCAACTCAACTCAACTCAACCCAAAACAAACCCAAACCCAATACTAACCCAACTCAATACTAACTCAACCCAATCCATCATCCAAATACTAACCCAACCCCAACCCAGTACTAAGACCACCTCAATATCAAACTAAACCATACTAAACATCCCCCTTTTTTTCTTTGTTTAATGCACCAACAGATCAAAGTGTACACGCAGTACGTTCTTGACCTAATTGAAAGAGGTCCTTTCGCTCTTTTTAAGAACCTTTGGGGTCGTCAGACCAATATTCTCTTCTTAGGCCTAGATAATTCAGGAAAGACTACTCTTCTCCTCCGATTGAAGTCCGATACAGTCCATACAGTTGCTCCAACCCTTTCTGTCCGGCAGGAGACTCTTCAGATTGGCAACCATCTTAAAATGACTATTAGTGACCTAGGCGGGCATGAAACAGCTAGATTAGGCTGGAGTACTTTCTTTGTTCAATCTCATGGTATTATCTTTATGATAGATATAACGGATGAAGCTCGATATGAACTAGTTCGTGAGACTTATCAGAGTTTACTAGTTACTATAGAGAATTCTGGTCGGAAAAGTATTCCGATTGCTGTGTTGTTCAATAAGACCGATATGTGGCAGAAGTATTGGGAGAGTAAACATAAGGGTGAAATGGCCCCACCTTTAGATGATTCTTATCTGCACTATCTTTGTCAGATAATTGGAATCCGTACGGGTGATGGTGAGGATGGTCGGCGTATTTCTGCTAATTTCTGCAGTGTAGTGACTGACTCGACTACCAATCAGAACAAAGGGTTCATGTTGGCGTTTAAGTGGCTAGATATGATGATTCGTACACCTAAATAAACACTTGCTTAGGTTTCAAAAGGGACTCGTTTATTTGCAGAATAAGAGACAGCCATCAGTTGTTCGAGACTTAAAGTATATAATGGGTGGCAAGGTCGGGCTTATGCAAGTTTGTTTCTGGTTGCTTCTTGGCTTACTTTTGTCTTTGAGTCGGGCCTACTACTATCCGGGGTACTATCCGCCGCCTTCTTCCTGGGGGTGGTACCCAAGACATCAGATTCACCATGTAAATAGGTACGTTAGCCATTCTTTCTACAACAATCCTTTTGAAGTGGGTGGCTATTTGCACCCTGGGTATTCCGACCATTTACCCCAATACCCGTCCTCAACTACGGCTAACTGATAAATAAAAACCATACTATCTTATCTTATCTTGATATTATCTTATTTTGTTGTTTTTGAACTGTTCATTTGTATCTTTATTCTAAGGCCTATCTAATCTTAATGATATGTTTTGTTACATTAGGATTAAATTTAAAAGAAGTCTTACCAAACAGAAGTATAGTAGACTTGCTATTTTGTTTTTGTTTTACATTTCACTTTAGATTAAGTTAGATTTAGATTTAGATTGTGTTAGAGTTGGGTTTGAGTTAGATTGGGTTTGAGTTAGGATTTGGTTAGTATTGAGTTTGAATTTAGTATTGAGTTTGAATTTGGTTTGAGTTTGGATTGAGTTTGGTTTAGTATTGAGTTAGGACAGCAGCTATTAGTAACCCAGATCAATACAAGACTTAGCTTAACTGGTGAGTTAGATTAGGATTAGATTTATTGAACTGCTTAAGAAGACGATGACCTGCTGAGTATGCCTTCTTCTCTACTTCTTTACCTACATAACCAGACCAATAGAGATACTTATCTAAAACCAGACACTGTTACACCTAACTACCAGTTTAATACACTATCTAAAGAATAGTCAATAAAACACTATCTTAACTTAATACTATCTCAACTTAATACTATCTTAACTTAACACATAACACTAACTCAACCCAATCTAACCCAAACTTAACCCAATACTAAACCCAAACTTAACCCAACTTAATACTAACGCAATAAGTCTTTATTTGGATCTAGGAGGGCCTTTTTGTCCACAGATGTGTTTTCCCAAATGAATTACGATGACCGACATCAAAAGGGCCGGCAAAAAGACGGTCCACCAGAAGGCATGTTACAACAAGTCGAAAACATATTTATTGGTCTAATAGAAGGCGGATCAGGTGTTAGAGTATCAGTTAGACGGGGAAGAGTCCGCTACTGTAAAAAAAGGGGCATTTTTGAAGCAATTTAGTAAACAATGCAGCGCATACCTCGTACACGTAGTGGTTTAATAGAAAAGCCGGTTAAAACAACCCCAGTTAGTTATCTTGAGTCTTTAAAACAAGGTTTAATTGTTTCCACTATCTTCTTATTAGCTGAAATAACAGCACAATTCATTACTAAAGCACCAGCTAATATCTTTAGTGTTCTTTCTTGTACTCTTTATGGGTTTGTGACTGGTTCTTTAGCCTATGAATTATATCGACGCTTAGACGGCGCCACTTCTATTCCTTATCAGGAAAAACGAGCTACTCTTAAGATTAGAGCGGCTTTTAGTAAGTTATTGATTGACCAGTTAATCTTTTCGCCTATTTCTAATGCTATCTTTACTATCTTTTCTATCTGTATTAGTTCTAAGTCTTATACTCTCTTGACTGGTTTAGAGTACTACTTTGAGCTACTACTGAATAGTTACAAGATTTGGCCGATTGCCCAGTTAATTAACTTTTGGCTGGTTCCTCTTAAGTATCGGATGCTCTTTATTGGACTGGTTAGTTTTTGCTGGACGACCTTTGTTAGATACGATGCCAATAAATAGTTTATGAACTTATCTATAAATAATGTATTGAGTTGAGTTGAGTTGGGTTGGGTTGAGTTAGGTTAGGTTAGGTTGAGTTAGGTTAGGTTAGGATGGGGTTAAGTGCGATGGGTTGTAGTTATCTTGGTGGTATACTTGGTGCCATTGGGATTTGGGCTTGTATTTGGATGGTCAAAGTTATCTCTTGATTAAAATCTTGACCAAAATTATCCTAGGAAGATAGTAGCTCAAAACTTAAGATAAGACGAGGTAGGACTTAACTTTGGATAAACATAGTCTTTATTCGTGTGTATGGGCTTGTAAATACGTACTTAGTTCTATTTGATGACTTGTGGCTTGGCTTGTTTTCTGTTTTCTGAATTCTTAGATTGGTAGTGAACTATGAAATTAAGACAATGGCCATAGATCAGTTTTGATAAAAATAGAGGTATATATTTGGGAAAGAAAAGAGAGATATGAAATTATCTTTCGAATTGTTAGGTATTGGGGTATCTGGATTGCTTGCCTGGTTGTGTGGCATAACTTCTGGTCAAGTAACCAGTATTGCAGATAAAGCAGAGTCGGCATGGGAGAAACATTGCATTCGAATAAGCAGTAGTTCGCGGTTTGCTAACGCTGCGATTGAATACGATGCTAACCCTCAATGTTCAAAGATCGATCCTAAGAATGAGAAGGTACTTGGCAATACTGGACCTGTTGAGCACTACCGGGTATATTGGGAACATGTATTGAGTGCCGGGCTACTAAGTAATTCAGATACACAACGAATTATTGCGCTGCTACAGAATTGTCACCTAATTAACAGTCAGGACGTTGAACTCTGCCCTTTTGATCTGGAGAAAGATTCTCTATCATATGCATTAGATAAGACTATAAAGAAGTTTGAAAAGTACTATGTGATAGGCCATGAATATGCTGCAAAGCTTGGGCAGATAGATAAGCCCACTACTGGAGCTGAACTTGCTTTATTACTTGGCCCTGCCGATGATGATGCGAACCATAGCAAGTTCAACGCAATCCTAGAGCCTCTTTTGATGGACTATGTGGATCAGTTGTTTAATTGGACCCCGCCTGATGTATTTGAATGGAGTTTACATCAAATCTTGCCTGACGTTAACACTTGGCGCAAAATCATCCAAAACCCAACGGCAACCACCACCAATCTTTGTGCGCAGAAACAACTTAGACACTTTTTGTATGCATTACTACAAATACAACTGCATACCTCTAGCTTTTTAAGCCTTTCTAACAAACCCCAAGGGTTTTATCACCAAACCACAATCAATACTACCCCAAGGAAAGAGTTGAAAGACTTTAGAGAGGAGTTAGAGTTAAAGGCTATTGATATCATAAAAACTACTAGTATAAACGATAGGAGTGATCTTTTGAAGATATCTACAGCGGCATCACGTGCCCCTTTAATAAGGGTAATGCATAGTAAGTATTTCCAAAGGACTGAGTTTAGCAAACGGTTATCACATCTCCATAACTCTTTATTAGATGGTTCTACGTTTATGTTTTTCGTCAATGAGATTAAACAATGGTCAGATGATCTAAAGATAGTAGCAGAAAGGTTTAAGTATATAGTGAAAAGGACAAAACAACTACAACTTAAACTTAAGCCATACTTAACACCCACCCAAACGACCCCTAACATTCATGATTGTGTAGAATATCTAACTACAGACCCACAACCAAACATTCATCTTCCCAACGACGCATATGACTCCAACCAGGATCCATTATTCCATAACTCAGTCGAAGAAATTCTCATTCAAGTACGTGACGTAATACCTCTTAGCAGTGCTATCGAAAACAATCCTAAGCCACCTAATTCTACCGCAAACAGCAAAGAGGTTCTCATTCAAGAACTAGACGCAACATCTTTCGACACTAGCACAAACACCACTAATATCGAGACGCCTATTCCCGATACTGGAACCGAACAATCTTCTATTCAAGAACTAAGCGAAACATCCTTCACCATCAACATAAACACCACTAATACTGTGACACATATCCCGGAGACTGACATTGAGCAACCTCCTAATCAAAAGCTCGGCGGAACATCCTTCACCACTAGCACAAACAACACTAATTCCGAGACACCTATCCCCGATACTGGAACCGAACAACCTCCTAACCAAGAGCTAGACGAATCATTTATTGACGTTAGCACAGATACTAATACTGAGACGCCTATTTCCGAGACTATCACTGAACAACCTCCTAATCAAGAGCTAGACACAACACCTTCCAACACTAACACAGATACCACTAATACTGAGACGTCTATTCCCAATACCACCACTAGCACTATAACGAGCGATCATCCCGACGAAGAAACCGAGTCTAGCTCACCTAGTCTAAATCATAGCACACCACCTACTAACAAACCGTCATCTGCCGCCTCTCATAAACCATGGTGGAAATCCAGCTCTCCCATCTTCCACGTAGCCATAAGCAGTCTATTCTGGACCCGCCTCACCAACCTACTTGGACTGTCTCATTGATAGTTTACTCTAGCCACCCAAACCCGACAAGATTTATTCTTTACTCTGCCAATCCTCCACAAACCCAATCCAATCCATCATCAACTCACTCAACCCACTCAACCCAATCCATCATCAACTCACTCAACACAAGCAATAAATCTAATTGTCGGAATCTAGCCACTAACTTAACTTAGTCTTGTTTAATCCAAAACCAACCCATTTCGAAAGTTATTTCTAGTCTAACAACCGATTTAGTATGAGACACTTTTATCATCCGAATCTATCCCAAACACCAGATCTATAAATATCCTAAATCCTAGCAACAACCATTTTATCCAAGTCAGCATTGCCTCAGCATTAAGTTACTACTTGGCCTGTAAACTTATTCGTCTATCTTTACTACCAGAAAGTAATATCAGTTTATTCTTTAGCAATATTCATCCAATAATACTCTACTTAATCTTGAGTTAACAGTCTTTAAGTTAAAATAGGACAATTAAGGCCAGATGAATAGACTAAACCTTTCACACTAATTATCTACCTTAAGATTTTAACCAGAATAACAACATAGCTCTTATCTAATACTAACCCAATACTAGCACCACCTGTTTTCTTTTTTAATGGCTGGTACCGCAAAGCGCAGAGCATCTCGTCTTCTAACCAAAGATAACGAATCAGCCGAAGAAGAAAGTCCAGTTGAAGAACTTCGTTTTAATCCTAATGCTAAAGTACTTAGAGCTAGAAGAAGAACAGATCCAGTAGTGGTTAAAAAGGGTTTATTTAGTGGTATGACTGTCTTCCAAACTAGTGATCAGAAACTCAAAGGTCTTAATACTTCATTTCTTCAAGCAGCCAATCAAGCGTATACTACTAACAATACTTACGACCTAAATCCTCTATTTACTCAGTATAATACGTATCGGGCCGAAATCGAGCAGAAAGAGAAAGATAGAAGTACAGCTGCTAATATCTTCCAATCTGGAGTTAGACCAGGCAGTACCCCAATTAGTACGCCAATTAGTACTCCTGATACAAGTATAGCTGGTGATAATAAGAACATATCTAGTGATAATTTACCCAATACTAACTCAACTCAATCTGGGCCAAATCAAAAACCTACTCCACTATCTCCATCTAAATCTCATTCAAAACCTACTCCATCCTCTCCTAAACCCACACCATCTTCTCCACCTAAACCCCATTCAAAACCTACACCATCATCACCTAAACCCCATTCAAAACCCACTCCACTATCTCCACCTAAACCCCATTCAAAACCTACACCATCATCACCTAAACCCCATTCAAAACCCACTCCACTATCTCCACCTAAACCCCATTCAAAACCTACACCATCATCACCTAAATCTAATCCCAACTCAACTCAATTTCAACCTTTAGAAGTAGATTGCAAAGTATACGTGCGTAAGACTAAACGTTTTGAGAGTATTGGGTTTGTTAAGCTAGTGGTGGAAGAGAGGAAGGGAGATAAGTGCATTGCTATTTATGATGGCAAGAAAGAGATAGTTTGTTCTTCAATTCAACAATCTTCTATTCGTTCGGAAGCAGGTAGTAAAGAACTTATCTTTGTTGATTCAGATACAACTGCTTTATATAAGGCTAAGTTTGCTACTTTAAAGGACTCAGATGATTTAAGACGGGCTTGTGGACTACTAGACTCTAATTCTGATAACAATTAACAATAAACCTATCTTATCTACTTTTTACTATCTAAATATCATTTAATCAAAAATTCAACACAATCTAACTTAATCAAAAACCTATTGGGTTTATTTCTGATTCTCATGCATCATCTTCTGGACTTTTTGTCTGGTTTCATCATCCAGTTGGGATAAGTTAGTTATTGTGGCTGGTGGGAGTTCTTCAGAACTAAGGGGTTTATCTCCTTCAAAGAGAATGTCCCAATTCATTACGGAGTCTCGATAGAGGACTATTTCAATCTCATCATTATCAACTGTCCAGCACATTTCATCTTCTAAGATAGGATTAGCTATTGTTTTATCAAGCAAAGTCTGATTTTGTTGAGTTACTTTGAGATGTTTGTTGATTAGAGAGACTTTAACACCGGATGACGTATTAGGAAGAGTTGGAATAGTTATAACAACCTCTTTGAGTTGCTGAGACCAATTCATAGATAAAAAAAGAGCATTAAGCTAGCATTAAATTGGGTTTAGTATTGTGTTGAGTTGAGTTAAGTTAGATTAGGTTGGGGTGGGTTGAGTTGAGTTGAGTTACGTTAAGTTGAATTAGGTTGAGTTGAGTTGGTATATTTTATTTTAGCTTATCATATCTGCAGATATAGTCTAATTTCATAACTTTATCATAACCTTATCACAACTTAACTTAACTCAACACAACACAATATATAGTTGGGATAGCTGGGTAAACAATGCAAACACAAACACTACTACGTCGCGATGAAGTTGAAGAACATGAAATTCTGCTTCAGGGAACTATTCGGGCTATTCGAGAAGCTACAGTTGAGGTCTCTTCCGTTTCAGCTGTAGTGCATGCACAAGGTGAGGTAATTGATAAGATTGAAAGGAAGATTTCCAACGCCGAAGGAACTTTGAAAAGAGCTAGTCGGAAACTAACTGCGCTAGTAAGACAGTCAAAGAAACGCAGAGCTGTTTCTATTTGTTTGCTTGCTATGACAACTCTTTGTCTAGTCTGTCTCTTTACCACTACCTTATTTAAACGCTAGACACCCTGTTTGTATGGAACAAACAAGTTCACTCGTGAACACTTTACCCAACCAAATCATCAAAGGCATTGAAGATACCGGCATCAACTACAATATCATTGTAGCCGGTGAAGGATACTCCGGCAAAACATCCTTAATCCAAAGCCTCTTTGGTATAGATATGCAAACTGCCACTCGAGATAACGATTTATTCCATGAAGTCTGTGACATGGTTTGCACCAATAATCCACTAGCCGACTTACTGGAAGCCGCTCCAGCTGTCAAACTAGACAGTCTAGGCATTTCCGTCTCAGCCACCCGCGTCACTCTCCAAGAAGAAAGTATTCACCTTAACCTAACCATCTATGAGATCAGCCACATTGGCGACTCCCTCAAAAACCAGCTCGACTGGACACCAATCCGCAACCTCATCTTCAACCGCTACGAAGAGTACCACATGGAAGAAGATCTCGGGACTAACATCCAAGATAAAAGAATCCATTGCTGCCTCTACCTTACCAATCCCCGCATTATCCCTCGCCAGGTAGATATCAACGTCATGAAAGAAATCGGCCAAATCACCAATCTCATCCCAGTTATTTCCAAAGCCGATACACTCACTTCCGAAGAGTACAAACAAATGAAAGAAACCCTCTTCTCCACCCTCGTCGCCCATAAAGTCCAACTCTTTGACAGTATCCTGATTGATGAGTGCAAAAAAGTCGTCGAACTCAACTTCGTCCCCCTCCGCTTCAGCACCCTCAACCGCATCTATCCCTACCACGCCCACCAATCCCAGCACACCCAAGAATCCGACCTAGTCACCCTACGCGACCTCCTTATCAAATCACATGCCATCGACCTGGTCGAAGTCACCGAAAAGTACTACGAACACTATCGCCGCAACAAAATGATCGTCGATGTCCTAACCGCCACCGATTCCGGCCTAGATGAGAACTTCAAAAGAAAGATAGGCCTAGAAGAAACCAAACTAAAAACACTAACCAAAAGATTAGCCGAAAAGAAGAAGAATTATCTTTTACTTATCTCCCAACATAAACACTTGATTTCTGAAGATTTAATCTAAAAACCCAATATTTGATTTAAAAACCCAAGATTTAATCTAAAAACCCAATTTTCACAACTATCGCCAATTTACCAATAAACCACCCCTAACCCAATACTACCCAACACGAATCAATAAACTCCCAAAACCAACCATTAATTAACTACCCCCGAGGCGTTATAAAACACCCTGTAAAATATTTTCTCCGTTACGGGGATGATTAAGCCTATTGAGAGAAATTCAGCCCATTTGCTTGTTTTTCTAGTCGGTTTGGCCTATAGCGCCATAAATATTATCCAACCCAAATTGTTCCGTTTAAAAGACCACGCATTAACCAATGCTTTATTCCTACCATGCAACTACGCCGTAATGATCTTACTACTACTGGCACTACTCTATCGCACCAAACAGAAGCAGTTAGGCGAGTACCATAAGATCCATGGAGTTTTATTGATAAGCGGTATGATATACTTACTATTAGCCCGATTAGGAAGTCATCCAGTTCTATCTCAAATTGGATCTTTAGTCCACCAGTACGTCTTTCTTTACTTCTTAGGAGGTCTAGTGCAATCTTTGCGCTTCCTCCCGGGTGTAGCTCTACTAGCCCGTGAAGTAGGTCCTAATGCCCATGGTGGGTTTAAAGTAGGCTATTTAGCCTTAAATGTAGCTATTTACTCAACGCATACGTATAGTATGGACTTCTTTCGGAGTCAGTTATCTCTACCGATAGCAGATTATGGGTATATTGGTTCAATGTCGATCTTTTACTTGGCGAATATCTTCTTTAGTGCGGCGGCTGATCGGTACAAGATAACCAAGAAAATGACTATTATTTTAGCTCTACTATCTACTGTGGTTTATAGTGGGTTCTTTTTGTTGCGAGATATGCAGTGTCGGAATGTTTTGATTATTTGTATGGTCTATTCTTTGTACGTGATTTTACTATCACCAGTCTTTCCTTTGTACGATGCTTTGATCTTAGCTCAGTTGGATAAAGAGCATCAGGCAACGACTCCGGAGTTGAAGAAGGAGATCTTTTCTCGGATTAGAATGTGGGCTAGTATTGGTCATGCTTTTTCTGGGGTGATTATCTCGCATATTCATAAGACTTTCCGAGCAGTAGAAGCAGTAGATAGTCGTAGTGAGGAGGAGTCAAATAGTTCTTTGTTTTCTGTTTTAATGGGAGTTCTTATCTCAAGTATAATTTTGTTTGTTTTGATAACAACTAAGTATGTGGATGAAAAAGATAGCACTAAAGTAACTGGAGCAAAACCAAGTACTACTAGTGAGACATCTTTAAATGAGAGTAGTAGTAAGAAAGAGACAGATGGTGAAGATAAGGAAGAGATAGGAGTAGTGAGTAGTAGTAGTGGGAAGAGTAATAGTAGGGAATTACTGCTTAATCCTGACTTCCTTTTCTTGTTGTTTGTGATTACTTCGATTGGAGTGACTAGAGGTGTTTCTTCTTATTATTTGGTGACGTATATGACTGTTTACTTTAAGAAGAAGTTCTCAAGTATTACGGCTATCTTTTGTATCCGGACATTTAGTGAGATGATTATTATGTACTCTAGTAAGCCTCTTTTGAAACACTTTGGATACCATTGGTTACTTTACTTCTCTTTGATTGCTGTGGCTGTACGGGAGTTTAATTATGCTATTATGCCGCAGGGGCAGTATACAGTGGTTTATGCGGCTGTTAATGAAGTGCTTAAGGGTATTAGTGCTTCTTGCTTGATAGTTAGTGCGGTGAATATTGCTAATGCATATGGGGGGAAGCATAACAAAGGGTTGGCCCAGGCTTGTTATAGTGGGTGTTATAATGGGATGTCTATTCTTATCTCTTCTTTAGTAGGAATGGTGGCCGTACGGGTGTTTAAAGACTTCCGATCTCTTTTCTTTGTTTCTTCTCTTATTGGGTTTAGTTGTTCTATTCTGGTGATTATCAAGTATCAAATTATTGATAAGCGTATTAGAAAGAAGCATCTTAGCTCAGTCCGTAGAGCCGCTGCTACCAGCTAATAAATCATCCTAATAAGTAGATATGTGTGTTGGGGAGGGTTTGGTTGTGTGAGGTAGGGTTAGTTCTAACCGGGTATCCTAAAAAGGAAATTGTTTTAAAAGCATAATTACCTAATAAGGAAAAAACACGTCATCTATAAATTAGTTCTAAAGTAGCTATAAATTGAGTTAAGAATAAATAGCCAAGATATAGTATTAGATTGTGTTTAGTATTAAGTTGAGTTTAGTATTGGGTTGGTATTGGGTTGGGTTTGGTATTGTGTTGGTATTGTGTTGGTATTGTGTTGGTGTTGGGTTGTGTTGGGTTGAGATAGGTTGAGATAGTATTTGAGTAGATAGTAATTGGTCGGTGTTGTAGTGCTTGGCCTCTTTGGTCTTAAATCTAAGATAATTAAATAGCAACCTAATTTACCAAAAAGGGAAAGATTAAGTCGAGTTGACTTGACTTGAGTTGGGATTGGGTTAAACTTTAGCTTAATTATATCTAAATCTAAATTGTATCTTAATCTATTTTAATCTATATTTTAATCAGTGAAAACAAAAAATTACCATAAAAGGAAATTTTTGATAAAAAGTCTGACTAATTTAGTCATAGAAAAATTTTCGATTCCATCAAACTTTTATGGAAGCTAATACTCTAATGCCTCGAGCATTTGATCCATCAGGTGGTGGGTCTAAAGTGCTTTATCCTGATGTCTACGATCCTAAATTAGGGTTTCGTGCTGGCCTGTCACCAACTCAGACATTTACTCTTCCCCCAAAGCCTTCCTTTCCTTCTCCATCAACACCAGGACCAATAACGATACCAACACCAAATATTCCACCATCAGCAACAACTGATCCGTTTTTCCTGCCATCTGCTTCTGCCACACCACCTACAATCAGCAGTGTTGGTGTAATGACGCCCAATCACGCCCAGAAAGCATCCTTTTCAATCGCAAATGCAGAGTTACAAAAGAAAGCCGCAGCAGCCGTATCTATCAAAGTAACGATCGGTGCTATTTCGCGAATAGACGCTAATACTGCTATAGTTAAATCAGCCGCCCTATCTGGCAGTAGTATTAATAATGTAGTTGCTAACGTTGATTTAAAAGTTATAGCTGATAATCCTACTTTTGCTAACTTCCTTGCTCATGTTGTTCCCCAAGTTATGTCCCAGATGCCTACTTTGAATGATTTACAAGCGATAAGATATCAGAATATTATGCTTTATTCACAAGCCTTATTTAATCAGACATCTTTTGCTAGTCAAGCTATATCTATTGGTGGTGTCATTACAGTAACTGCCGTTGGGTTTTTTATCTTCAGTTTGGGTATAGTAGCCGCTGGCATGGGCGGGAAAAGTGCCTTCAACTGGTTTAAAGGCTTCTCTGGATTTGGTAATTTACTGCGCTCACCAGATGAGTATGTTACCCAGTATACTACTTTAACTGATGAAGATCCAGTACCTAATGCTGATTCATCCCAATACCATCAGTACCACCATGTTTCCTATCCTAATGCAACTGGGTCAAAATCACAATCTTATCTATCTTCTTTTAACACACAACAATGCTTCCGCCGGGCTTATCATATGGCATTGATTGGCTTTTCAATTATGGCAGTTTTAGTTATTTATCTTTATGCCAGTGGTTGTTATTATCGCAGTCATTCTATATCTTATGTTTCTCCAGTTCATGAAACATTCCGAGTGCACTTAGTAGCTCTATTTGACCGAATCACTAATAGCACAGCCCTATCAGGTTTACCTAAAGTCATTGAGGTTGTCACTACTGATTTCTGGGCAGTACTCATGCATATATTCAAGAATCCAGCTGCAGTTGTTCTATCCATCGCTAAATTCATTCTGACTATCAATGCAGGAATTGCCAGTATAGTTTTACTCAGTATTCTAGTTAATCTCAATAAGAAGCTCATTTGGCCTAAGTATGCCTTGGCTGTAGCTAAAAACGTCTTCCGCCATGTCATACTTACTCTTTTCATTCTAGTCCCATTCTTTATCTTCCTCTACCTCGTCTACTTAGGTCTAGCTTACTTTGGACTACTTGATTTAGTCCTAGGCAGACCCTTAGCCTACTGCATTGGCTTCCTCAATTCGGTTTGTGCCCAAAAAGTCCCCGTCTAAGCCAGCCCCATAGATAGCAAATAAAACAACAATATTACACATCTACATATCATATTATCTAAAACAGAACCCAAATCTACTATCTCATATCTAACAACCCAATATCAACTTAACTCAACTCAATATCAACTTAACCTAATATCAACTTAACGTAATATCAACTTAACTCAATTCAACACCACATTAACCCAACCCAATACAATACCAAACACATACTAATCACTCTTTATTTATGCACCCGCCTATAATACTACATGCTAAGCGGATTGGGCTAGTATTAGATCAGTTCCTACTATCTTAACCCAAACCAAAACCATATCAAAACCATATCAAAACCAAAACCAAACTAACCCATTGTCTCTTCTTGAGGCTCTTCCCGTGCTAAACTCCTCCTCTCCTCTAAACCCTTCCTATCATCTGTCTTTCTTCGTCCTAATCGAGCTGTGATTGTCTTATCATAAAATTGTTGATTATTCAATCTTTCAATCGCCCAATCTCTCTCTTGTTTATATCCAAATTCAAGTAAAGCATCTCCAGATTGCAAGATCTTCATATACTCCGGTCTAGCTTTACTCATCAGAACAAAAGATCTTAATTCAGACCACTCTACATCTTGAGGTAAACCTTCTAAGATAAGACGAAAAGGTCTTGTATGTAAAGGAGTCCTTCCTGGTCCCATATAACGAGGTCCTGAAGCAAAGACTGGTCCTCTATCCATTCTTCTTCCTCTAGCTAGTTCAACTACTACTGGTTCTCCACCTATACTGTGTTTCTCAGCTAAAATTCGATCTCCGGTCTCCCCGTCCACAATTAAGAACCCGTATGTACTATAAAGCTTAACACTTTCAACCGGTCCATAATTAGAGAAATAGTCAAAGACTTCCTTTTCCTGAGTATTCTCTCGTATTCCACCGATATACAGCTGCATAGTCTTAAAAAATAAATAAAATATATATACATCTACGTGGTAGTAGTTAGTCATATGTATATGTAGAGGTTGTATATACTTTCAGTCTAATTAATGCGTTAAGTAAAGTTAAGAATTGCAATAAATTATCTCTTATTTCCATTTGGGCGAATATTACGTTAATTTAAGTGAGTATTTGATTAAGTTAAAATTAAGATAAGATAAGATAAGTTGAGTAAAGATAAGATAAGGTTGAGTTATGTTGTTATTGGATTGAGTTGGATTGGGTTAAGATTGGGTTATGTTAGGAGATACACTAAGTTGTTATTTAAATAAGATATACTAATTAGATAAGATCCTAACTTAACTCAACTTAACTCAACCCAACACAATACAAACTCAACCTAATACAAACTCAACCTAATATAAACTCAACTTAAACTTAAACTTAAACTTAATACAAACTCAACACAATACTACACCTAATTAAAACCTAATTTATGTTTATGTTATATGATATAGTATGCTATCTACTTGATTAGATGGCAGAATAACTACTACTTAGATTGCTTGTTAGATTTACTAGTTAAGCGATTACTAGCCTTATAATAAAGATAGATAAAACCTGGAATGTAGATAAGAAGGGCAATAATAGATAAGCGATCTCTACGTTGTATTAAGAGAAATACTTCACAAAGAACTCCAATCGGATAAAGAAGTAAAGAAGCTGCCGCTCTTACTCTTCTTAAACCAGGCACTAAATAATGACTAAATCTTAACGTATCAGCTATTCCCCAGGTGATTAGCATTACACTAAGTACCTTATTAGGCTTATCAGGACATATCCAGCCAGAAATGAATATACGAGATCCAGTTTGCATTAAGGAAACCAAGTAGTTCTGACGAGTAGCACCTGATAATGATCCTAATAATTCAAGTAAGTAAAGGAACTGAATAGTTCTAAGTACTTTTAAGTCGTATCCCTGGCCTAATTGAAGGCTTAACATTCCCATTCTTAAAACACAGATAGAGATAAGAAGACCCAAAAGATTAGCTGAAGATTTAACAAGAAAGAGTAAGTGAATAATCAGACGGCGGATATGCATGGAAAAAAAACACATGCAAAATTTAATGGTAAACTCAGATAGAGGTGTTAATAAGCGTGTATTAAAGAGTCCTAGTGAAGATTTAGGTCAGTCTAAACGTAGTCCTACTAAGTCTAGTTCTGTTTTGAATGTAATTGATAAGAGAGATAAGAAAGATAAGAAAGATAAGGCTGATTTGACTTTAAATTCGGATAAGACTACCGATTTATCCATTGAAACATTAGGTGAAGGCTTAGATAAGGATTTAGATAAGAATTTAGATAAGAATTTAGATAAGAAAAGTAATGTTATAAGTGAATCTAATAAGTCTACTACTACTAATAATACTAGTGATAATACTAGTGATAATAGTACTCCTAATAATACTAGTGATAATACTACTCCTAGTAAGTCTAAGAGTAAGGCTAGCACTACTAAGTCTACTCAACCCACTACTAATAATACTAAGTCTACTAATACTACTCAAAACACTACTACTCAACCCACTACTAATAATACTACTCCTAATAAGTCTACTCAACCCACTACTAACAATATTAATAATACTACTGTAGATGAGTCTCTTCCTACTACTAATAATACTCCTAATGATAATAATGACAACCAAAATAGTGATAATAATGATAAGGACGGCAATCAAGATAGTGATAAGGACATCACCCAAGACAATCAAGATGATAGTAGTGATAATGATGGTAATGGTGATAATTTGGTTATGACGGGGAAGAGTGCTAGAGAAGAGGTGGATGGAGAACTGCTGCGGGTGTTTCAGAGTACGTTATCTGGGAGTGAGGGAGTACAGGGGGTGGATAAGTTACTGAACTTACCGGATGAAATGGAACATGTTCGAGTGGCTTGGTTCTTGGCCTTATCGGAACAACGCGTGTTAGGTGAGGTTGAGGAAAGAGTCGAGTTAGATAAGAAGATTGAAGAACTAAGAACTAAAGTTTTGTTGAGATCTGATCCTAGATGGCATCGAGCTGTGCGTAAAGCTAAGTATACAGTTGATAGTTCTTTAAATGGTCCAGTTTCAGTGGCTGGAGTTGAATTACTGATTAGTACGGTTATTGAGACTTTAATTAGAACTAGTAGTGTAGAGATTGATAGGGCAGTGGATTTAGTATTGGGTAATAGTGCTGATCAAGATCCACGGGTGGTTAGAGTGCAAGGTACGGATGTAGAGATAGTAGATGAGATTTTAGAAAGTTTAGCTCGTTTACCGATAGCCGAGATAAAGAAACGAATTGTATCTATTGCTGGAACATTAGGGCCAGAACATATTGAGACTATTTTAAGCCATTTATCAGGCGATTTAGGCCGATTACTACCAACAGCCTTGTTTGTGCACAACCAGGTGGTTTATGACTTGTTAGAAAGAGAGTTCTTTAAGAGGTACGTAGTTGAACGGCCGGGAATGGTTGAGTACTTCCCTAGGATTGATATTGAAGCGGTTATTAAGAGTTTACATCGGACTTCAGCTATGTTTAGGTCTTTAGAAACAATTGCCAGACAAAGACCTATTCATCGAGCGAGAATTGTCGATGAGATTTGTTCTTATATCAAAAAAGGAGCCAGAACTAAGTGTGTTGTGTTTGTTAAGGATAACTTATCTTTATTTACCGATCGGATTGATGATTTAGGTCTAAGTTGTGAGGAGTTGTTACTCTTAGCTGAAAAACGACCAGAGTTACTACAGAAGGTCTTTATCGTGATTTCTGAGTTGAAAACCTCATTGAAAGAGAAGAGACAGCAAAACCATCAGAAGAAAGAGAAAAGACTCTCTTCTTTGATTGCCGTTACAGCTGCTCAACTAGGAAGTTTACCGGAAGAGACAGTCGAACAGTTTATCTTAGAAGGAGCAGCTAAAGATCCAGATTTACTAGCTAGACTTTGTTTAGGACTATTTAGATTACAACCACCAGGACCACAAGTACGTCGGGCTTTAGCTAAATTAGCAGCAGCTGGTTCACCGCCGGCTTTGGTCTTTGCCGCTCTGCCTTACTTAGAGGACCAACAACGCTTAAGACTAGTGAAGAGGTACTTGGTAGATGACGTCTCTTTGGTTTTGTTCCTACGAGTAGTCAGACCAGAAGACTTACTAGTACATGCCCATGGACTAGAGGCAGATAGTGCCCGACGGATTATTAAGTTGTGTTTACAACGACCGGAAGCCTTCCCTGATCGGACTGTATCTTTGGCTTTAGCACAAATGGAAGAGTTTCATCCATTGCCAGAACTCTTTGTTAGTACGGTTGAAGCCGCCTTAGAAGCTTTTCCTAATATGAAGCCATTTATTGTTACGTTGATTAGACGGACTTGGGAAAGGCTTTTTACAGCTAATCCTAAAGGCACTGTCCGTTTACTCGAACGACTTGAAGCAGCCTCACCAGAACTACTTCTTTCCTTCTCTGAAGCAGCTATTCGGGAGGTTCTAGCGACTTCAGAAGTTCTACGCGACCGACTTGAAACATATCTCCGCAAACAACCCAAGTATATTCAAAGCAAGTATGCCGATCTAGCCCGTGAAGCCGCAACAACTCCACAATAATCACTTACTTATTCAATTATTCAATTACTCAATATCTACTTAAGTTAATAAACAGTTACCTTGCATTAGACACATTTACTGATTTACTCCTTATCCCGTATTTACACATTACATCTTACATAATCCAGGCTATACTTACTCCGCTACTAAACCTAACACAACCCAACCCAACACAACCTAACACAACCTACCCGTTGCATATATTTGATCTGAACTAATCTAACCCAATACTTAACTTAACTCTTCACATTATTATAGTATAGTATTGATATTGTATTAGGTTGGGGTGGTGTAGTATGATTATGTGCTAGGAGTTATAGGTTGAGTTGAGTTGGCATGGTGTAGTATGATATACCAACTCAATACCAATACCACGCCAACTCTACACCAACACCAAATACAATCCCAATCTAACCCTATACCAACCCAACCTAATACAATACCAATATCAATACAATACCAACACAACCCAATCCCAACCCAACCATACACAATACTCACTCAATACCACACTAAATATATATCTAAATCCAATCCTAACCCAATCTTTTTCAGAAGTGGCAGACTAAGAACTCCTTTTTAGTTTCTGTTTTGGCTAAGATAGACTAGTCTAATTAGATTATATAAGCCTTTTTAATATTTTGTGTATGTCATACGAACTATATCGAGAGTTTGCGGCTGGTGCTTTAGCTGGAGCTCTACTAGTGATCTTTATGCAATTTGCGACCCTTGTTTTGGGCCTACGTCGCATGGTCCGAAAAAAGAGATATCCTGACACATGTCCTAGAGATATGCTTAAAGATCCTTCTGAATCTTTAATGAATGCCTTATCTCTAGCTACAGAAGAATGTACAGATGTAGCTTGGTTAAATATAGTCTTTCAAAGATACTTTGTTGAATTATCAAGATCAAGTACCTTTTATGAGAAGGTTAAAGAGACTCTAGTTAAGAAACTCTCTTTAGCCTTCTCAACTGGTATTCTTAAACGAGTTCGATTTAGAGATATTTCCTTTGGTAGCGAAGCTCCTTATATTCGTACTATTAGAGCTCTTTCTGATAACGAGTTAGAAGAGTTACTGGCGAGAACGGGTGAGAAACGAGCGAGAAGACCGGCTGGGTTTAGTCAAGTAAGTTTATTGATGGATGTTGAGTATGCAGCAGGAGATAATTGTATGTACGTTGATGCTGACCTAATAAAGGGGTACTCTATTCCTATTATGGTACGTTTACAGCCATTTCGAGGCCAGTTAGTGGTTAGAGTGCCTGCTAGTAACTATCATACGCGGTTGGAGTTATGTTTCTTGGAAAATCCTGGGTTTGATTTCTCGGTGGAAGCTGCTTTTGCTAAGAACGATACGGTCTTCTTTTCTAGTTCAGTTAGTACGTTATTGAAACGATTATGCCGTTATGTGGCTAAGATGTACATTTATCCGAACTGGTACTACTACTACTTGCCGATGTTAGTATCACGATCCAAAATTATTGCTTATCCTTACTATCCAGTATCAGCTGGGAATATTGAAGCGGCTATGCAACAGATTAGGGAAATCAAAAATTTATTGAGTTTAGATTTTGCTATCATTACCAAAAAAGGAAATGTTATTTTTCGGAAGACCAAAAGTACAGTTAATTCATCTAGTGAGCCATTAATGCGGGCTGAGATAGAAATGCCACCCGAAAAGATTTCCCGGATTGGAGAAATGTTTCGTACGCCCGAAGATCTCTTCAATCCCTTTGCCGGGGTAGTGAGTGCTTATGAAGGAACTAAAGTCATTGAGACGTACGCCCCGCATTTAGCCCGAGTTCATGTAGTTATTGCTGGGGAAGTCTTTGAGTTTATTAGAATTACAGTAGATGATATGTTGCTTTACCAATTAACAGATCCGGCTGAGCCCCAGTTCTTACTTCTTTATCGGGAGCCTAAACGGATTCTAGTCGTCCAGTACGCCTCTAGATCTAGTCTCTTCCGTTTAGGCCAATTCCGGATCCAGAAACTAGTCGGGAAGTTAGAAGAAGAAGAACTTAAAGTCTGGGGATCAGCTCGACTCTTCAAACTCTTTGATCTATCCGTACGAGCAGCCGGATCAGCCAAACGTATTTTCGGTCGAGCCAATAAGCCATCTCAACCTAAGAAGAAAGAAGAACCGCCTAAAGATCCCGCCCGGGCCCAGTACGTTAGTGATGGATACGCCCTAGATACTTCTTCCCAAGAAAGTGTTTCGGAAGTGGCAATCATTGAGTCACACTTCCGGGCAATTGAAACACGTATTCTAGGAGATATGCGGGCACCGGATGCTCAAATAGACTTGCCTTATACAGCTGCTGAACTAAAGGATGTTTTAAAACTCTCAGTAACTCGAGCCTCTTTATTTGGTGAGTTTACTCTGATGGAAGATATTGAGTTAGCTGTAGGTATTCGTAGTACTTCGATGGCCGCTCCTTCCGGACAGTTTGTGCAACTACTTAGTTATAGTAATCCCGAAGGCGATCTAGTGATTGGCCGGATTTTGCTTTCAGAAGAGTTTCAAGGAGTGGCTGTAGCTGCTCGTATTCAGCCGAGTTGTATTTCCTTATTCACGGATGGCGGGTTTGTAGTGCACTGCCGTGAATTTGAACATATCATTCGCACCCGAGTTGAACAGAGTAGATTAGTACCTGGTGAGCCGCAAGAACTACCTAAACGATTTACACGTAGTTTTGATACGGCTGCCGGTATAATTATAACTAGTGAGACACCAACTCAATGTGAGATCTTCATTGGTAGAGGCGAAAGAGTGCTTAGAGGTGAAATCTCATTACAACAGCCCTGCACAGTCATTCTTGGCCGACTTAATGAAGATACTAATCTACAAGTATCTATCCGTACTAAGAAAGGAACAGCTACACTTAAAGAAGTACCTAATTCAGTCGACCAACTGACTTACATTGAAGGATCCTTTATTCTGAAGAAGAAGGGAGAAATCACCTTACCAATTGGTCCGGGGTATGCCCATTGGATCTTCCCATGGACAGCTAAAGCCAAGGATAAAGACAAGGATAAGTCAGGATACATTAATGGTTCCGGATATGCCAACTTTAATCAGCCAACTACACTTACTTGGGTTCAACAAGAAAGTTGTCCCACTACTTCCATTTCAGCCGCCAGCATTAAACCTTTCAACACTACCACTACTCCCACCGAACCAGCATCCTCAGCCAGTCCTAATCTCTCCTCACCCCAATACTAACACCACCCAACACCACCCAACTCAATACTAACTCAACACCACCCAACTCAATACCAACTCAATTTAATCTTTAAGTAGATAATACGATTTATTGATAGCCTATCTTAACTGCTACGAAACAAGCGCTTCTTAGCTGACTTACTTGCCCGGGCATTACAAGCATCTAACTGACTAATTAAGGCATCAATTTCTGAGTAACTGCCGATTTCTTTTAGAGTCTTAACATGTGATTTCTCCAAGATATGCTGATCGTAATCTTGATATCTTACTACACACATTTCACAAACACCTGGGCGGCGATTAGGCTTTTCACGTTTACCTGCAGGTCTAGGAATACTTGGGGCCAAAACAACTTTAGGAACACAATTTTCCTTACTAGTCCCTTCATATTCCTTATAAAATGGTCGATGTTTTCCCGTGGCATCTTCAATTAGAACATACGGATTCTTGAAAACATGATACTCCATCCCAATTTTCCAGAGATCCTATTTAAAATGAAAATGGCGGGAAGTCACCTATGCAATAAACATAATAGGTCAAAGACCTTCTTATTATTTACTTGTCCGATTAACAACCAGCTCATTATCAAGTAACAGATTGTCCCCAGTCATGCCCAAACCACTCCCAACACCCTACCTATTTATTCATCTACTTATCGCACTCTAAAATACTCAATCCCAACTCAATACCAACTCATTACTAACACTACCATCGACCACCTAAACTATTATATACTACTCCAACCAAGACCACTTATATTATTAACTACTTTATTTCACTTCACTTCACTTCACTTCACTTCACATTACTTTACTTCACTTCACATTACGTCATCAAACCAAACTCAACTCAACTTAAGACCACTCTAAGGTAGAAGGCCAAACTCATCCGGAGGATTTAAGTACTGAGGACCCACCAAACCAATACTAACACAATACCAACACAATACTAACACTAAACTCAATTAACTATTATCTGCACTGATTTAACACTACTCCTATCTTTCACTCCCTTACAACACCGACAACTCAATAAGTACTCTTAACTTACTCCAACCACACCACTCCAACCACACCCCAACCAAACCTCACCCCACCTAATTCTAGGTATTATGCCTGTCCTGATGTAATACCAGGGGGGAATTGACGTCTTTGCATCTTCTATAGACAATACAGACTAAATACTAATCTAGTTCTCTTTCTTTGTTTTTATGGACGAGACTGACGCATTAACTAACACTTTCTCAGAAGAAGGAAGAATTCATCAAGTCGAATATGCTATCAAGAGTATTAGTTCTGCTGGTGCTTCTTTAGGTCTTTGTTTCAAGAATGGGGTTGTTTTACTGGGAAAGAACACTGAAACTAATACTACTCTTATTCCAGATGAGAAGATTTACAATATCAATGATAATGTTTATGCCGTAGTAGGAGGTCTTTATGCCGATAGTAATGTCTTAGTAAACTATGCTCGTTTAAAAGCCCAAGAGTTTCTAGAGGAGTATGATCAGCCGATGAGCCCTTGGATGGTAGCTAAGACTATTGCTCGTATTCAACAAGACTTTACGCAAAAAGGAGGAATGCGGCCCTTTGGAGTAGCTTTGCTTATTGCTGGGTATGATACAGTTCGTGGTTATCGCTTATTTAGTACCGATCCTAGTGGTACGCCAGTTGAATGGACAGCCCATGCATTTGGCGAGGGAGAGAAGACCATAGTAGCAGCTTTAGATACACCGGATCTTTCTGCTCCAATGGATGCTGCTATTGCCCGAGCCTTCAAAGCTCTCTCTTCTGCCTCTGAAGGCCAGACTAATGAGCAAGCCATTGCCTGCACAATCCTCTATACCAATGAGGAGGGTAAGCACTGTGTAAGAACAATGAAGACCCCAGAGATAGCCGAAGCCCTCAGAGCCGCCAAAAATGAATAAATCAAATAGGCTACTACAATACAGTTTTATCTCTATCTCTATCTCAACCCACTCAATCCACTCAACCCAACCCAATACCAACCCAATCCAATACTAACTCAACCTAATCCAATACTAACTCAACCTAATCTAATACTAACTCAACCTAATCTAATACTAACTCAACCTAATCTAATACCATCTGAACATACCAGACTTTAAAGAGCATTAAAACACATTGAAACTAAGCAAATACTAAGCCAACACAATCTAATTCAATCTAATTCAATCTAAATTCAACCGAATAGACTCATTTTTTATTCGATGACGTGGAAGAAACATATTCAGAATTTAATGTCGCAACGGGCTTATGCCGAAGCAGAATTAGCCTTATCTGAAGTTGTACCTAGTCCTGAAGATATCATTCCTTTTGATGCATATACGGAAGTCTTGAATTTAGCCTTAAAAAAGGAGTCAAAGATAGGGATGGACGGATTATTACAAAGATATCCAGATATGTACTACCCAAAGATGGTTTATGCCAAATACTTAATAGGCATTGGAGAAGTTGATAAATCAATTGCTTACTATCAAGCCGCTTTAGTTGTGTGTACTGAACTAGAAGATCGTATAGATATGCTTAGAGAGTTGGTTTTTATGATGGTTTATCTAGGCAATGTAAATGAAGCCTTTCTCTATGCCCGCGATTTAGTACAGGCTTCTGCTTATCGCTGTGATATGCGTATGTTGTTCTGGATCTGTTCTTTAGCCGCCCCTAGTACTACTAATGAAGAGATAAGAGTTGAAGCCAATCGGATTTTACAGAAGTTGGGAGTTGCCTTTAGTATTCCTGAAATAAGTACAACCCAAAAACAGTATGGTGATATAAAGATAGATAGTGCTCCAGGTTTAGAAGAGTTCTTAACTATCAATGGACTGGCTAAACCTGATCACAAATCCGTAACTGAGATAGGTGTTTGTAGTGAACTCACTACTATTCATGATGCTGATCTTGAAGCCGGCAAATTCCTAGAAACTCTAGGTGGTCCCAAACACGTTGAAGCCAAAGTAGCCGAACTACGTAAAAGTGAAGATGTCGTTCTTCTCTACCGTATAGCCAATGCCATGTATACGCAAGAGTATTATGGATGTGCCCGTATTTTCTTCCGCGCACTTATTGAGATCTTTATCAACATAGACCAACTAAGACTCAGATTCCTTAAGCTAAGTTTCAATTGTGAATCCAACGAATTCTTCCGTGTCGCCAAACTAACTATGTCTTCCTTTAGTATGTTCAAAGAAAGTGTCAAACGTTTCAACATGTCCGTTTATCTTACCGGGAAAGGAAAAGGCAAACACCTCCCAGAACTAGAAGAGATCCTAATCCTAGCCTTCCCCGACCTCGACCTAATCAATCTCTACCAAGTACCTCCTCATATGGACAAGTCCCCAAAATCCCCCAAACTATCTTCACTCACTCTAGGATAGGAAATTACATCTTACGTACGTCCTAATACTATCTACCAATTCAATACAACATCTTATTAATATCTATTAACTACTAACTACTAACTATTAACTACTAATTACTCACTATTCACTCCACTACTCACTTCACTCCCCCTAACCTAATCATAATATAAATACGTAACATACTAACCACCTATACCTAATCCAGAACCTTTATTCAAGCACTACCACATGACTTATCAAATGACTTACCACATGATACTATCTAAAGACCCAAATCCAGCCGAAACGCCTACTTCATTATCATAATGGTATCTAGTCCTGAGAATGTACCCAGCTACAGAAGAAGCTTCAGCCGTAGGTGTAGCTACTGTATACCCAAATACACCTACTTCTCCAATCATATTCCCGATTGGCTTCATCAAAGCCCGATTCTTTCTTTGCGTTCCCTCTATCTCCTCCATTAGAATATAAGCCTCCTCTTCCTTCCCCGTTAAACTCTTAACCTTCTCCAGTACATCACCCTTAAAGTAATTATGACCTCCCCCTTCACTCAAAGGCTTCAGAACATAAGGCTTCTTAGGATTGTGCTTACGATACTCAGCTACAGTCATAAAGGACACAAAGAACCTTTCCACTGAGAAGTCTTCCGTATACCTACTCAAAAACTCCCGTTTAGCAAACAACCGTTGAAAGAACTTCAGTCCAGCTATCTGTACATTTACACTAGGCACAGGTACAGCCACTGTACTTTCAATTGCTATCCTCATCTTAATTATCTCTTCCGTATACTGATCAGCATTGTATAACCACCGGAAATAAACAACACTTACTTCTTCGCCATTATAAAACAACCGATCACCAACTACTTCATATCTACTCAGCATATCATCTACTGCTACAAAGTAAGCCTTCATACCTAAAGCCCCAACTAGTTCCAAAATCTGCTGCTTTTCCAGGTAGTTCTTACTACGGACTGAACTATCATTATCTAAGAGTATAAATACTCCTCGACAACCATACATTTGCTTATACTCCTTATCTATCAATCTAATAAATTCTTGCAATCTTTCCGGTCCTTCTGAAACCAAAACTTCTCTACCATCTAGTTCACCAACTGCTCGTTCAAAACTCTTCTGCCATTCATCATCTCCCATGAGTTCTTCATGCATTTTATTAACCGACTGACCTGCCACTACAAAGGCACAAGATACCGTATTAACTTCTACCTGTTTAAAACTACCTTCAATACTCTCAATATAATCAGAGCGAACCAATAGACCTTCTATCTTCCTAACTGGCACTCTTTCTCGCCTGATTCTTTCTAAAATTCCATAGATAAGATCAGACTCAATATCTATCGCTACTTTCTCTCCCTCCACTACTAACTCACCCGTACCTAACTCATTCAACATCTTCTCATCTCTAGCTATACCTAAGATCAACCGATTAACCAATAGTTGGACATTAAAAAGATCTTCAATACGATCGCGACGATAAACACTCGGATAAAGAGTTACACCAAGATCTTCTTCAAATCCATCAATACAACGCTTTAAGCCATACTTTTGTTTCAAAGCTAAAGCCCGTTCCAGAATAACCATAATTAGACCACAACAAATATTTTCATGGACAAAGAATCCTTCTCTCGTCTCTTCTTCTTTGATAAGACTTTAACACCTTCTGGACATAGTAAAACTCCTACTGCAACCAATGAAGACTGGGAAGTCGATTGGGACACCGAGATAAAAGACCAACTAGTTAATTTGCAACAAGAATTAGATACAATTGAAGAAGTCCGTAAACGAGTTCAATCTTAATAGGTATAATTCAAGATATCTTTATGGTTTAGATAGTCTGTTTAGGTTGTAACATATCTACCTTAATTATCTTCTACTTTTAGCCCGAATAAGCATATCTATATCTAGCAATAAACATGAGTTTAAGTGACGTATTTGAGTTAGTTTAGTATTTGGGTTAGTTTAGTATTGGTTTAGGTGGGGTTAGTATTGGTTTAGGTGGGGTTAGTATTAGTATTTGAGTGGTTTAGTATTGTCATACAATCACTATACTACTCACTACTTAGTACTCACTAATACACTACTTAGCAATACTAACTTATTATGACGTCATCACACACACACCCTTATTTACTCAATATAAGACTTCACTTAGCTCAAGGCATGCCTTTAATAGAGTATGTATTGAGTTAGTATTGAGTTAGTATTGAGTTAGGATTAGGTAAGTACTAGATACCACATCAACCTAACCTAACATAACTCAACTCAACTTAATACTAGTTTGGATCTAGAAGTCATATAAGTCTAGCTTAATTTAGACCGAACATAGTAGTACTTAGAAACTAACAGCCTAGTATTGGACTGAGATAGTACTTACTTAAGACTGCTAATAAGACTTAAATTAGATTGTTTTAACTAGATACTAATGAGATACTAACTAAATCAAAATTTATTTCGACTAGATCTTATCTTATCATGAATAGAACCAAAATCAAAATCAAAACCAAGATCAAAATCAAAGAGCAATGTAATCAAGATCATCTAGGGAGAGGTGCTTTTTCTTTTCGGCTAGAACGGTTGGACTGACTTGAGTAAGTTGTGAATTATCAAAAGTTCCAACTCCGATAAGAATGATATTCTCACCTCGAAGCATGTAAGCCTCTGAGAACTCTTCTGTATACTCCTGCCCGATAATGACGACCTCTTGGGCATCTTCTAAAAGAATATTATGATACTGGTCATAAGATCTGAGCGTACCAAAGACATAAGTACTATCTCGCAAACAAACAAATATAGATCGGTCTAAATACTCCTCTACCATGCGAGTTCCGGGCTCGGTATGCTTGTCCATTCGAAAGATTTTATTGGCCGGCTTTGAAACCCGATACTTAAATACGTCTAGTTTGTTTGGGTTATGGAAATAGAAAGGAAAAGGGGGGCTGTACATCAGGTTTACCAAAAGTACTTTAGAAGTAAAGTGGTGATGTTTATGGTAACTGCTATTATTTTCCATATCTCGATCTTTTTGTTTGAGATAGGGTATTTACAATACACCCGGCGAGTTTTGGGGCGACAAGAATTACCAGAGACGAACCCGGCTTTGGAAAGACTGATCGGAAAGGACCAGTCAGTGTACAAGAAGCAAAGAGACATTGCCAATCGTGGGACATGGCGACGAGTATGTTCGATTCTTTCGACTTTGATTGACTTTACTGTGATTGTGGCCTTCTTCTCGCACCGGATGAGAGAGGCAATTATGAAGCGATTACGAGGATATCGTAGCTTGGTGAGGATTAATTGTTCGCATATAAGAGAGCCGGATGTAAACTTCTTAGTAGGGGCTTTCTTTATCCTGGGAACGAAAGCGACTGTGCTGGAATGGGCTTTTAATAAGAATGATGGGGTTTTGGACTTAATAGTTAGACTGGGTATTCAGATATTTAGATGTACTGTTATAGCTCCTATTCTGATTTGGATGTTTAGTTCGGTTTATAGTAAGACGAAATGGGGACTAGTTCTTTCTTCTTATGTGGCTATTGTGATTTTGATCTTGATTGTAAACTGTACGAGTTTAGTACCGGATTTGACTGACGATCTGGAAGTGGTTCCTCCCGGTGTGTTTGGCGAGCGCGTGGAAGGCGAGATTGACCGGCTGGGTTTACGGAATAAGGTATTCTGGGATAAGTCGGACCAACTAGAGAATGCCGCTCTAGTAAAAACCGGAGCAGCACGACACGTCATGATTATGGGTAACTTGTTAAAGTACGGTAAAGAAGAGTTTATTGCATTTGTGGCTCATGAAATCGGCCATGCGGTTGATTATAGTACGGAAAAGAAGTTAGTGGCTACAGTTTTTGGTTTGGGTTTAACTTGTGGAGGAATGCTTTCTACTCTTCATTTCATCAGTCCTAAGTATGAGGCTCGGGGTGTATCAAGATTCTCAGTCCTGGCATTTGCTATGCTGGCCAATATTTATATTGTATCATCTATGGTCAACATGTTCTATAACAATCTAGGTATTCTTTCTGAAATCAATGCTGATTTGTATGCTAAAGGTCTAGGCTACGGCCGACACTTAGCTAAGGGTCTTTATGCCCTAACTGTGGCTAATAATGCCCCTCTATTCCATTCAGCACCTTTCACTCATTATATTCAAGACCATCCCACAGTTTCATCACGAATTGGCTACCTCGAGAAATAACCAATCCCAATCTCAGAAATAAGCATATTCCAGTCCAACTTATTCTAAATCTTATCTAACTTATTCTAAATCTTATCTAACTTATTCCAAAAACTTAATCCAAGTCAAATCAATCCACACTAAACCTAACTCAGTCATACCACACTAACCCAAATCCAACTACAACCCAATCTAAACCTATCTCAATATATAACCCCATATAAATCCTTATTTCTACCAACCTCTTTTTTGCTAAAATGATAACCCAACATCTAGTGATTCAAGTCTTATTATTTACCGCATTTAGTAAGTTAATTTGTGCCCATTCTCATATCAATGGAGATATCAATTCTGCTATTAATAGTAGTTCTAAATTAGGTAAAATAGTTATTATGCTAGTTGGTATAGTCTGGATGGGTAAGGTTTTGGTCAAACTAGCATTTTTCATTCTCTACCATCTACTTAGTCTAGTTATTAAGCTGATTTTCAATCTACTTACTTCGTTACTCTTTAGTCTACCTCTTAAGTATCTTATTTCCGGCTCTATCTTTACTCTAATACTTGTTGCGATTCCAACTCTTCCTTCTATTATAGCCTGGTACCGCATTGAGTCGCAAAAACTCCTAGCTGCCACCGCCAACACCCAACCCAGTAGCAAGTCCATTAACTTCTCCCATCTCTTCCAGCCAGATCCACCAGCCTACTCTATTCCCCACCAACTTGATTCTAGCCCTCTCCTTTCCAATTCCATCTCTACCACCACCACCACCACCATTTCAACCTCATCTCAATCCACAATCACTACTTCCAAGCCAAATTCAAATGCAAACCCAAATCCAGCTCAACCCAGTACTAACAATTTCCTTCAAGCGCTCAGTCGAATCCATCTCATCATCCAAAGCATTTTAGTCCTCTACCTCCGTAAGAAAGTTGTCCAACCTCTTCGATACATCCTTTCCCCAGCCTCACCTATTGCTACTTTAATTCAACACACAACTATTCTCTATCAGATTATTTACTGCCAGCTACTCTTCTACTATCAATATACCACCACTATCATTAGTCAACAGATCCTAAGCAGATTCAAAACCAACCCAATCCGATTTCTAACCAACTCAATCTCTATCAAACCCAAGCATCAACCCAATGAATAAATAGCTTAGTCACCCTATCCAATATCTTTCAAATCCCAATCATTATCTCATTGATATCTCATGGCTATCTCATTGATATCTAAATTACCAACTCATCACCATCTCATTACTATTTCATTGATATCTAAATTACCAACTCAACTCATCACAACTTAACTTAACTTAACTCAACCCAATCTAACTTAACCACAACCTAACTCAACCCAACTCATCACAACACAACCCAATCTAACTTAACTTAACTTAACCACAACTTATTTAATCATTTTTTTGTTTTTAATCTGATCTTTTCCCAATATGGTTAGTTTTTGTTTTTCAGAGCCCAATCTATCTCTAAACCAACCAAAATCCAAACCAACACCAAATCAAACCTTCCTAAACCACTCCAAACACCCCCAGCCAACTAGCCAATTAATTATTTTTATACCCCTCTCGTTTTGCATTTTTAACTATGCCAGCACGTGCCGCCACATCTTCGGGAAACAACAATAGCAATCGCAAGCACATTGATGTTTGGGATGTCGGAAGAATGCTTAAATTCATTGAACAAGAATCAGAACAAAAAGCCCATGAAATTCGTATCAAAGCCAATGAAGAATATTCAATCGAAATAGCCGAACTAGCAATTCAAAGTAGTGAACGAGTCAAACAACAGAAGTCTGATGAAATGGCTAAGATTAAGGCCGAAAAAACCATTGCAGAAGGAAAACTAAGATCTAATGCTATTTTAACCTTATCTTCAGCTAAAGAAAAGGTCTGTTCTCAAATCATGAAAGAAGTTTGTGGTTTACTATCTAATCGATCCTTATCTAAAAAACTAGCCACTGCTGCTATCTCTAAATTCAAAACAATTCTGCCTGATGAACATATGGTGATTTATGTGCCTGAAAAGGACAAAGCTTTACTCTCTTCTTTACTTAGTCCTAGTGAGTTTACCTTTGAGCCAATGCATCCTAATTTACTTGGTGGTATTGTTATTCGTAATACTAGTCGGACTGTGCTTATCAATAGTAGCTTCCTTGAGCGCGCCGCTAAGATAGAAAAGCGCGTTATGCCAGGTCTTCAGGCTGCTCTCTTTCGATAAGAAGCCCAATCTGCTATCTACCAATAAGTGAGTAAATAAGCATTAGCATTCGTTTTCTGTACTTAGTATTTAGTTTGTGTATGTTTTGATTTTGATTTGAGTTGGTATTAGGTTGAGTTATGTTGTGGTATTGTGTTGGGTTGAGTTGGTGTTGGTATTGAGTTGAGATGTGGTGAGTTGGTATTGAGTTATGGTGTAGTTATGGTCTGGCGTGATTTAGATTAGAGTTGTATAGTATCCAATAAGACAAGTATATCTTTGGCAATACTAACTCCATTAAGGAGATTTCTTGAGATGAGGGTGGGTACCATTTATTAAGTATGTATTGGTTGAGTTGGAATAAGATGACGTCATATTAAGTTAGTGTAGATAAGATATGAAAATTTAATTGGGTTAGTATTGAGCTGCTTCTATTAAAGTTGTGTTTTAATAGTAGTGGGTACTAAGTAGTGAATGGCTTACCAGTGGTCAGGTTGATTGGATGAGAAATGAGTAGTGGTCGTATGATGGCACTACTAGAGCAATCTATAATCTGTTGCTAAAACCCAATAAAGATAACCTTTAATCAAGGCTAGTTCAGTAAAATCCATTATAATACTAGTATTTGCCATGTTCCTTTCATAAACATTGAGTTCGCGTAGTGCTAGAAAGTTTCATAACATCTTAAAGTAAGTGTAGCTACAGTCGCACTTTATTCTTTCCTGATATATATCTATGTGGTTGTACATCATTTCAAAATACTTGATAAATACTAACTCAATTGGATGACTAAGTCTTTTAGATAAGGAGATAGAAGTAAACCGCATCCTAATCTCAAACACCAACCCAATCCTAACTCATCTAAAGACTTATAAATATTAGCATAATTATGACGTACCTAGTACTCAAACCCTCCACATACATTATAATGTTCAAGATATTTATGTCTTCTAGATTAGTTAGTGTTTATTATACGTGCTGCTTAGTTAGTATTTAGATAGCACTGACTAACTACATTAACTTAAATCTGTTTGACCTATTCCTACTTTACATTCAACAATTAACAATCAACAATCAACAAGCAAACCCACTCTATACAATCTCTATGCTGCCTTATACAAAGACTATCTCCACTCTATACTATCTTAATACCACTCTATACTATCCTAATACCATCTTAATTACAATCTCCTTTTATTTTACCCAATCTCATTTCATCCAAATTCAAATTCCAAATCCAAATTCTAATGCAAATTCCAACTCAAACTCGTTGATGACGTAAAATTTTATGGCGCACAACACAAACCATATGAGTATGCTTATCATAGATAACGGAACCTTTGAATGCCGCGCTGGTTTGACCTCTGGGACCGATCCTCTCATTAGAATGAAGAATCAAGTTTGCCGGATTAAGGAAAAAGACGGTAAATTAGCCTATGCAGTTGAAGGAGCGAAAAGAAGACGTATTTCTAGCTCAACAACAATCAAGTGCATGTTTGATGGACCAGTTGTATATAATTATGAGGTTTTTGAAGGCACAATTGCTGCTTTGTTAGCAGAGTTAGGTACAAAACGACCAGATACGTTGATTATGACTGAATGCCTGCTTAATCCACGTATGTTTAAGATACAGGCCTTATCAGTGGCTTTTGAAACTTTTCGGTTTAAACAAGTTCAATTTGGTTATGATTTTATCTATGCTTATGAATACAATTGGCGTAATAATGATAAGATGGATAAATCGGTTGAATTTAAACGGCCTTTTTGTGATGTAGTGATTGCTATGGGACATCAGGGCATAACTACTGTACCAATTGATCCATTGACTAAACGCATTATTTACCAGCAAGCAACTTTCTTGCCTTTAGGAGGACTACTAGCCCAGCAGTTGTTTGTTGAATCAGTCTCTTCTAAGTATTACAGCACCGGAGCCAAAATACCTAAGGAAGAGATAGAGGCGCAGTTTCGTGAGATAAGAGTGGCTGAAGATTACTTTGCCGAAATAGAAGAGGTTGTCCGCGAAGGAAAGGGCAACGTACGCCTAATGCCACCGGCCAAAGAGAAGCCACCTAAGCCAAAGATCTTTCCCAGGAAGAAAGTCAAAGTTGGGGCCGTAGCCAAGACAAGTGAGGCGGCCGGTGATGAAATAGGAGAGGGCGAAATAGGCGAAGATAATGAAGTAGGGGATGAAGTAGGGGAGGGAGAAGAAGTAGGAGAGGGAGAAGAGTTGGGAGAAGAAGTAGGCGAAGATGAAGTTGTGGTGGATGCGGATCCAGCGGTAGTAGCCGAGGAAGAGTTGCGGAAGATGAAAAGAGAGAAGCTAATTAGGGGGGCAACAGAGCATCGGAATAAGCAGAAGGTAGTTAAGTGCTTGCAAAGACTGGAAAGTAGGATTCTTTTCTTGGAAGATAGATTGTTGTTGATTTCAAAACCAGAAGAGTTTATGGGGATTAGGAAGGAACGATTGCAGTACTTGGAGAAATGGGTCAAGAAACGTAACTTTGTGCGCAATGAGTTAAAGAACAAGAAAAGTCAGTACTCCTTGGCTTTGCTTAAACAAACCTTAGCAGCTGCTAATCAAGAGCCAACTATAGAGACTTCTGTGCTACTAGATGATATTCAAGATGCCCAAGGGAGTGATGAAGCCTTGTTGGAAGAGATAGACCAAATAGATGCGTTTTTAAGACATCATGATCCGACTTATCAGTCAAAAGAAGAGAATCTTTTTGATCGGATTAGAAATGGGTATGGGAAAGATCGTGGAGGGATTAACATTAATATCGAATTTATTAGAATAACTGAAGCGATCTTTAATCCGGGTCTAGTTGGAATTGATAATCCAGGAGTTGTTGAGAGTTTAGCTGATATCTTTAAGCGACAAGATGTGCGTAATATCTTTCTGACGGGTGGATTTAGTCAGATCAAAGGCTTAAAAGAAAGGATTGCCCGTGAGATCAAGCCTTTTAGATACTTCCCCAACACGCCTAATATTGTGGATGCTTTAGATCCAGTGAATGATGCGTTTAAAGGGGCTTCCTTAGCATCTGAATACTTTCCAACCTACACTTTGGAAGAGTACAAGAAGAAGGGTGAAGATCTTGTTCCTAGCGCGGAATACGAGTAATTCAACGAGAGCTATAATTAAATCACATATTAGTGTTAAGTTTGATTGGGTTAGGTTGTGCTCTGTTTAGTTAGTGCTTGAATTGAGTATTGGGATTGGACTAGTTTAGGATAGACCTTTTGGATTAGTATTGGGTTAGCAGCTGCCAATCAAGAACAAGTTAATACAAATCTGGACTAAATCATGATATAAATAGGTTGGGGTCTGCATGTATTTGGAAGCTAATGTCAGAAAACAAGACAATTGCTAGACTCTTTCATCTTATTACTTTATTTCGGCTGATTGGACTGGCTTAATGTAGTGCTGTCATACGACCACTACTTAGTTCTCATAAGATCAACCTGACTACTGATAAGCTACTTATGCCTGGCAACTTTAATAAAATCAATCTGATTTGACTAATTTAGTTTTACATATCTACCCTACAATTCAATATGACGTCATCCCCTCATTCACAATCATATTTACTTAACAAATCACATCGATACTCGGGTCAAGGAAGGTCTTTAATATAATCAGTGTTGGCTAATGAACCATATCCAACCCAATACTAACACTATCTAATCTATAAAAACGTATCTAAACCTCTCGAGCAAACATAGTTGAATAAAATATATCACAGACCGCTTCTAAATCGATCTTTAGTTGAACCTATTCGAATGAAAGATTGTATTTCTGGCCATAGAGACAGCAACTATGCCCACCTGCTTAGTACTTTGGCCCAATAACGATAACTTCAAAGTCTCACATGCTGAGGGTTTTTATTTCAAACTGAGTGAGTTTAACACTTAGTGTGCAATGTTGTGCCATCCAACACAAGCTCCGAAATATTTCGGTCTCTCGGATCAGAGTGAATGTAGTGAATGACACGGCTACTGTAGTCCAAATTCAGTATATGCATTTTTACCGGTTTAACAAAGTTATATTGCTCCAAAACCCAATAGATAACAGCATCACCAACATTATCCAGTATCAAAACATCAACGTTCACATTGCATTGGAGTCTTTTGGGCTTCTCAAGCCTATAAATGTAGATCCTGTCGTCTATGCGAACATTTGTGATCTTAAGCTTTTTGGCTGTAATATTTCGGAATGAATTTAGAATAGCAATGAGAGAATAAGGATTACCATCAGCGAAATCGTTCCCATCAATAGTGATATCGGTGTAGTGTATATGCTGGTAAAAAACCGACCTTCTCTTAGCTTATTACAAGCAGAAGTCTTAGCCCAATTTGCAAGCTTAATATTAACGGGCTCCTTAATCGTTATAGATTCGGCATTTTTAAGTCTTTTACCAGAATAGGACGTTATTGCTGATCTAGGCAAGGCATCAAGCTTCTCAAGTCTGTTTAGAGTCTCAGAAAAGTCCACTTTGTCATCTTCACGATAGGTCTTGATTTTATTAACCAATACACCATAACAAATACAAGTAGCTCTTACTTGAGTAGAGATAGATGATTCAGAAGAGTTATAACCAACATCACGGCCTAGCGGAATAACAATTTTATCAGCAAAGATATAATACACACGGCGACGTGGTAATGTATGGCCACAATGGCCGCTTTGAAGATAGAAAGTGTTTTCTTGGATCATAATAGTATGGACATGGATTTGATCTTTAGAGTGGTCGCTCAGATATTGAAGATTTCTCCAACTAATCAGCAATTTTATGTCTTTGTATCGTGCAGTGCAATCCCCTAGGCCTACCATTAATGGGCACTGCTTATAGGTGGCCTTAATTGTGATTTCAGAACAATTGGTAGGAATTCGGGAGAGATATTCAAGATTAACCTCAGGTTTCTTAGAGCTAAGGGATACAGTTGCCTTGAAGTCTTTCGTTAAACATAGATTGTCAAGATGATGGGCAAGTTTATCTACTGGGTGGAAGTGGATAGATGAAAACTGTTGCTTTATGGCGATAGCATTCGCACCCCAGTTTGAAAGGTTAGTGTGGCCCCAAGCTACGAGCGCACATGGTGATTTAGGAGTAAGACCGATGACTCTCTCCGCCTCACGCAAACTAGCATTATAAATGGACTGGTTTTGGTTATTGTACTCTAAGGTACACTTCAAATTGAGCTTTAGCTTCTCACACTCAATCATGTTAATGATTCGAGTTACAATTAAGATGCACGTCTGGTGCCATTCTGACTCAACAACATCTGTATAATCAATCGAAGCTATCGAGACTTTGATAGCAGCGATCGTATTTAGAAATTCAAGGTCTGCGCTAGCCTCTTTGGCACTTGAATACTTGGGCATGATAAACTTCATCCGTCTGGCCTGAGTATCTACTATAGAAAGACCAGCCTTTTCTTCTAACCCACTTGAACTTAGACCTGGGTTAGTATCGGAGTCGGAAACTGTTGGCTGCACTGGAGTATAGGGTTTAACCAGCACCTTCAGTATACTCTCATCGAACTCAAACCCAAGCTTTTCCAATCTATTAACCATATCCTTTGGCGATTTCCAACCCGCTGGTTCTTTCCCATTACCAACCCTACTTCTACAAGCCAACTCACCCTTACTATCTTCAACCGACCCACAAACAACATTCAACACCACCAATAATCCAATAATAACCTTCCACATAAGTATTGTAGTTAGATAATTCTCATTTATACCCAGCGTAATTCGACTTTTGAGATAAGACATATTCAAAAATAAATAAATCTCATTAAATAGTCAATTTGATCATATCAAAATTCAAAAGAATTGGGTTGGTGTTGGGTTAATTTAAGATGTTATAAGTATTTAAGAACTGTATAACACTATAACACGAAGGTTTGGTTAGTATAGATTAGGTCCTCTTTATCGTGCGTCATCTTGAGATAGTCTGTAAACTCAGACTATAAATACTAATCTGAGCTTGTGATTTCTAACTCGAGATTTAATCGCACTCGCTGCGATCAGTGCCAAACCGAGAAGTATTCCAGAACTATGCTCCTGTAGATAACTCACTTTAAAGTGGAGGCCGACGGGGACACCACAGCTATCAATTGGTATTACTATTAAAACACAACTTTAATAAAATCAATCTAATTTGACTAGTTTAGTTTTACATATCCACGTTACATTTCGATATGACGTCATTCTCACCCATACCTTTATTTACTCAATAAATGGTGTCCACCCACATCTCAAGCAATCTCTTTAATGGAGTATCTATTGGTAAAGATGGACTTGTCTTATTGGGCACTACACTTAATATTTTGATTAACTCCTTACACACCAAAATCAACTAAAATCAAGGTAAGACTAAGTTGTGATGGGATGAAGTAAGTGCAGTAAAGTGAAGTAAAGTCAAATTAGACTGCTATTTCAATACTAATCCAATTCAACCCAATACTAACCCAATAAAGTGTATTTACCTGCCTGTTTATTGTATCCTAATGGCTATTCACTATCACTTAAGATAGCACTCACTTAGATAGCACCCGCTAGATAGCACCTACTAATCCATACGCCCAACAATCTCACGATGAATGTGTTGCTGCGGCGTAAGAATCATTGATTCCGCTCCCCAACCAGACAGGGCATCACGGTCTACTGCATTAAGGAAGGCCTGCACCGATGTAGTAAACAGATCTTCTGTCTCCATTCCTTCCTCGTACAAAGTCTCGGAAATCCCAGTCAAGTTCTTAGCCGCTGTTCCAGCCGTGGCAAACCAAGGCGGCGTACTAATACACCCAATACAGTCCATAGTGTAAATATGACTCTTGCCCGACCGATCAAAGCCTGTCACAATGGGATCAATGTAGTAAGGCGAGAATCTCTTGCTGTACAGAATGTAAGATAGTAGTGATGCAACTTCTTGCGGTTCTATCTCTCGACTCTGTGAGAGGCGGAACATATTAGCATGTTTGCGCAACTCCTTAAAGATGATCTGACAATCGGGCACAAAACAAGCTAAACCAATAACTACATTAGGAGTTAGTGTATATAAACGAGAAAACCCACAATGTTGAGTAGCTGGGCCATTTCCAAAACGTCTGTCGGCCGTAATAACAATCGCATCCTTTCCCCGCATAACTAGAATTGAACCACCATAATGGGTGTCAATCGAAGACATTACGTAGTAAATAAAAAATAGGATAAATATGTCATACACATTAGAATATCTAGACTGATCTTAGGCTGATTGTTAAGAGAGATTGTGATTGAGATGGGGTGTAGATTGCTCTGGTGTGATAAACTGAGGTATAATATATTGAGTAGAATAAAGAAGATTTAGGACTGAGATTGTAGTTAGTAGGCATTGTTTTTATTGAGTTGGAATTGGAATTTGGACTTGGATTTAGTATTATAGTTTGGAGTGGTATTATTTGGTTGGTATTATTAGGTTAGTATTATTAGGTTGGTATGTAACTAATAGTGAAGATCAAAACTGAGTTCTGTTGTAATTGTAAAGATATCTTGGGTTGGGGTAGTGCGATGTTGAGATAGTTTGGGCTGGGTAGAAATAAGATGAGATATGATATTATAAGAATATAGATGATAAGAGCATGGATACTGTGAGATGGAGGGTGTGGGTGTGAAATTGATTTAATGAAGTTGAAGTGGATGAAGAGGGGCTGATAAGGAAAGTACGATGATGGGGTGATTGATCAATTGAGTTGGTATTATTGGGTTAGTATTAAGAAAAGGTGAGATTTGATCGAATAGTGCATAAAGAGTTTTTTGTCTGGGGGAGTTATGACTGAATATTTAGAAGATAATTTGCCATTGATAGTAACTCATAATGGAACTTTTCATTTAGATGAAGTATTAGGATGCTTTATACTTAGTAAGCTGTTTCCTACTTATAAGATTGTTCGATCTAGAGATAAGGAGGTGATTGCTAAAGGCACGATAGTTTTAGATGTGGGTGGAGTCTACGATCCAGATAATAATAGGTTTGACCACCATCAACATGGGTTTACAGAAGTTTATCAGAAGGAGAGATGTGATATTTTGATGAGTAGTGCTGGTTTGGTCTTTAAGAAGTTTGGGTTGCAATATCTATCTCAGGAATTCGACTTATCTAGGTTTAGTAAAAAAGAAGTGCAGGAACTGATTGATCGGGTTTACTTTGAGTACCTAATTACTGTTGATGCTCAGGATAATGGTCGGGAGGCTTCAGAAGACAATTTATACCATGCTCGTAACTTGGGTGATTTAGTTAAGACTATGAATCCTTGGTTTACGGATGAAGAGTACAACAATACTACTAAAGAGAGTCGAGATGCTATAACTAACCGAGCATTCTTTCGGGCGATGGAAATCATGGGCAGTGATTTTGAACGGGCCTGTCGTGTCTTTGTGCTTGAACAGTATAACATGGTAGAGTTGCTTAAGCCTGAGAACTGCCAGATTATTGGTCAAGTTCATACTGGGCAGTACGCTTACTTTGCTAAGGCCGGAATGACTAGTATGGGTGTTAAGCATTTGAATGCCGTCCGAGGGTATAACATTTTGGTCTTTATTGTAGCGGATACTAATGTGTCGGCTGGTCAAACCCCTCGTTATACTGTGAACTGCATAAGCAAGAATAATTGCCACTATCCGACTCTGGCGCCCCTTCCTAAGGAGTGGCGTGGGCATCGTGATGATGTCTTCCAGATGAGTTCGGACCGTTGTATTCGTGATTGTCTATTTGTCCATGCAACGGGGTTCTTTGGTATTGCCACTAGTCGCGATTGTGCCGAGTATATGGCCAAGCGAGCTCTTGAAGACTATTATTAGGCACCGGGGAGCTTGCTCGGGTATTAGTCTTGCAATAAATGGTTTGAGTTGGTTTGAGTGGGGTTATTGTACATATGGTAGGGTGTAGAGTGGTATGGGCTATGGGCTGCTCCCAAGTTAGATAAATTCAATTTGAATCTATGATCAATAATATCAAAACATTTTGGCTATCTCTTTTTGTTCATTTTTATTTCCCCGCTATCTACAAGTCACATGAACAGAAATAACCTATTTAAATTCGACAATATATTTCGTAGGCTCAACGCGTGCTGCGATTTACGTCCACGGACTCCGTATGTTTTGGACAAAATCCGAGAAAAACATGCTAATCTAGCCCAATACTATCGTAGCTTTGACTCCCACTTTGCAATTAGAGATGCTGGCCCCGATGGAATTATACTAGTGGTCAACTCGTCTGTGGTGCTCTTAGAAGAGGACAATCTTATCTCTGTGATTTGCTCCTGTCAACCAGACGAACCACAAAGAGTCGCTTACGATATACATTCCCTCGGTAAGACTGTTCACATCTTCCAAGTCACAAATATTGCCGATATATGCCAGGGAAGCCTTGGTATTGGCTGGAATATTGGTATTGGCATTGGTCTCTGGATAGTAGCTATATTATTGATTTCAATTAGCTTTAAGCTAATTGGCTGGCATATGTTTGGAATTGCGGGTATTGTAATGGCTATTACTTTTATTGTCGAGCATCTGGTCCATTATATCTTCTACAAACGGGTTTCGGGTAAGATGAAGGGCTTTGCTCGACAAAGTAGACCAGGGTCTGTGGCGTCTCAATGTATTAGCCTGATTAGTATACTAGTATCACTTATCTCGGCCTCTGGCTTGCTGCGAGTTATTGATCATATTCAAGATAGTGCCTCTAGCCCACAAACTAACTACAAGAATCTTGGACTTACACATCTAGCTCAGCCTAGCTTGGAACAGATCAACCAGAGCATTAACGTCCTGTTCCATTCTTGCGAAATTTGGTTGGCAATCGTTTTGTCTCTAGAGGCCATCGCGCGGACTTTCAACCATAACTTGGGTAAGATTCACAAACTAGATATGTTTCCCTTTCTACTAATACCATACTTGGTCTTCTGGCTTTGGCTAGTTGCCTTCCATCTCAAAAAAGTGTTTATCGATCACATAGTGGGCCCGTTCTCTCATCCGTCCGAGATTCCAAAGCCCACTTATGATTTTCTAATGTGCTTATTTGGTTTGATCAGTATGGTTTTCATACTGGCCATGAGAACCGTCAGTGAAATCAAACAAACCCGAGCTAACAACAGTGACAAAGTTATCTTCCATACTACCCACCGCTATCAATTTGGTTGGGTCTGTGCAGTCTTACCAGCCACTCTTATACTATTGTTTAATTGTTGCTGCTGGTCAACCCTTATTTATGACGGGTTCTTTTCAACTGACACTGGCTCCTCTCTATCCCCATAATATTATATCCCACACCTAATCCCGCCTACTATCACCAAGATTTAATTGAAACTAGCGCTAAATACATACTAATGATAAGAGCCCCCTTAAAAATAGCTTTTCCGGCAATCTACTCATACATGTTCGGTTTATTGCAATGCACTACTATATTGTTGCTTGTCTCCTGTTGTTTAATTCCAGTGCGCTCCACTAATTTAACCACAGTTCCTGGTACCCCCATCACCGTTGTTGGTTTGGACATGACTGCTTTATCTTGCAACTATTCGCAGCAGCCTGTCACCTCGCTTCCCAGCTTTAATACCCTCAAATTCTCTAACACTCACTACACAAACTCAGCTCTCATCTACTCGACAGCCCCAAATATAACTAATCCCAACCCCACCACCCACGATATACCTCCACTTCTATCGCCACAAACTCAACCTACCATTTACAGCATCTCCCGGCCAACCAACATTTCTTCCCTACTTCCACTAACCATCAATACATCACCGAGTATGACAGATCAGCCACCCTCACCACCCCAACCGTCTATTTTAGCTCAGCCCCCTGACAGTCTTGCTCTTCTCTTTGGATATACAATGCCAGTTGTCATCCAACTGATTTCTACCCAACAAACCATCCTCACACATATTTATGCAACTCCATCTTCTTCTAACCGTCTAAATCCATTAGCACTTCTGGAACAAATAGATCTGTTCATGCAAGCAGTAAACTCCATGTTCACCTTACTTCTATACCACTCCCCGCGCACCTATTATTCTTATGAGGCCCAGTCTATCTATGACACCATAGGCAAGACCGCCGTGGCCTGTAAAAATCTCCTGCACAACCACCCAACACCACCAGCCCTACCCCGACAAGCACCACCAAATTCTCGAGGACCACGACACGCCCAGTTCACCTATCGAGCCCGCCGTGGCCGACCCCGCCGCAATCCATTACCATGATTACTCCACCCACCCAACACCAACACCAACTCAACTCAATACAATAAATCGTCTCTCCATTTACATACACTACTTGTTAAACACTACTATCTCTGTTTATTGTTGGCAGTCCATTACCGCCGCTTGACAATCTGTACCACATCTTCATCCATCAAAATATGGTCTCTACCCACTCTCTGCGGCACATGCTTAACACTCTTCCCCCACACAATTGCATTCTTGAACTCGCCAAGAATACCTCGATGAATAGCATTACAAAAGTCCCGCACTGAACACCGATTAGTACGAAGTACCACCGGCGCAGAATAGTCTGGTAACTGACCTCGCGGCTTAGCATAAATCCTAATCAACTGCAACATATCCCAAGATGCCTCTAAAATCCCATCTAAATTCCAGCCCTTCTCAGCACTAACCGGCACTGAGTTCTTAATCTTACTCACCAAACACAACTCCTCATAACTAATACTATCTATCTTATTCAGCACATATATAGCCGGGATATAAACTCTATTTCCTTCTATTACATCAATCAACTCATCAGCAGTTGCATCACACCGGAACATTACATCTACATTCAGAATACGATACTCCTTAAAAATAGCTTTGATTCCCTCCTCATCTAAATGGGTCAAACGACAAGTCGATCGAATATTCACTCCACCACGATCTCTTTTACCAAGTGTAATATCAGGTGGAGTTTTGTTCAGTCTAATTCCAAACCCTTCTAACTCATTCTCGATCTTCTTCTTCTGGCCGATTGGCTTAGTAATATCCAGGACAATATAGATTAAACTGCAAGTTCTGGCTACAGCAATGACTTGCTTACCTCTTCCTCGGCCATCTTTAGCCCCTTCAAGAATTCCTGGCAAGTCCAGAATCTGAATCTTAGCTCCATTATAGTGCAGTACACCAGGAACAGTCGTTAAGGTAGTAAATTCGTACTCGGCTACTGCACTGTACGTTCCCGTTAGTTTGGTCATAATAGTACTCTTTCCTACTGAAGGGAACCCAATAAATCCAACTCGAGCTACTCCTGTTTTAGCAACATCAAATCCTTCTCCTCCACCGCTTGAACTACCTTTAGGAGTCAATAACTCACGTCTTAATTTGGCTAGTTTGGCCTTTAAGAGTCCCAAGTGACTAGCAGTTGCTTTGTTCTTTTGGGTTCGAGCCATTTCATTCTCAATTTCTCGGATCTTTTCGATTACACTCATGGGCCTAAAAGATTTTACACTCTTATTAGACTTTACTGGTCACTATCCTTATCTCTACTCTATTTCTTCTTTATTTCAGTCTCCTGCGGCCTAAATCCATTCGAAATTGACTTTAACTGCCTTTTATTATTGGTTTTAGAGTAGTTCTACCCCTTGCTTTTGAATTACGTTTATGTTAAAACTAGATTTGAATCGAGTTAGAATTTAGATTTGGTTTAGTTTGAATTTAGACTTGAATTTAGATTTGAATTTCGATTTGGTTTAGTTTAGTTTTAAGATGTGTGTAAGTTTAGTATTGAGTTAAGATTGAGTTAGGTTTGTGTTGAGTTAAGTTAAGTTTGAGTTAGGTTGAGTTAGGTTAATCTTGACCTTTACTCATCTTGATCTTAATTTGGTCAAATACGGCTGCATTACTAATCCTATCTTAAATTCAAATTCTAAACTAACTCAAATTTCAAAATAACACAACCCTATACCAACCAACTAACTACCAACTAACTAACTACTAACTAAGCACTACTAACTTAATAGTTATCTTTAAATTCTAAGATATACTTGCTTAAATTTTAGATAAGACTTGACCTAAAGTATATATGACATAATCTGTGCCAATAATTTCCTTTTTGAGTATTTTTTCTTAGCTAGTCTATATGGATAAAGACAAGAGTGTGGAACAGTTAGAAATCGAAAGATGGAGAATGAAGAAACTCTTAAAACAGTTGGACAATGCTCGTGGGAATGGAACCTCGATGATTTCTCTGATTTTGCCACCTAAAGATCAGATTTCACGGGCAAATAAGTTGTTAGTTGATGAGTATGGAACAGCTTCTAATATCAAAAGTCGTGTTAATCGCTTGAGTGTCTTAGGTGCAATTACTTCAGCCCAACAAAGATTGAAGCTTTTTACTAAGTTGCCTGAGAATGGATTAGCTATCTATACAGGTACTATCATGGGTGATGATGGGAAAGAAAAGAAAGTGTGTTTTGACATTGAGCCAATGCGTCCTATCAATACTTCCCTTTATCTTTGTGATTCTCGTTTTCATGTAACTGATTTGATTAACTTAATGGATGATGATTATAAATTTGGGTTTATTATCATGGATGGACATGGTTCTTTATTTGCTGTTTTATCTGGGAATTCCAAAGAGATCAAACAACAAATTACAGTAGATTTACCTAAGAAGCACGGAAGAGGAGGACAGTCTTCCGTTCGTTTTGCCCGGTTACGAGTAGAGAAACGACATAACTACTTGCGAAAAGTAGCTGAAATAGCTACCCAGATCTTTATTACTAATAACAAGCCTAACATTCATGGTTTGATCTTAGCCGGATGTGCAGACTTTAAGTCAGAGCTTTATCAGTCAGATTTACTTGATCAACGTTTGAAACATATTGTAGCTAAGGTGATTGATGTTGGTTATGGGGGTGAGAATGGTCTTAATCAGGCGATTGAGCAGTCAGAAGAAGTACTGCAGAATATTAAGTTAGTGAGTGAGAAGAAGGTTATCAAGGCATTCTTTGATGAAGTAGTTAGTGGTTCTGGTAAAGTCTGTTTTGGTGTGGAAGAGACTATGTCCTGTTTAGAGATGGGGTGTATGGATACTTTAATCATTAATGAGGCTTCTGATATCGTAAGGAAGGAAGTGGATGGTGAAGTGACCTATACTACTGAAGAGTCAGGAGAATTACTAACTGACTGGCTGGCTGAAAACTATAGAAAGCTTAACTGTAATCTTGCTTTGATTTCAGATAAGAGTCAAGAAGGAACTCAGTTTATTTCGGCCTTTGGCGGAGTTGGAGGCATTCTTCGGTATAAAATGGATACGGCAGAGGAACTATCAGAAGTTGAAGACTTCTCCGATGCTGATATTTTCTAATAGAGAGAATAAAGGAGTTAATATGATATTGTATTGAGTTGTGTTAAGATAAGATTGGGTTGTGGTTGTGTTATGATAAGATAAGATATGATTGTGGTGTGGTGTGGTGTGTTGTGGTAAGATAAGATAAGATTGGGTTGAGTTGAGTTGTGATAATATTGTGTTGTGTTAAGATAAGGTTAAGATAAGATAAGATAAGACTATGTTATTTTAATGGTGAGATAAGATAAATTGGTGGTAATATAATGCTAACTTGCTTAAATGGATGCTGGGCTCTTACTGATACTGAGTTCTTACCAGGTGACTTCTTTGGTGCCGTTCTTGGTGATTTCTTTGATGACCATAGTTGCGTATGTGCCGGGTGGTAAATCAAAGGAGAGGGAAAGTGTGCCTTCCTTGAGGGAATAGGTCAAATTCTCGGGATGAATGATGGCTTTGCGATATCCGCCTTTAGGACACAAAGAATTGTGTGGGGGAGGTGGACTGCCGGCGGCTGGTTTTGGGAATAGAGGTAAGAAGAGAGTGTCTAAATCTGGAGTGCTTGTTTCCTTAATATGGTTGTGGATCTCTTCTTGTGAAGTAATTGAACCCACCCAAAGTCGGCCGCCTGTATATTCCTGGGGATTCAGACCTTTCTTTAATCTTGATTCAAGCATATCATTAAAAAGCATGCTTTGATAACTATGCATGTATATCATACGGTTCTCTCTTCTGATCATTTGAAAGATCTGTTTTGGAGGTACGCCCCGACTGAGACCTCGTAAGATCTGCTTTTCCGTATGAAATTTAGGCGGTATAGTAAGACTAGCTTCTTTAAGTTTGCCTTCTCGAATACAAGCAAGCGTATCCTGGACTTTCGTTGAGTTTTCTAAAGAGGAAAGACTCTGAATGATCGTATCTAAAGCCTCATCAAACTTACGGTCTAGAAGAAGTTTACCGACCTCAGAATTGTTCATGTTATACCCAAACCGTTGTCGGCCATAGTAGTTCGGGAATCCTTTAGTTTTCAAGTCAACTACTGATTGGTGAATAGTTTGTTCATCACCAGATACTTTAAGTCGTAAGTAGAACCTGTTCTTAGACAGATCACCTAGTCCTATTCTATTATGAATCCGTGTAATGGTAGTTAGTTGAACTTCCTGTTCAAATCCTAAGACAGTCGCCAAGTACTCTTCATCGCTTTGTTCTTTCTGCTCCTTAAGCCCGGCCAGTTCAACTACTGCCTTATCCAACTCAGCACTAATTGTCTCGTACTCTACTACTACTATATCCTCAGCCGGTAAGTCCGATTCTTGCACTTCACGTGTTGCAAACTGATTATCCGGAGATAAGGTTTCATCATCCTTACTCTTCTTCTCCGCATGACAAGCCTTGTACAAGTCAATAAAAGCCACTTTAGCTACACTAATTCGCTGAGTCGTAATACCCTTTTTATCCTTATTACCAGCAAACATCACATCATGTTCTGCCACACGTAATAAACTAGCCACCATCTTAATTGCTTCATGGGAAGTTCGTCCTTTCTTAGTCACACAAACTGAATATATATGCTGCTTATGATGAGTATCAAAGAGTACTAAAATATCAGTACTTCCACTCTGGTTCTTAATAGTCTTAGTATAAACAAACGGATGCATTGAATATAACTGATGAACTTTTTGTCTTCCTTCCTTATCAGGTATTCCTACAATCTTCCCTAATACTTCCCTATGTCTTACTATCTCTTCTCTATCTAAAACCCGCTTGATAAACCCACGCGGTATCAAAGGTAATCCCTCTAAAAGCAACAATTCAGCCCGATTCACAACCTCCCCTACATTTAACAACCGTCCATCAGGCCCCCCTTCCCGTACAATAAAGTCTTCCTCTCTCTCCTTCAAAATCGCGTCATATTGTTTTCCAGCTGATAAGCAAGCTAACCACTTGAATGAGTCCATTTTTTCTAAAAATGGTAAAGGCTATAAAGGGTACTCTTCTTAAATGCGATGCTTCTATCAAACAAATCGTTGTCCGCCTTAATCGCGAACATAACTTTATAATTCATGATATTGATGATAATACTCTCTTTATTGATCGCAAATATCTAAGTAAAATAGAAGAAGAAACCGAACGAATGATCAACCATATAGTAAAAAAGAGCTTCGACTAATTTTGCATGGCTATCGCTGACCTCCTAGTTCTTCTTCTTATCATTTATATTGTGCATTTACAAATCAAAATTAACAACTTAACTGAAATCTTATCTAAGAAAGAAAATGAGTTAAGAGAGACTAAACCCTATCAAAGAGGGTATAAGAATCTTAAACAATCGTACTTAGACTTACTAGATCGGGTAAATAGCCAAAAAGACCGCAAAAAATTATAGATGAGTTACACAGCGGCTATAGCTAATTTGAAAAACTACAGTGGTATGCCTACTGAATATGAAGAGTTCTTCCGTCGAGTTCAGATTGAATTTCCAAATTTGTCTGATATGCATAAAGATATGCTTTTTAGCCAATCTCTGCACTGGTTACTCTCGACTGAGAGGAGTAATATACTGATTGAGTGTGGGATTAAGTTGTTACATGTAGTTAGATATCCGTTTATTTTGCCCCGATATATACTTCCTTTATTTGAACGTGGTGATGTCTTAAAGATAGCTGCTACGCATTGGTTAAGTCGCGGTCGAGTTGAGTTGCGAGATCTCAGTGCTAGTGAGAGTTTTAGTGAAGGTGCTTGTAATAGTAGTCTTAATAGTCTTAATGGTCTTAATAGTCTTAATAGTCTTAATAGTCATCTTAGTAGTCATCTTAATAGTCTTAATGGACATATCAATGCTAGTAGTAGTAATGGTTGTGGTAGTAGTAGTAGTAGTAGTGGAGGTATTACTGGTGTAGGAGTTAGTAGTAATGCTATGTTGCAACAGATAGTGGCTGAGTACCTGGGAGATTGGATAGTACTGATTAAGAAGGCTTTGGGGGCAGAGAAAGTGTTTGGAGAGACATTTGAGTGGTTAGTTGTGGTGCTTAGTACATTGAACCGGCAAATCAAAGCAGTAGTAGTTGAGTTTATTGCGGCTGAAACTAATCGACTGAAGAGTTTAAGATTACTAACTAAGTATGCTACTTTAGTGGATGCTGGTGGATTTAGAACGCAAATTGAGAAGTTTGGTGGGTATGTTGGTTCTTTTGATAGTTTGGCTTCTCGGGAAGCAGCTTTTCTCTTACGGACTTACCAAAGATACCATCGGCCCACTTGTACTTTTAACATAACCTTGGAGTCTTTTGGACACTTTTTACGTGATATCTACTCTGAACTATCTTTAGCCCAACAGACTAAGATTAGAGCATTATTACAACATGCTTGTTACTCGCATATTTTAGAACTCTTTCCTAGTATGCAATTCCAAGAGACAGATATTCCTAAGAAAATAGTAAGAGCTATTCTGATGGATCCTTTACCGAATCCTAAAGCAGCTATTATTCAAACTATTCCTTTATCTTTTGATTTGGCTTTTGCCAATAACTACTCACTGGAAAAGGATCTTAGTCATCTTTTTTCAGACAGTTCGTGTCAGAACCAGTGCATGGAAGTCTAATATTCATTAAGACTCTATCTTAACTAGTTTAGGTAAAGTATTGGCCAGTCTTATTCAGACAAGTCCAAATTCAATCTAAACCAAGTAATCTATAAAGTATTTACTATCGAGTTGTTATTTATTCAGATAGTACTATTCAACTGTTTATTTTGTTTTTCCAGCTTATCGCATTAGACCATTTATTTGTTGTTTTCCTTTTTAGGCAATTACCAACTGCTTATCTCCTACCACTCAATCTAACAACTGCTTATCTCCTACCACCCTAAACCAATTACGTAATCTAATTACGTAATACTAACCACATAATACTAATCTAACCACCCTAAAACAAACCACATAATACCAATTACGTAACTCCCAACTACTTATCTCCTACCACCCTAAATCTAATCATCCTAAAACCACACAACCCAAACCACCCAACTCAACCCAACTCAACCCAAACCACCCAACTCAATACCAACTCAACCCAATACCAACACCAAACGTAATTTAAAAGAGTAATGGCCAGATACCCTCTGGAGGAATGATTAAATCTATCCAAATACTTAACTTAGCTTTGACCTCTTCTAGAACAGCCTCACCATCCTGACTCTGTTGCGCCCTTACTACTACTATCTGCTCATTCTCTTTCTGAACAATAATCACTTCCGCCCCTTTAAACCCATAAACCTTCCTTGTATAACTCCTCTCCCGTCTATCTTGACAGCCAATTCCCTCAAGAATACCAATAAGTCCTTCTGCTTGCCAAACTTTATTCCTAATCACCCGACGAGTTAAAGACTTCCTAGACTTACTCTTATCAGCAGGAAATATTACTTTCAGATAAGAACTCTCCCCCTCTTCACCACATCCGCTTATCTCACTTGTATAAACTACCTTTTCTTGCGACCAAATCAAAGTATAGCCCAATAACGTATAAACAACCTCTTCTACTCGCTCAACTCGAAATCCATGACCACATAAAGATATATAACGGATCATTTCTTCCAATCTAGACGTTACACCACATAATAAGCACTCCATCGCCTAAAAATTACACATTAATGATGACTTAATTTTTATTTAGAACATGCATAATTCACCTACTAGCAGTCTCTTTACCTTCCTTTCCGATATCGATATATCTGAAGCCAAGTCTACTTTGACCAGTCGGATGGAAAGTTCATTAGGTGTTATCACTCAGAAGTTCTTAAAACTTCTAAAAGAGTCTCCTCAGCTTGAATTAGATCTTAATTATGCTGCTACTACTTTAGAGATTCACAAACGCAGACTTTATGACATCACTAATGTCTTAGAAGGTATTGGTTTCATAAAAAAGAAGCTCAAAAACAATGTCCTCTATATTGGTAATCAAGGGCGTAATAAGTGTAGTGATTGTGGGGGAACGACTTTTCCAGGGACTAAAGAGCTTAGTGAGATAGAAAGTTTGTTACGGGCTGAGAAGGATCTTAATACTGAGTTGGCTCAAGTAAATGCAGAGTTGCAACAATTGGCTTGTCAAGAGGACAATATGAGTTTAGCTTATGTTACTTATTTAGATTTAAAGGAGATTAGTGATTTTTCGGCTATCTCACTTTTTGCCGTTAAAACCCCACCTGGGACTCTTTTAGACTTTCCGCAATCAGAGAATAAGAATGAGAACATTGTTACTTTTTCTTCTAATTATGGTAAAATAGACGTATTCTATCTCCAGGATACATTGGACATGGTAAAATAAAGACTTCCAGGTCATATAGTAGTGCTAGCTTAACTTGGTGTTAGTATTGGGTTAGTACTTAGCTTGGGGCTTAAGATAACATCACTTTAGCAGCTAACTTTATATAAAGATAGAGATAAACATAACAGTTATTTTAATTTGGGTTTGATTAGATTGGGTTGAGTGGGGTGGGGTGGGGTTTGGGTTGTGTTTAGATTGTGTGGGGTTATGTTGTGGTTAGGTGATGTGTAGATTGAGTTAGTTTAGATTAGATTGGGTTGGTTTAGATTGAGTTATGTCTAGACTTTATTAAGTTGTAGATGTTGTTAAGTTGTTTTATTGTATATAGACTAACTATCTGTTCTAAGTCATGTATTGAGTTGAATAAATTGGAATAGTTTAATATCTGGGTTAAAGTAGAGTAAAGTAAAAGTGAAATTGAACTGAGTTTATTTGAATTTATGATCGGGTTAGATTTAGTTTAGAATTTCAATTGAGTTAAGTTGAGTTGAGTTAGTATTGAGTTAGTATTGAGTTGAGTTAGATAAAGAAGGGAAGGGGTTGGGTTAAGATTGAGTTGGGATTGAGTTAGTAGTGAGTAAGTGAATTAACACTGATTTTATTGAGTAGAGATTGTGGGATAATATACTGGTGCTTAAGTTAGCTTTAAAGTTGGGTTTAGAATGACAGTAAAAGAGATAGATGTTTGCCTTGAGGTACTGGGCTTGCGTAAGTTATGATTTTATCTACTTATTGGGATTTAAAGATAGAATCTGCTGATTTATTCACCTTTAAATCAAATAAGGTAGATTGCTTGGGGTGGGTTTGGGTTTGTGTCTTTTGGAAGGTCGGCGAGTAGAGTGGTTAAATGGGCATAGGCCTGGTAAAAGTAGATGTAGCCGTCATTCCATGCCTGGCGTTTGACCCATTCAATCTTGGCCTTAGAAACAGCAACAATGCTCTCTGCAAAGGGGAGATTGGCTGCGGGAATACTTGTTAAGTGATGGAAGTTCTTAATAATTCTAGTCCTTCGGCATATCGGGCAAGTATCGAGTTTGACAAAACCGATCACACAAAGACTACAGACGAAATGGCCACATTCAAAATAACAGGCAGCTGCGAAATTGTCATCTGGGTTGAAGGCAGAAAACGGAGTAGGGGCGGTTGAGTCGTCCACATCCGCTTCTTCTGCTTCCTTTGGTGGTGCATAAAGGTCACGACGACAGGTCGAACATTTAATGGCGGTGCCGTTTTCTTTGATATACTTGGTGATGTTTTGAAAAGAGGCCTTGGGGCTAATGGAATTTGGAATGATGCCCTCGACTGAGTCCGAGCGTCTGGCCAGCCGATAGAGCATTGTAGATGCAAGTGCAGTAAATTCGCCCTTAGGATTATGAAGGTTCTTTAATAAACAGCGGTGGAACGACTGAAGTAGCACCATGGTAGATGGACTGCTCGGATTATTTGGGATTGATCCGTCAATTTGAATACTCTTAAGTCTATCTAGTTCAATGATAAAGTATTTACGTGAGGTGATTACTGTCCATTCACTTTCTGATACATTGACATTTGCTAGGTGTAGAGTAGTTGTATCCTTAAATTGGCTAGCAACCCAGTGAATAATAGTCACTAAGTCGACTTCAGTTAGTGATTGGTTCTTGTGGAAACGTAAGAACAGGTTCTTCACTGAGTATTTTGGGGAATGAGATCCTTGGAATGGCCGGGAGGGGTTTAAATTCCGGGTTGGTCGGGTTGGGTTAGTAGTTTGAGAAGAGATGAAATCGTATTTTAAGGAATCCAGGTCGATATCGTAAAGAGTCAACTCATTATTATTCCTCAGATTTGGGATAGTATTGGGCTTTCTTGCGATGTAGGTTTGGAATAGTATAAATTGTGACTTAATGCCATAGTTCAAAAACCAGCGCAGGATTGTAGCATATGCCCTGTAATTAAGAGCACCTGTCTGTAGGGACAGTTTGGACAGGCCAAGATACTGGGGAGATACGCCCAGTTTATTCTCTCTCTCTATGTATCTGAATAGGGAGAAGCCCTCGATTTTCTCTCGTTGGTGGAAGTACTTGATTTCATCTAGCTCAGAGAAGCCATTAATTACTAGTAAGGCAATCTTCTGGCCGATAGGATGGGCAAGAAGTTGAACAATGGCCATGTTCTTGAAGCGCTGGTTCATAATGTACAGTTTAATTGGGTTGATAAAGTTGTAAACCCTTAGCATCCAATAAAGAATACGTAGATCAATATTATCTAGCACTAAGGTGTTCACCTTAAGATTAAGTTTAGCCATAGGCCGGCGATTACATTCTGTATCCAGAGCATCTGTATTAAACTCACTAGATTCCTGATTTGGATTATTGTCACCAATATTCACGATTCTAAGTTCTTGAGCTGTGATATTCCGAAAGATAGATACGGTTTCTGCATACCTTTGGATGGCCAGAGGACCAGGAAGCTGACTTCCGTTAATCTCGATAATTGTGTAGCGTATGTTTTGGCAGAAAGACACACCATAGTAGTTTTTATGGTTAGTAATCCAGTAATCAAAATCAATATGGCAAAGCTCAATCAAAACAGGTCTTCTAAGCATCCAATCGGGATCATTAAGAATGTTACCACAACATATAACGTCGCGTGACCAAACTTGACTCGGTATACGAGATATTGCTCCGATAAAGCGAAGTGTACTGATCGAGTTGTACAGGTCATCCCGTTTATCCTTATACTGGACCCAAAGCTCTTTTGCCGAAATTCCATGCCTGGCAATAGCTTTACGGGTGTAGAGCAGGCTATAAGCCGATTTGGTCCGACAGGGCATATTAGGGAGGATTTGGCAAATAACCAGAGTAGCAAAGACGCACAACTTATGCGGTTGGAGACAGCATGTTTGCCGCAGCAGATAGACAGATTCATAAGAAATATCCAAACCCAAGAGAGTATGAACTTTAATCGGAGACCTGTTATGTTTGCACAGGTGCAGAATAGTTTCCCAAGATGCCTCCAGAACTATCCCCGGATGAATAGCATCAACATTCTCAAGACCACGTAGTGTTACTTCTGTAGCCGCCGAACTAACAATATGAATCTTATGGCATCTAGGAACTGGCATTTGAAGCACCCAAAGATCAATGTTAGTCACTTTAGGTAAATTCACAAAGAAGAGAGTATAGCCGTTTATTAGTGGCAGCCGGCGAATAAAATGGGCATCTTGAAACTCCCATTCTTGAAAGATGATACAAGAAAATGGCCGAGCAAAGGCAATTCCACTATTTACCAATTCCCAAAGCGTCATTGACTTAGTAGTTATAAGCTCCAGTTGATACTTGGAAGAGTAAATCGCATGCAAAACTGTATTCTGGGCTTCATCCCTACACTTCTTTTCATCTAACCCAAGACCGTATACCAGTCCCTGCTGATCTTCAGCCAAAGAAATCCTCAATCTATCGCAATCAAACATGTTAACAACTCGAGATAGAATTTGCATGTTCAGCTGATAACAATCCGGATTACCCAAGCTATAAATAACTCGACAAGCAGAACATCTAATAACCACAATCGTTCTTAATAACTCCAAAGCATCCTGGGCTTGGGCACGTGTATATTTCGGCAGTATAAAGTGAATATAAGCACCTATGTACCCAATCGCATAAATAGGCGTATTGACCAACGTCTCATCTGTATCTACTAAACTAGAATCAGAAGCAGCCGCCAAACCTTGTTGAGGAGTCGCACAAGTCATCTGCACAGTATAATCAAAGCCAGCACATACAATTCCAATACTGTACAGAGCCTCAAACATAGACTCTGCATCCAGCAATCCCGCTCGAGCATTCACACACACATCACTAATATTTCGACACTCACCCATCGTATTCAGACTAGATCCACTAACTCTACCCAACACCAACACCAACCCCAAGCCAACCGAGAAACCAAGACCAAACCAACTTCTAACCACCTTAATTTTCCAGCCCTTAAGTAAACCCCGCCAGTACCCCGAGCCCAAGACTAATCCAAAGCCCCAACCAACCCCAATCAGCCATTCACAAGCAAAGCCCCAACTCAACCCAATCTTAACCCAACCCAACCCATAAATAACCGACAACCTATTCATATAAGGAGATAGCGACATAAGATAAGGAAATAAAAAAGAAGGTTCAGATATAATTACTCTTTCCCAAAAAGGAAATTTATAGATCCAAAATCTACCCAACTGATCATTCCTAACCAAAGACAACTTTATTCATAGCACCCCAATACAACAATATAGACAAGAAGATCACAAACATAGCTTCATACAACTTTAATACTCCATTAATACTTTATTAATACTCCATTAATCCCTTCCTAACCCAAACTCAACTTAATACCCAAATTATTACAATACTAGACTAAACTAAACTCATCTTAATACTAAACTATACTAAACTATACTAAACTCATCTTAATACTAAACTCATCCTAATACCATCTTAATACCACTCCAACTCTAACTCAACTCATCTTAATCCCACCTCAATACTAAACCCATCTTAATACCACTTCAATACCACCCCAACTCTAACCAGAGTAAGACAAGAGAATTTTGACACACCCGAACAACTCCAACCTACAACAAGTATTAACATAACACAACCCCACCTAAACCCACCTAAACCCCATCTAAACTCAACTCCACCTAAACTCACCTAATAAGATATTAATATATAAACACTGGTCAGAAATGTCAATGGTCAACCTCAACAAGAAAACTTGGAGGTTTTGGGGATCATCAAAAGGAGTGAGCCGGCCTAAGCCTACCCAACATCCTAACCTTCGCTTTATAGACCAAGACAGTACCTTCATCACTCCAGTATTTGAGCAGTGCTGAATTGTAAGAATTCAGTGATAAACATACTATACAAATGATTCTGTAAAGTATAATCAACGCTGACTAAAAAAGCGGCTGAGATTAAATAGCCGATTTGCAAGTAAAGTTACGGTTTTGGCCAAAAAATTGCATGGAATCGGAATCTGGTCCTATGATGAATAATTTCAATATGTGTTTATTTACAGAGGTGGGTACTCCTTTGCCTGTTTCTGATGAGGAGGAGTTAATGTACTTTGGAGGGGGAGTTAGTTTTAGGATTAAAGTTGGTGATGGAAGTCTTTTAAGGACTTATCGCTACCATTCAGAATCTGGGAAAGTCTTTGTGACTAATTTTAGGCTGATTTACATTCCAGATGTGATTCAGCCTTCTTTTTGTTCCTTCTTTGTAGCTGCTAGTTCTATTAGGGATATTACTTCAGTAGATAGTCAGCGGGTTAAGTTAGATGTAGTCTTAGGGAATGCAGAACGAGGGGTGTTGTTTTTGAACTTGAAGTACAATTTACTAGATACATTCTTAGTCCAGCTTAAAGATGCCTGGCATCGGATGCGAAGACTAGAAGAATAGGATTTAGTGGGGTGGGGTGGATTGAGTTAGTTTGAGTTAGGTTGGTGTTGGAGTGAGTTGAGTTAGTAGTTGTATTTGGGTTACTAAATTGGTATATATGTAGGAGAATTAACATGCAATAAATTGAATTGGGTTGAGTTGGTATTGAGTTAGTGTTGGGTTGAGTTGGGTTGGATTAAGTTGGTTTGGTATTTGAGTTGGTATTGGGTTGAGTTGAGTTGGTTTAGTATTAGATTGGTATTGAGTTGGTAATTAGATAAGTATTAAGTTAGTAATTAGATAAGTATTGAGTTGAGTTGAGTTGGCTTGGTATTAGATTGGTATTGAGTTAGTATTGAGTTAGTAATTAGATAAGTATTGAGTTGGTATTAGATTAGATAAGTAATGAGTTGTATTGAGTTAGTAATTAGATAAGTATTGAGTTAGTATTAAGTTGGTAATTAGATAAGTAATTAGCTACAATACTAACACAATGAGAGACTAAGGTGTTATTTAGATAAACAAGTGCGATGTACTTAATTGGCTAGTTAGGAGTGATGGGATGAAAGATACAAACCTAAATATAAGACTAGAGAGATAAATAGATGAGTAAATAGATACTGGAAGAAGACTTAGAATATACTTAAGGAATTCTTAGCTGGGAATAATTGTAAGTAAGTGAAGATGGGATTATTAGTACTTATCTTTATTTTCTGGATTTACTTGGTCTGGTTTAGTTTTAGGATGAATTTTGAAATGAGATAGTGTTAAATTAAGGTATAAGAAATACTTAGAATAGATAAACAGTAAATATCTCTTGATTTAGCTTAAAATAAGATATCTTAAAGTTAATCTTAAAAATTACCATATATGGTCATAAAATTCCAGCAAAATTTGCATTCCATGGACCAAAAGATTAACAAACGTGCTAAAGTAGACAATGCTCTTTCTAACGTAACTAATTACAAGAATATCTACAAAATTCTGTGTGATAACAAAACAGCTTTTATCCAGCAACTTAAGCGAAATTTCCGAAATAACAAATCAGAAATGATCTTTGGGAAGTACAGAATGGTAGAAAAGGTGCTCGGCCGAATTCTCTCAGCAGAAGACCTAGTTTCACTACGGGGCGAAAATCCTTACAAAAAGTCAGATAGGATTTATCTTTATGTTATGTCTGATTTACCCCTGGAAAAGATAGCTGAGATAGCTAATTCAGTGGACTTTAGTGATTACGAGAGGAAAGGAGCTCAATTTGAAGAGGATATTATTATTCCAGCTGGTGAGTTACTTAACCGAGAAAGTATTCGTGTTTCTAATACGTTATTCAAAGATATCAAAGCTTTAGGTCTGGTTAATGCAATTATCAACCCAAAAACCAACAACATAGAAGTTACCGAAGAAACTGTTCTAGGCCGCAAAGGTGAAGATATCACTGAGGCCCAGGAAAAGATGATCAGACTTCTTGGCATCAAAAACCGAACTCACAAAGCTGAAGTAACTGGCTTTGCCCGAGTTCCCCAAGAATAAACTACTTCCTTTTTAATCTAATCACTTTAATCGTTGGTTGTTCTTTTGATCTACTTAGTTGGGTCTGATCTATCAGTAGGGGCCAAGTCGAGTAAGTATGAAAAACAGCCGGATTACTTTCTACCTGGCTAAGTAAGACTCGTAGTTGTGCAGTAGAGACTTGGTGAATATCATTAGTAGTTAATGGAGGAGAAGAGTTGGAATGGGGTGGATTAGTTGGATTAGTTGGAGTAAAAGTAGGTCGGGAAAAGATTAAAGAACCTTCTGATAAGTCTTTGCTATTAACAAGTACAACTAGAAGATCAGATAGGGATAGTTGGGGATTCTGGCTGAGAATGCGTGAAATAGGTTCATCTTCCAGTTGAGTTGAGTACTTTAAGAGATAAGAATTAGCTTGAAGGATTTTAGTGGCTTTTGAACTTCTTATTTCACGGTATCCAACTAAATCAGCTGAATACTTTAAATCAACTAGTATATCTTGCCAGTACTGTCGCAATCTATCTGGATGAATAGGTTCTTTATCTAAGCTAAGATAAAAACACTTTCTAGGTCGAGCATAAAGATATATCTTTGGAAAGTCCAACCAAGCCAAAACTCGACTTAAAACTTCCAAAACAACCGCCCGACTTAATCCTTTAACTACTCCACCACTTTCTAACGTATTAATATGAATAAACCCATCTGCCTGATAATAAGTAAAAGTTCCAACATTAACTATTTCTGCAGTTGAGGTCAAAGCTATCCAAGCCCATTCACGACCATCTGAAAAGAGTCTAACTTGAATATTCCCAGACATTCGGAAAATTTAACAGTATACCATTAAGTTAACTTAAGTTGAGTTAAGTTGAGTTGAGTTAAGATTAGATTGAGTTGAGTTGATATTAAGTTGAATTGAGATAAGATAAGATAAGATAAGATTGAGTTGAGATAAGATTGAGATAAGACTAAGTTGAGATGGGGTGATATAAGATACTAACCCAATAGGATATAACACTTTCTAATTGAAATGACACACAAAATCATATCTTAACAAAATCATAACTTATCTATAACTAACTCACAACTAACTCATAACTAAACTATAACTTATCTATAACTAAACTATAACTAACTCATAACAAATGTATATCTGTTTATTTAAGAGGTCGGCTTGACGGGTTGTCTAAAGGAAGACCGATCACGCAAAGATTCATCATTTCCCTTGAAAATAACTGGAATCATCTGCTTAAGCTTAAGAACATCACGAATTTCGGCTTCTTGAGCTGCAAATTCAGCTGGACTGCCTGGACAAGTCTTAGTCCAAAGAGATAAAATAGTTTGATGACCTCGAACACTTATCAAAACTCCATTCACAATCATTGTTTTGAAAGGACATGCTCCCATCCACATGATAAGAGATTCAAATAACCGTTGTTCAGCTGTATTCTTCCTCATTTTAAAGATCCATTTCCCTCCTTCTAAATTCTCTGGATCTTCCCACATGGGTTGAACTCCTTCTCTAAACAAACACACATCAGTTATCGGCTTAATATCTACTAGCTTATGTAATCTTCTAATTACATAGAGGAATTCATTGATATTCTTAATTACTGCTTCAGCCTTAATTTTGCTTCTGAAGTCTTCGGTCTCTCCTTTAGTATGAACAGTACGAGAAACTGAAGAAAGAACAAGAGGAAATGCAAGTGTTTGTATTGGGCTCATTGGAATAAAAAAGAAAATGGGCTTAGATATGGATTGGGTTGAGTTGAGTTGAGTTAGTATTGGTTGTGTTTAGTTGTAGTGGTGTTTAGTTGTGTTTTGATTTAGATAAGATTTAGTTGGTATTGAGGTGTGTTAGGTTGTGTTGGGTTGAGATAGGATAGGTTAGTTGTGAGTTAGTTGTGATAGTGTTTTGATTTAGATAAGATTTAGTTGAGTTAAGTTGAGATAGGATTGAGATAGGATTGAGATAGGAGTTAGATTGTTGTAAGTTGAGATAAGATAGGAATGAGATAGGAATTAGATTGTTGTAAAATGAGATAAGGTTGTGATTTATTGGGTTGTGAAATTGATTATCTGAGTTTGGGCGTGGTGCTGCTGAGAAGGGATTTGGCATTCGGATAGGCATGGGCTTCTACTAGGGTGAAAGTTGAACCATCGGCAATGGCAAAGATAATGGTGGTGGCTTGGTGTTGGGTGAAGAAATTAGGATCGACTGAAGAGGCAGCTGGTACAATTTGAAGTAGGCCGATAGAGGTAGATGTTTTACGGTTGAAATTCTTATCTGGAGAAAAAAGTTGGTAGAGATAAGATGGAGATGATTTTGGTAAAAGAATCCAACCGGCCTCCCTTATTTTCTTATAGATAGAAAAGTACTCGTATCCTTTTTGCTTGGCATAAAGATCTAACTCTAATTCAGATATGGTTTTGATTTCAAAAAGAACTTCTTCTAGTTCTAAAAGTAAAGGTGGACTGCTTTTTAATAACCCAGAGACAAGTTTATCTTCTTTGTAACCGCATTTACGGTACTCATGTCTCCCAGGATCTTTAGGAATGTACTGCTGATGGTGCTTTTGAAACTTTTCAGCAATAGCTGCGTCAATACTCATCTAATTTTTTTGTAAGCCCAATCTACTACTCAGTTGGCCTTCATAAACTGATCGTAAAGTGAAATAGTTGCTTGAGATTTTTTTCCTTTTTGGGTAATTATTCTGGCTATTTCGGCATTTTCAATAGGAATATGACTAAAAAGTCCTGGTTTATCTAAAAATTCTTGGCATTCAAGCAAGCGTAGATCTACTTGACTAGCAGGAATACTTATATTTTGGTTTAGATTGTTACTTTGCTTTTTGTTTTTGTTTTCCTTTTTAGGAATAGATCTATAATTCAGAATGTTCTTCTTACGTGTGAAGTCAAATGTCATAAACTTTTTTATCTTTTGTTTAATGCTTAAGATGGTAACTAATGAATTTAGTGTTCTAGCGCGACTGAAAGAAAGTCTTCTTTTGATCTTTAGAGAAGCAATAACAATTTTACCACCTGATAAGATTTTTACTGACCCGTTTGAGTGGTTAGGACCAGAAATGGAAGAAGTTATCAAAATATTAGGAAAGATAAGAGAAAGAGTTAGCAAAGAAGTTAAGAGTAAAGAAGAAGAGATTAACCGACTAGTTAAAGATCAAAAAAGTTTAGAAGATGCCATTAAATCTACAGGTTTAGATAGTGAGATAAAAAACAAATCTGACCTATCTAAAAATCAAGATAAAAGTACATCTAGTCCCATTTGGATGACCGAACAGAACTTAGTTCTTAAACAAACACTACTCCTTCAAAGAATCAAAGAACTAGAACTAATCTATCAAAATCAAAAGCAAGAATTTAATGATCTAATTACCCAGATAAAAGAAGTCAATACAGCTATTGGACAAACTCAAGACCAGCCAATTCTTAATCATTCCGGCCTAATCTACCACCACAACTTACAAGAGGCTAAAACTCTCCTTACCCAACAACAAGCCAGACTAGCCGACTTAAGAGCCGAAGCCGCCACCAAAACCAAACAAAGTCAGATTAACCTCAGCCATTTAGGCATACCTTTTCAAGACTTTAAACAAACCACCTCCTCTCTTACTTCTTTAGAACACGCCTTATCTCAACCCAACCCAAATCTCACCGACTTAAACACTACTTTATCTACTACTACTTCCTCTACTACTCCTAATACTTCTAATCTTAATACTTCTACTACATCTACTAATACTTCTTCTAACCCTAATACTACTACTCCTTCTAATCTTAATACTACTTCTACATCTTCTAATACATCTACTTCTACCAATACCAATACTACATCTACTACTTCTACTTCTACTAACACCAATACCAATACCACATCTACTTCTTCTAATACTAACCTAATACTAACTCCAGCAGAAGCTACTTGCTTGTTACACCAGACGAGTAGAGTACAAAGACTAGCCCAGCAGATTGAAGCTAAACTTCAAACTAGAATTCAACTCCTTAGAGAAAGAGTGCCTGAAACTACTTTACCCCCTCCTTCTTCAACTCTTCTCCAGTCAATTGTTCAACTAAGTCAAGCCATTAATGCAGCTGAACACCTGTACAAAGCAAGAATCACTACTATTTACCAGGATAGTATCACTCGTATTCAGAAGTACGCTGATCAACTTCAAGAAATAGTACAACAACCCATTCCAGTTAGTACTTATCCTGATGTTAATGATCTGCCTTTTACTGAACAGGAACAACTCTTGATTAAAGTTGAACAAGCCGCGACTGAATTAGAAAAAGAGTATACGATTCTAAGAGATATCAAAGCCTTTATTAGAGAAAGGGAAGAACTACTGGTTAAAATGTCGGCTTTTGAAGAACAGGCTAGTGATCCACAAAGACTCTTCCGTAGTTCCTTCCAACTAATTTCCGAGGAAAAGTTCCGTAAGATGGCTGTACCTACTCTCTTACGAGTTGAAAAAGAGATCTTCTCATTGGCCCAGGAGTATACAACTCGTTTTAATCGACCGGTTTCTATCAACAACCAACTAATTGTTAACGATCTCCAAGTTCAAATTTCACACCGAATCATTAACTCTAATGTTTTTCTAACTGCCCGGCCTAAGACCCGTTAAGTCCTAACTTACTACTCAATAAGTTAGATTAAGTTGAGTTTAATTAGGTTTAGATAAGAGCAAGTTAGTATCTACTTGAATATTTAGCATGTACTAACCCAATAAATATACACTGATAGTTTACTTTGAATTTAAACATGTTCATTTAAATCTCGTACGTATGAGTATAGTTGAAATAAGTATAAGTAGAAGAAAGAAATACTCCCGAGTAAGTCGGACCAAACGTATTCCATCTCAACTCAAGACCAGCTTAGTAATAGATTGGAGTAAGTTTAACTTGTCATAACATTATATAGAGTTAGTATTTAGATAGTATAACTCAACTCAACTCAATTCAATTATAACATCCTCAGTAATCAAGACGTTTTAAAGCCACCTGAGTATTCCATACAATTACCATCTTAAACTAACTCAACTTAACTCAACTTAATACCACATGACTCAATACAATACAATCCAAACCCAACCCAATCCAACCCAACTTAACTTAACACAACTTAATACCACATAACATAACATAACACAACCCAATCCAACCCAACTTAACTTAACACAACTTAATACCACATAACATAACACAACCCAATCCAATCTTAACTCAATACTATTATCCTATTTATTCAACTGATACTTCGTCCACCACCCGATTAAATACGCCTGGTTTTGACTGGCCTTCATCATCACCTCCCTCCTTATCCCGTCTGGCCGCCCGGCGTAACGTACTTAGAGCCATCAAGTCCTCTAGTAAAGGAATCTCCCCTAGAAACTCACAAGGCGTAAAACACCTAATATTAGCCCTTTTCTTACCCAGCATATACTCATAGTCCCTTAATGATTCTCTGATCATGTACTCCCTCTTCTGCTTAGTAATACTAGCCATAGGTAAGTCTAAAGGTACATCTTCTTCCTCTACTCCTTCTAGTATAGGACAACAGGCTTGTAACTCCAACTTAGTCTGTTCTTGTAAGTGTTCTCTTACATCCTGGTCTAAGTACTTCTTCTCTTGTAACTCCTTCTGCTCGTCCTCTTCCTTACCTGTAAAGTCAACTAGACTTCTGTCTTCTTCTGGTACTTTAATCTCTTCACCTGGTCTTAGCATTTCCAGTAGAGAAACCTTACTCCTTCCCTCCTCCCTCCTTATCTGTTTTGTTATGTTAAGTTGAAACTGTAAGAATGAGACTAATTCCTCCCGACGATAAGATCCAGCTCCACCAACGTACTCAGTAATCAAAATCTTTTGCATCAACTCCTCAATCGGTCCCCGTTCAGCTGCAGTCTCCTTATCTTCAGCTGGTAAATTTAAAGCTTCCCCAAACTCAACTTCACTCATGATTTGTTTAACATTTACTAAGGAGCGTATCATAAAATCAAAAGCAATATCTACCAAAATTTGCAAGGCTTGTTTGTTAGCCTTTTCAAAACCTACTTGACTTAATATCTCAGCTATCACTGCTTGAATAAGCTGAATATGTATGTGAGAATCATCCATGAAAAGAAAAACTTTCAATCAATCTCTATATACAACTTGTTCTTATCTCTAGTTATAATAAATAATAAGTCACCAAGTCAAAACTTATGAGAAATAAGATAAGATCTAATAAAAATAGAGGGTTTAACTTTAATAGAGATACGGAGTCTACGTAAATATCTGAAAAACTTTGCCAGGATATGAAGTGTGCGATTTGTAAAACATCTCGGATTGAAACCGATGCGGCTCGAGATATTAGTTATTGTACTTCTTGTGGTCTAGTTATTGAAGAGAGTACTATTGTATCTGATGTGCAGTTTGCCCAAGATACAAAAGGTACTTCTGTGCTTCAAGGCCAGTATGTAAGTAGTGGAGATAGTAAGAAGTTAGTAGCTGGGAAGTTTATTACGACCAACCATTTAGCTAATATCAAGAATACGGCTAAATCAATTGGTGATTCGTTGGGAATTGGAGAGACACAAATCAATGCAGCTATGCGTTGGTACAACTTAGCCTTACAGTTTAACTTTACCAAGGGGCGTAAGACACAAGTTCTGTTGGCGGCTTGCTTGTACATAACTTGTCGGGAGGAGGAGACGCCGCATATGTTGATTGATTTTGCCGGAGTGTTAAGAGTGAATGTGTTTAAGATAGGCAGTGTCTTTTTGAAATTGATTAGATTGTTGAATATTACTGTTCCCTTAGTCGATCCTTCTTTGTACGTGCCGCGGTTCTGCAGTAAGTTGCAATTGACGAGTCCGCAAATTGCGAAGACTTCTTTGCGGTTGATTGCCCGAATGGATAGAGACTGGATGGTAGTGGGTAGGAAGCCGGCTGGGATTTGTGGTGCGGCTATTCTAGTGGCCAGTCGGATTCATGGCAGTCCCCGTGGAGTTGAGGAGGTAGCTGGAGTAGTTAAAGTTTGTGAAGCAACTATTAACAAGCGACTGGCCGAGTTGAAGGAAACGGCTACGGCTGGACTGTCCATTAATGAGTTCAATACGGTTTGGCTGGAGAAAGAAGAAGATCCACCGATTATCAAAGTACGGGGGCGTGCCCATGTGAAAAGTACTCCGGAAGAAGTAGCTGGGCCTTTACCGGCTACACCAACGAGTATTGCCTGGGGTGAGGAGATGGAAGTGGGAGAAGCTAATGCTGAGAGTGATTTAGATAGTGAAGAGGACGGAGTGAGTGAGGATGCTCTTCTAACTGCTGAAGAGACTCGTGAGAAAGGAAGGATTTGGGAGGCCATGCATGAGGAGTACTTAATTGAGCGGAAGAAGCGCGAAGTCCGTACTAAGCCAAAAACACGCCGGGTGCGACCTAAAGCCTTACCTTTAGAAGATGCCGTGGAAACTGCCGTCCGAGCCAAGCACTTATCTTCTCGTATCAATTATACAGCTATCAAAAGTCTATTCCAAAGATAAGCCAACGTTTATTCCCAGGATATTTACTACTTAACATGCAATGCTACCCCAATGGCAATTCAATGCTACCCCATAACAATTCAATGCTACCCCATAACAATTCACCACTAACCCCATAATAATAAACACAATAATAAGTTAAGATAAGATTGAGTTGAGTTAAGTTAAGTTAAGATAAGATTGAGTTGAGTTAAGTTAAGTTAAGATAAGGTTGAGTTGAGTTAAGTTAAGTTAAGATAAGGTTGAGTTGAGTTAAGATAAGATAAGATAAGATAAGATTAAGTTGAGTTATTTTGCTATCTGAATGTACACATATCTTAACTTAAGCTTATCTCAATTGCCAAATGTACGTTGAACTTTTAATTAGTGTTTGGTGGTTATTGCTTGGGATTGGTTGATGAATGCTGAGGTATATATACTTAGCGATTCTGAAACACATGGAAAGGAAAGTAGAGAAAGAGCTTAAAGAGGCTCAAGACGATCTTCAGGAGGCAATAAGCTCAGAAAAAGCTAGAGCTGCTTCTGTTTCTGAACTAAAACAACAATCTATAGATATGGAAAAATCAATGGGAGCTTTCCAAACGGAATCTGAAGCTGCCAAAAACCGGATCTGGTGGAAAAGTGCCAAATGGATAGCCATAGCTTCCATTCTAATCATCCTTATCTTTGGCACTCTCTTCTTTTTTATAGCCAGTAAGCTCAAAGGCACCTTCTCCTCCGATTCCCCACCCGACACTGACCAATAAATACTAATAAAGTAACCACTTCCTACCGGCTTAGTACTTCATTTCATATTTTGAAACACATATCTAAATTACACCCTTATCTCAAATACACATTCATATCTAAAATACAAACTTATCTAAATTATACACTCATATCTAACTTACACATCCCTATCTAAATTACAAACTTATCTAAACCAATACATATCTAAAATACAAACACATACCCACCTAACCCAATACTAAACCAACAGAAACCAAACACATACCCACACAACATAAACCACTCAATACTAATCCAAACACATATCTAATATTTATTGCAACTAAATACTAAACACAACCTTATCTAATCCTAACTCAATCTTAACTTAACCAGTTTGCGACCATCGGGGATCCTCAACTGCCTCAGGGGCTTGCACGCGCTGGAATAAAGCTCCAGCCTTCTCGCGCAACCCTTCAATCCGTCTTAATGCCCGTTTCATAGCCGCTCGTTTCTCAGTCGCTGCTTGTACGTCCTGCAGACTAATCCCATACATCATCTCTAGTCTTTGAATCCGCTCGGGCTGTTCCGAAAGTAAACCAGCAATAGATGCCCTTAAGGACTCCTCCGAATGTTCAGTGTAAAGACTTACAAGTGTACTTAAGGCAGCCTGTTGTATCTCTTCCGTACTGCTCTGTTTAAGCACCTCTTTAATACCCACTAGTAAACTACGCACTGGACATGCCCCCGTACTAGCCATTTCCCAAAGCACACCAGCTGTTTCCGGACTACAAGCACTAGCAACAACCACTGCTATTCTTTGCATCTCACTACTGACTATCCCATCATTATTCTCCTCCTCAGCCCTTAATCTACTCCATATCTCTCTAATAAAGGCATGTTGAGCCGATCCTGATAATCTAGCTAATAATTTTGTTATCTTTCTTACTTCAGATAAGCTGCCACTACTAATTCGTGCATAAATACACTGTAGAGCAGGCATACCTAAGACTTGTTCAGCATCTCCACCAATTGCTTCTAAAACTTTAGCCGCTGTATCTATTACTCCAATCATCTCTCCTGATTGTGAGGTCAGATAAGTAATAAACCGGGGAAAGACTTCAGTTAAAAGACCAGGACACCGTTGGGCAGCTGCAACTAAGGCGGCTAGTCCACCCGCTTGGAAGTCTTTCATAGTCAGTGCTACTAAGTCCGGCCGGTTCATCAGTACAGCCGCTGAAACTGCTAAGTCCATCGCATGACTAGGTCCACTTACGGCCCGCTGGTACACTGCTTGCAGTAAAGCTGGAGTTAAAGTCCCAGCAGCTGACATAGCTAGTAAACATTCCCGGGCAGCTGCACATTCTTTAGCCGTAGATAAGGAAGCAGAACTTAAGGCTGCTTCTTGATCCTCACCACGAACAAGTGCTTGTTTTAATCTTAGATAAGGCGAAGTCAAAGGAGCCGGTACTAAAGCCCGTTTAATCAAAACTTCAGCAACTGGAATAGGCAACTCAGTATGAAACCGTAAAAGTATATCTGTCGCCAAGTAAGGCAAAGACTCAGCTAGTAAATCAACTGTGCGAGCAATTGTATCATTAGCCCCTGCTCCAATTTTCAATCCTAGATTAGATAAGGCAATAAAAAACTCACCCGGTTTTCCTCCCAAAACCATAGCTATACTCTCCTGTGTCTCCTCAACTCTTAGTAAGAAGCCACGGGCGCGGGCGGCAAACACTTTCAAGAGGTCTAAAACTGCTGCAGCTCCAACTCCTTCTTCTTCAGCTGCACTCGTATCTAAAGATAAAGATTCACCTTCTACTCCAACTAAACCAACTACTCCTAAAGACCCAGTACTTACCTCACTTAAGATCTGTCTGAGTAAATCATCAAAAGCTCCTTTCTGCATACATTTAGGTAAGGCCCGATTACCTAAACTAGCACAAGCCACCACTAAACCCGCACTCGGTTTCAAATCATAAGCAGTCAAAAGATAAGCTGAAATAACTCTAAATAACTGACTATTAGCTGGTACAGATATTTCACTGATCAGTTCAGCCACTAAGCCAGAAAAGGCCGGTTTTGTACTAAAGAAAGCTTCTAAAGCTACTGCTGAAGCAGATCCTAAACGGGCCAACCAAACTAAAATAGATAAGGCCGTCTCAGTTGTACACTGATTAGCCACTAAACCAAATAAATCATCAGCCGGTCCATGTAAGGCTTTTTTCAACTCGTATCTCCTTTCTTCCGTTATCTCTAACGAATCAACTGCCTGGGCTAAAAACTGTCCTAAGACTTCAGCCCCAATCGGTTGTCCTCGACTTATTAAGTCCTTAATCCGACTAATAAACCCACTCGGTTTAACCGGCCAGTAAAGAAGACCTAAAGTAGCATAAAGAGCAGCTAAACGAACACTAACTAGTCTATCACTATCTAAACAACAAAAAAGTAACTCTTCAACTTGATTAATAAATAGATCTAAAGATGGTTCACTTAACCGATCTGGAGTTTGCAAGGTCTTCTGCAAGGTCAGTAATGCATAAAATTGTCCCAGCTGATCTTCTTCTTTTACAGCTTGAAACAAAAGTAAGATAGTCTGATCAGATTTGGTATATTGTAAAAGTAAATCTTCAGCTGTAGAAGAAGGCGAAGAACCGTTTTTCAGTGCACCAATAAGCATTCTAAGATGGGAAATAGTGAAAGATTGCATGTAGAATTCCAAAAAATAAAAGAATTTAAGTGGATAGATTAGCCAGGGGATGTTTTTGGCTGGAGAACAGAAGACAGAGGAGATTAAGAAGCAAATAGACGAGATAATAGGTCTAATGGAAGAGCAGATAGAGAGTGCTAAACGGAAACAGAGTGAGATAGAAGGACTGATCAGATCAACTGAAGCTGCCTCGGAAGAGATAGCAAAAATGAAGTCGGGATCGGAGATAGCAGAGGCGGCATCACGTCAGAATAGAAGAGTCTTAGTGGTTAGTGCAGGTATTTTTATTGGACTGTCCTTGGGAGGGATGCTACTCTATACAGTAGCTAAATTAAGATAAGATTTTGGTTTTGATTTTGAATAAGTAGTGAGTTAGTTTGGGTTGGTTTTGATTTTGATTTTGATTTTGAGTTAAGTTATCTTGTGTTAACTTTACTTTACTTTACTTTACTTATCTTATCTTTACTTAACTCAATATGAAGTCCATCTAGAAACGTACAACAAGTGATATACCTTGATACGAGATAGTCGGCCATTTATTGAAGGTGGGTGATGATGAGTGCGAAAATGACGTCATACTTAAATTTTAATAATCCTAAGGTTTTGGTTAAGATTTGGTATGATTTGAATTTTCTACTAACGTTATGGGTATGGTAGTGTCATGGAGTTGTAGGCGTAGTGTATGGATGCGATCGAACAAGACATAAACGAATTGTAGTGAGAAAAGAGTAGTGGTTGTCTAACGACACTACACTTACTCAATACGTACTCAATACTTACTCAAATCAAAACTACAACAGAAGGCCGAATTGTACTTGAGTTGGTATGATTATGTTGTTCATAGTTATACTAAGAGAGTACTAGGATGCTTTAGATAGCTCAATCAGTAAATCATGTTGGGTTCAGTTTATTAGAATATTATGTTATATTACATTAGTAGATGGTGTGTTATGTTACGTTGTGTTAGTAGATGGTGTGTTACGTTACGTTATGTTATCATTGACTTAGTAGATGGCCTTGTAATGAGTTAGTAGATGGAGAATATTGCCTCAATAAGAGGTATGTAAAACTCAACTTAACTCAACGTTATGCTTTGTGATTGGGTTTTGTAGATACTTGAGTTACTTCTATCAATACCATCTACTAACTCAATACTAACTTAACTCAACTTAACTTAGCTCAATTGGGTTAGTATTCTGGAGGGGTAGTTTTGGCGTTGTAGATGTTCTGGGGTTTTTAGAGATAGTAGTTTGGGTTGAGTTTATGTTATGTTATTATGTTGGGTTATGTTGTGTTGGGTTATTGTGATACAAATAGTGTTTATGTAAGTATGTATTTAGATTATGTGCTATCTAAATACAAATTCAACTCAACTCAATCCAAATCCAAATCCAAATCCAAATCCAAACTAAACTCAATCCAATCTAAACTAAACTAAACACAACATAACATAACATAATACAACACAACATAATACAACACAATACCAAGCTAATATGTTATTTAGAAAGGGTAATTTGGCCAGATAAGCTATGATAGGCTATATTAAGCTATCTAATGCAAATGAAGACAATAGAAGTGTCTTAATCTTGGCTGAAAATTAAACAATATTTACAATGAATGCGCTGAAGACTCTTTTGAAGCTATTAGCGCCTAAGAAGAAACAAGTCCCAACTGAACTACTAGGCACTTTGGGTGTAACTCTTATTAAGCATACTAAACTATTTCGTGTTAAGGCCGAATTTAAAGGGCATGCCGCCGTAATTACAGATAAAGATCCCAAGACTTTATTTGATGTGTTTAAACATGGAACTCTAGTGCTTAAGATAGGCAGTAAAAGAAGAAAGATTAAGACTGATAGTATCTCAGAAACATTGCAAATCGACCAAGCTGGTGCATCTTTACTCGTTGAATATCGGCCCAACAAGAAGAAGTTGTCAACTGAAGACTTCTTATTCCTCAGAGTACTTGGCCAAGGGACTTTTGGGAAAGTAGTTCTAGCTAAGCATAAGAAAACAGGCCGGTTGTATGCCTGTAAGATCATTAAGAAAACAGCTGAGAAAGACTCAATTGATAAGATGATTAACGAAAAGGATATTTTACAAAAGATAAGCTCGCCGTTTTTGATTCATTTACTGGCCTCATTTCAAACGGCTGAACGTGTTTACTTGATTCTGCCCTATGTAGAAGGGGGAGAGTTGTTTAAACATCTTCAGGACGAGAAAGCTTTCTCTGAAGATAGAGCTAGAATTTACATAGCTGAGTTGTTGATTGCTGTAGAGCACTTACACCGGAATGGTATTATTTATCGTGATTTAAAGCCCGAGAACATTTTGTTAGATCGTGAAGGCCATATCGTACTTTGTGATTTTGGCATGAGTGTGCAAAATGAAGTGGCCCGTACTTACTGTGGTACACCCGAGTATATTGCACCGGAAATAATTAGAGGTGATGCTTATACTGAAGCAGTTGACTACTATACTTTAGGAGTTCTGCTCTACGAAATGGTAACGGGCAATCCGCCATTCCTAACTGGGGAGGGAGAAGATCGTGATGATTTAGAGAACAAGATCCTTTTTTCCGAGATAGAGTACCCTGAAGGCCTTTCCAGTGAAATCAAAAGACTAATTAGCCGGCTAGTCCGTAAAAGTCCCGAAAGGCGGCCCAAAGCCGAAGAGATCAAGCAAGAACCCTTTTTTAGCGGCCTAGAATGGGATAGAGTGGAAAGGAAAGAGTATATGGCTGAACTTATCTCTGTAGAAGATGACAAAGAAGAAAGCAATCCAGCCGAGGCTTCCGGAGAATCAAATGCAGTTGGTTACAAACAAACAATCCCTGGATTTACTTATTGCAAGGAAGAATGGGATGGTTAGATAAATTGATTTGGGCTATCTTATCTTACGTTTTGGTTTTGCTTTTGATTTAAACAACACATTAAATGACACTAACTTAAGTTTAGTTTGAGTTATGTTATGTTTAGTTTAGATTGGGTTGAGTTGAGTTAGATTATTATACCAACCCAATACTTAACTCAATACTTAACTAATACTTAACTAATACTTAACTAATACTTAACTCAATACTTAACTAATACTTAACTAATACATACTCTAGTAAAGAGATTCCTTGTGATAAGTGTGGGTACCGTTTATTAGATAAATATGGGTGTGTTAAAATAAGATGACGTCATACTAAGTTAGTATTAATAAGTAGTGTGTACTAAGCCAGTGATCAGGTTGATCGCATTGGTATAGTGTTGGCAGTGTTAGTACTGGGAGTGGCCGTATGACAACAGTACATTGGACTATGTCAATATCTAATTTATTATCTAGGTAGTACTCTATTGAGCAACTACTTCAATTCAACTTACCTAAACTCTAACTTAAACTCTTATCAAGATCTACCAACTATTTAATCAAAATAACAACTTAAGATAACATAACCCAACTCAACCCAATCCAACACAACTCAATCCAAACCCAAACCCAACTCAATCCAACCCAATCTCAACTCAACCCAACTCAATACTAACTCCAATCTCTTTTCTTTTTTATGGAAGACCAGTTCATTATTCGTCCCCCCGAGAGTATCAAAGATAAGCTCAATGAAGATGTTAAGAAAGGAGCCGTTCATAAAATAACAATTAAGATGATTTCCAGTAAAGAAGGTATTTTAACCTATGAAGGTAAGACATACACCGGATACTTAGTAGATCTACCTTGTATTGTTGAATCTCATAAGACTTTAGATAACAAACAGTTTATTAAGATAGCTGACATATCAAAGATCTTTGTTTTCTCAGATGATTCAGCCAATGCCCAAAAGATAGCAGAAGAAGCTTCTCTATCAGGTCTTACTCCTCCTATGAAGTACGTTCGTAACCGCCGCTTCCGACAACGTCTTACTAAAGCTCCTATCATTGAAGAGATAGAGAAGGCCGTTGCTCGTCTCTTAGAGATGGATAAAGAAGCCTTAAGAGTAGATGTACAGGTAATGAATAAGGATGAAGGTGATGAATCAGAAGAAGATGTTTCATCTTTAGCAGCCGAGATAGAACTTAATCTAATGGAGAGTGAAAAGATAACCAGAACTATAGAACCACTAACTACTGAACAAGATAACGAAGAGCTATCTAAGAAAGAAGAAGAACTTAAAGATCTACTGATTAAATTACAAGAGAAGAAAGAGCAACTAGAAACAATTACTAATCCAATTCTAAGGAAGAGATTCCAAGAAGGAGTTGATCTCTTAGAACAAGAGAAGAATGAAAAGGAAAAGGAGATAGCTGCTATCTTAAATCAAAAATAATTGTTCAAAATAAGATGAGATTTAAGTTGTATTTTGTTATGGTAGTGAGATAGGATAGGATTATAATCATGTTATGTTTGTTGTTGTATGTTTCTAACAGGACATTTCGGGTTTTTACAAGACGGCTAGAAAATTACCTAATAAGGAAATTTTCTTGTCTATAAATCGACCTGCAAATCAATAAAGACGAGAGTTTGAAAGATGGACTGAAGAAAACAACTGGGTCAACGGTTTTATTTTTGTTTAGCTTATTGATTTTGAGATGACGTCATCTTTTGCTTTTCGTTGGGCTTTGCTAATAAAAGTTGTTACTTACTTGAGATATAGTTTTGATAGAAGTTGTATTAACCAATGGATTTAATCGATTTTTATTCGGATTTTAATTCATCAATTCAAAATTCATTTTTTGGCAACGGAATAATTTCCTTATTAGGAAATTTTTCAAATTATAAATCTCGGTTTTTTATCAGTATTAATGAGTAGTATCGATCAACAAGAATTTACTGAATTTGTTCGACACTACTTTAAGAGTAATATAGAATCCCCCTCTACTGAACTTCGTGAACTACTGACGGATATATACCTCCTTACAAAAACAACAGAGACCAAGCCAACCATTGCGTCGTCCTTCGATATAAGTGGCATTCTCGTACCATTAATTAGTGCTATCGCAGGTTTAGCATTAGTAATAGGAATTATTACCGTATTAGTTGCTACTTATCGGAAATCATCTAAGAATAAGCTGATAGTTGAAGAGGAGACAGATTATCCATTCGGTAAATACAAGTGGTCTTCTGGTTACGATTATCAAGATCTTGATGACCAATCCTCTACATCGGGATGGCCTATTCAAGATGATGCTGGTGAGAGTTTGGCTGCATTCCAGGGGGAAGATCGCACAATAACTCCAGTTGAGCGCACTACAACACGCCCAAACCAACCAAGCACTTTAAAACAAACACTAACGGCTGAAGAACAAAAGCGGGCGAAGGAAATAAGCGTTGGATTAAACGGAAAATCGTATGACGACCTAATAGCGACGTACACTTTTGATCTACACAGACTACTCCCATTAGTAAACGGTGGCTTAGAACCCCAAATAGCTGAACCACAAACACTCGACCAACAGCCATTACGGACCCAAGTAGAATTCCTTATAGCTCAGATAAATTGGAGCTCTCGGGCAATAGAAGATCAAGTAATAGAACTAGACGGCTACCTCAGTGGATTAGAATCAGGCAACATGCATCAACAAGTACAAAAAGTAAGACAAATGATCCTGGCCAAGCACAGTAGGCTAGTGTCCCTAAAACAACAATACCAACAACTGCTAAGCAAACTTAAACGTGTACCAATAAACAAGCCCAACGAAAAGCAAAAGATGACGTCATCTCAAAATCAATAAGCTAAACAAAAATAAAACCGGTGGCCCAGTTGTTTTCTTCAGTCCATCTTTCAAACTTTCGCTTTTATTGATTTGCAGGTCTATTTATAAACAGGAAAATTTCCTTATTAGGTAATTTTCTACCCGTCTTGTAAAAACCCGAAATGTCCTGCTAGAAACGTACAACAAGTGACATACTTTGATACGGCATAATCGACTATTTATTGAATGTAGACGAAGATGAATGCAAAAATGACGTCATACTTAAATTGTAACTAATCCCAAGGTATCGGTTAAGATTTGATATGATTCGAATTCTCTACTAACCCCATACTAATAAGAATGCGATCAGTCAATAAATAGTGTTTTGAAATGAGAAAGAAGTAGTGGGTATCTAACAACCTGTAGTGCTGTCATACGACCACTACTCATTTCTCACAACGATCAACCTGATCACTGGCAAGCTACTCACTACTTAGTACTAAACCAATACTAACACGCAACTTTAATAGAATCAGGGTCTTATAACCAAATTAGTTTTGCATATCTACGATATACTTCGATATGACGTCATCCTCTCACTTACAGTCATATTTACTTAATAAAAGGTACCGGTGTTCGTCTCAAGGAATGTCTTTAATGGAGTATGTATTGGCTAATGGATGTTATCCATCCCATGGGCACTACACAACCCTACAATAAATCAAGATAAGATTGGATTATGTTATGTTAAATTTGTTATCTAAATATAGATAAGATTATATTTTTATTATTTAAATACTAATACAAGACGAACTTAAAATAATTCAAACTTAAACTTAATTTAATTTTTACTTAATTTAAACTTAAACTGAATTTTTACTTAATTTATTCCTGGCTGCGATTTGCAGGGGGTAAAAAATAAAGTCATTAACTTAAGCTTCAACTAAAATCCACTTTCCTTTTTCAGAATATATTTGCGTTCTAAAAAGGAAAAACGCAGTTGTGGATCAAAAAGGAATATTCCTAATAAGGTAATCCTCAAACTATATAAGAAAAGCCATATTAAGGTCATATGCATACTAACCTATTCCTCTCACTTTCTCTCTTTCTCTCTCTAACCCACGCCTTCGTCTACTACCCCATCCCTACTACTACTACTACTACTACTACCCCAGATGGTCTAACCCCCTACCCCTATAACCTCTATGACGACCCCCTTGCTTCGCAGTCCCTTCTAGCCCAAGTCTTAGATGAAGCCATCAATAACCCAGACCCAACTGTCCTTAATAAGTTAGCTGATGATATAGCTAATGAAGAGGACTACGAACGAAGACAAGCTATGGTAGTTAATGGTGGTACTGTTTTAGGCGGGTTTTCTCTTTCTTTTGATGAAGGTCCTTGTAGTAATACTAGGCAACTACTTTCTATTCTAGCCCAGCATAAAGTAACTTGTGCTTTTCATATTGATCCTTTTAAAGTAACTAGTACTACTCTACCTTTAGTTAAGGAGATGCTTAGACTAAACCATGTAGTTGGTTTAGCCGTAGTTAGTACAGTTGATTTAAAGAGTCTTTCTTTAGCTGAGTCTCAGCAACATATTCTAGCTGCTTTTAATGCTTTTAAGAAGCGATTAGGTTGGACACCTTTAAGTGTTCGTTTACCTAAGGAAGGTTATTCATCTGCTGATGTAGAGTATGCTTGTTCTTTAGGTCTAATAGTTAGTGAGCCAAATTATGATTTACATGACTATGAAGATCCACAATTTATTAGTACTTTATCTGAGTTAATATCTCAATCTGATCCCTTATCTAATTCCTTTGTTCTTGTTTTAAGAGATAAGTATATTAATTCTGTTAATTCTGTATCTGATCTTATCAGTTTAATGACTAACCATGGGTATCAGTTACTTAACTATCAGGATAATACAGGGATTGAGACTTCAAGTGAGCCAAGTGCTATTATGTTAGGTGATATGGGTGGTGATATGCATAATAACGATTGGGTTAGTATGCTTATCAAAAATCAAAAGCAGAATCAAAATAATGCTAAATCTAATCTCAATAATAATCAAAATGGGAAGGCAGCTGCTTTAATTATGGGTCCTGCTAAGAAAATCATTCCTAAGGTTGAATCTCTAGCTACTAGTTCAGCTGCAGCTATCAAGACTTTTACTATTGGTGGTCTTATCGTTATAGTTGCCCTCTTTATTTAACCTAATAAATAAGTTAGCTTATCTTATCTTATAACGTTATTTTAGTAGATCTTATGACGTCACATACCTAGATGGCAAAGGACTTATCTTATCTTAACTGATGACGTCACTTATCTTCACTTATCTTATCTTACCTTAACTTACCTAGATGGCAAAGGACTTATCTCTGGGGATGTATGTACGTCCGGCTCTTTCTAAGGCCATGATTTTACTTTCGGGTAGATCTCCATCCATAGTAATGGCATAAAGACCTTGTGTATATCCATCTAGATGTTGCCATCTAGCCATCCAAGAACTCTTAGCATTAATGATAGCAATTAGACCAGAAAACCTATCTGTAGTACAATCAAGAACATTATCTGTACTATCTTTCATTCTTAGCATAACACAATTATCACAACCTGATTCTTTGAACTGAGATTGAGTCTTCACTAGAGAACAGCCTAAACATGCTCTAAGCTTCTTGTTTATCGCCGGAGGAATAACCATTGCAAAAAATTGGACTGTTCAGTATAGATATAGATATCTTAATAAAGACAGATTGGGTTGGTATTTAGTTGGTGTTTGGTTAGTATTGGGTTGGTGTTTAGTTGGTGTTTGATTTGATTTAGTAACAACTTATCTTATCTTATCTTAATCTGTGATTTTAAAAACTCATAAAAGAGATAGGGAGAGTTTGGGTTGAGTTGGGTTGGGTTGAGATAGTGTGTGCTGATTTGGACGGTGGGTTGGCTGGGAGTGTATGGGTTGGGTTGGGAGTGCTTATTGGGATAAAGGAGGGAATTGAACGGGTATGGAGTAGGTTAAGGGGGTGGTCGAACTTTGCGTAGTAGGTAGAGATAGGTATGTGAGGTGTTGTGGTGATGGTAGTAAGATGCGTTAGTATGAATAAAGGTTGAGGTGAGTTAGTATTGAGTTGATTTGGTTTGGGCTGGGTTTAGATAAGCTATGGGGATTTGGTGTATAATTAAAGTAAAGTTTTGAATTAGATATGAAAGCCTATCTAATATACCTTGTGCTGATTGTGAATGGATGGAATGCGTGGTTGGGAAGTGCGACAATGGATCCTAATAATATAGATATGAATGAAAGTTACTTGCCTGGTGCTTTGCCTTTAGCACCAGTGGATGATACAAGACTTGGTCAACCTCCTGTGCGTAGGGAGGTGCCTGACTCGGCATCTTGGCAGTCGACTTCAAATATAGATGAGAATGGTATGTATTATAATACAACTTCAAATTCATCTATGTATATGAATAGTGGTATGGCGCCTAATTACAATGCATGCTTAGGTACGAGTGGAGGCTATAACTTTAATTCGGATGTTAGTTCCTATCAAAATGATGGTATGTGTTATGACTTAGATGCTGGCCGAATTTATGCTCCTGATAATAATGGCTTAAATCAAAATACTAACCCAATAGTTGACTTGACTACGAATAGCAACCCATATCAAAGTAGTAACTCTTATCAAAATGATAATATTTCTCAAAGTAGTAACTCGTATCAAAATGATAATGTTTCTCAAAATAGCAACTCGTATCAAAATGATAATGTTTCACAAAATAGCAACTCGTATCAAAATACTAACTCTTATCAAAATACTAACCCAATACTAACCCAAAGTACTAATACAAGACAACAAGTTGACAAATGCCAAGATACCAACCCAGTTCAAGATACTAACGTAACTCAAAGTAGTACTTTACAAGCTGACCAGGAGCTAGATGGTGCGCATATTTCCTCGGCGCTTAAGAATATGAATGAGCATCTGATGGTGTTGAGTCGTCTTATATTGGCCAGTCGCGCCTGCATTGTTTGTCCATTACATGTGCAACGCACCCGTTGCGTCTCGCTTTGGGCTAATGCTTTTGATTATACTCTGGGCGGAGTTGTAGCGACTAAAAGCGAACGTGGGGCAATTTTGCATCGAATAAGATCTCGAGTTGATGTTATCAAACAGATGCACGATCGAATAACGGAATTAGGTAAGTTCTTGACTATTTATGCACATTCGTACAGTAAGGAGTTTTCCCCTTGTAACCAAATGATTGCTTACTTGATAAAGCTGTTTGATAATTTGTATCTATCATCGGTTTCGTTGGATTTCAGCACGCCGATGGATATAGATAAGATGGAACGGCTAACTTGTTGCTACTTGGAGTTGGAATACAAGAGCTTGTGGTTAATTGGCTTGTTTTTGGAGAAGTTGGTTTATCTGCAACACCAACCAAACTATCCATTTGCTTCTATAGTTAACCAAACCATTATGTACTTGTTCTTAGCCCATCAGACTTCAGCTAATGCTGCCACTAATAACTGTGGTCTTGTCTCAATTCGGACCTACCACTATATTACCCAACTTTTAGATCTTTGTGTATCTATTTTAGATAAGAACATAACTATTATTACAGCTGAAACTTTAGTACTGCTATCTGCTCAAGATGCCTTTATTAGTCCCATTTCGGTAGGCCCCAATTCTACAGTCAATTATCGCCATATCCTATCCTGCTACAAATACCAATTTACTGCTCGCCACAATGCTGTTTCTATTCTATCCCAGCAAATCGTCTTCCAAACTCGGATTATTCTACTCTATAATTCCCTACTTGAACTTCTACGCCCACAAGAAACTGAGTCCATGGCCTTACCCATCTTATTAGGCCTGTTTAAGGAGTGTATACAAGGCAGTTCTCCAGCTATCCAAGAGTTAGCTTTCAAAGGGTTTGATCCTAATAACTATCAGCCATTCGTAAAGTATTTCATTGACAAAGCCCCAATTCCTTCCACCACTCGAGCTTCTTTATGTCATACCTTGATGTTCCAGCAATACCTAGCTTATTTCGGATGCAACCTATATTCAACCCCAGGCCACACATCAGTTGCCTCTCCTTCTCTAATACCCCTCCAAATTCTAGATGATCTAGCCCAGCGACTAATCCAATACAACCACGGCATAGCCCAAGGCACATGCTACACTGCCTATACCAAGACCCACACGTACGTATCTGATAAAGATCCATTCTATCAACAATTCAAATATATTCCTAAAATCGATTCTGACCCTGCTTATGAGCATACAGCTAAAGCCAAGGTAAGTCTCGACCAAACCGCCCAATCTCCTTTTTTTTACCCTATCTCTAATGATACATATCAACAAGCCTATTCTTAAAATAAATCCAAACCCAACTCAATCCCAAAATTGTAAGCCAGCATTTGTCTTTTTAAAACAATCTCACATTGGGCTAGTATAGATTAAGTTAAGTAAAGTATAGATTAAGTTAAGTAAAGTAAAGTAAAGGTTATGTGAATGTTAGGTTGGGTTAGGTTGGGGTCAGTTAAGTATAGATTATGAGATGATTTGTTATTAGCAGATTGGCAGTTTAATCTAAATCTAAATACTAACCCAATTCGTACACCAACTGATTTATTCATTCACAACTTCGATATCAAGGTAAGTTTAGATTGGGTGGAGTACTCAAGACCAACACATACTCTATTAAATATAGTACTTGAGATAAGTAGTGATGTCGTTTATTGAGTGAGTATTGGTTGAGTTGAAATAAGATGACGTCATATTAGATTGGTACTAAGTTAGTATTAGATTGGTATTAGATTGGTACTAAGTTAGTACTAACCCAATACAATATCAACTTATTGCCATCTAATTACGCTAGATATCAAAATCATAACATAATAACAGAACATAACGTAATACTAGCTCAATCAAGATCAGAAGCAAATCAAAATCAAATCAAAATCAAAATCAAATCAAAATCAAAGTCAAAACCAAATCAAAATCTTATCTTAAACATTTATTAGGATTACTATTCTTCAGTCAGCGTTTCCAGCAGCACTAAAAAGTGCTCGGCATCTCGATACACCGCACTACCTTCCGCATTATACGCCATCGCATTATCACACATTTTACGAACATCACTGGCAAACTCAGCTACATTAGCATACGACTCCAAATTGTCCCGAATTTCCGCTAAAGAGATAGGCGACTGAATATACTCATAGTAGTCCGGATAAATACTTGGATCCGGTAGTTCTTCAAATAAGACCGCCCGACGTCGACCACTCTCCGTACTCCGCATAATACTCTCTAGAATCTCCTCACACCGGGCAATCACTCGAGCCTGCCGCCGACCCGCCCAAGCCGCACTCTTCCGCCGCCGGGGACCCGTTTCCTCCTCAGCCACTTCCTGTAACTCCGCCCCCAGTAAGGAAGGAGCAGGTCCAGCATACAGCTCAGTTGGACCCAATCCACCTGCATCCATCTCCTGGAGAGCAGCTAGTTCAGCCGGAGTACGGGCTAGGACTCGATTCAAATCAGCATCTGACGTCACGGCTAAAGAATCATCCCCTTCACCCCCTTCACCTTCAAATATATTCCGTAGTAATGCTTCCCTCTCCTCATGCGTCGTCCGATTATCAAATCTACCCGCTTGAATAATCTTCTCATCCACATGCAACTTATGCGTGGCTTTCTGCAAGATATACTCCTCAATCGAATCGGCCGTTACTAACCGGAAAATCCTTACTTCCTGAGTCTGACCAATCCGATGGGCCCGATCTTGTGCCTGCTGATCAGCATGTGGATTCCAATCAGAATCAAAAATTATCACTGTATCAGCTGCTTGTAAATTCAAACCCAATCCACCCGCTCGTGTACTCAATAAAAAGACCGAATGCTGAGCTGTTGTATCACTAAATTGAGCAATTAATTCTGCTCTTTCTTCAGCCTTAACAGCTCCATCCAGTCTTAAGTACTTAACTCCCTCCATTACTAACATATCTTCCATAATAGTCATAACTTGCGTCATTTGGAAGAAGACCAAAACCTTATGGCCAGTAGCACAAAGCTTATGCAACATCCGTCGGACAAGTTCAAACTTCCCTGAAACTCGATAAAGCATTTCATTGTTAACCTTAGCCGGATTAACTGCTTCTTCTACCGTACTAAAGACAAAAGGATGATTACAGATCTTACGTAATTGCATAATAGTATTGTTTAAACGCTTAGTGCCTTCTTGCTTATTAGCAGCAGCTGATCGGACTTCATTATAAAGAGATCTCTGTAAGCCGGACATACGACACTTGATAACAGTCTCTACCTTTTCTGGTAGACCGGCTTCAACGTCTTTCTTCAACCGCCGCAGTAAGAAAGGTCTAAGTACTTTATGCAACCGCTTAATAATAAGTAACTCCTCTTCTTCATTCAAGTCAATCTTCTCACCCGCATGGGCTACTGGAGCACTAAACCACTCATCAAAAGAACCACCAGCACAGAAGATCTTTGGAAGTACAAAGTTAAGTAAAGACCAAAGTTCAGGTAAGCTGTTCTGTAAGGGTGTACCGGTCAAAAGTAACCTAAACTTAGACTTATAGTAAGTATTCATAACAGTACATAACTTAGATCCAGCATTTTTCATCCGGTGTCCTTCATCTACAATAGTATACAACCAAGATATCTTAGATAAGAAAGCTCTATCTCGAATTACATACTCAAAAGTTGTTAAAAGTACGTTAAAATGAGAAGTGAGTGTTTCTTTCTTAAGATCACGACGTTGACTAGGATCACCTTTATAAGCCAGGACTTTAATACCAGGAGCCCAACGGGCAAATTCTGAAGACCAATTAGAAAAGGTAGATAAGGGTACAACCACCAAAAAAGGTAGATTTACCTGTTTCTTCTCCAAAAGATAGCAAATAAAAACAATCGCTTGTACTGTCTTCCCCAAGCCCATCTCATCAGCCAAAATACCGTTTAAACTATTATTATAAAGAGAAACCATCCATTCAACACCTTTTAATTGATACTCACGTAATTGGCCATAAGCCACTGATCTAGGTTGTTCCTTGATCTGTTCCTTAGCACTATGAGCGGCATCAAAGTAATCAGTTGTTTCATGGGAAGGCAAAGCTTCATTATTAGATAAATTTTGATTTTGATTTTGATTTTGATTTGGGTTAGATAAATTTTGATTTTGATTTTGATTTTGATTAGATAAACTACTAATATTTTGATTTTGATTTTGATTTTGATTAGATAAACTACTAATATTTTGATTTTGATTTTGATTTTGATTAGATAAACTACTACTTCCAACTAGACTTCCTTGTTGTAAACGAATTCTAGCCTTAAGTAGGGCAATATACTCATCAGTCTTCTGCAGTATGTGCGTTAGTCGTGTATTCTTCTCCTGTCTAATTAGCTTTAAGTACTCCTGTTCGTCATTTGATTTAAGTGCTTGAATTCTAGCCCTCTCTGCCTTCTTCTTAGCCTTCTCCTCCTCTTTCTTGTGCTTATCATGAATGGCATTAACGGCAATAAAGATACGTTGCTGATTAGCCGTTTGATCCTTTTGCATTTGGGCCATCCTTAGTGCTGCTTGTCTGACTAGCTTCATCGTTCCCAGCCACCAAGCGACCTTCTTAGCCTCACCTGCTGCTAAGTGCCTGGTTTCTAGTTCAGATAAGGCGCGTAAGTCATAAAGATTCTCTTCTAGATGGGCAGTAGAAGTATTAGCGGCTGAAAGTAAGTGGGGAGATAAGATTTCTTTGATACCACGATAAACATTACGTCTAAGAACCTTTTGTTCTTGTAAGAGTCCTATCTTTCTTATCTTTAGAAGAGTATTAAAAGCATCAGATGTATTTTGTTGGGAGAGATAAGCTTTTGGATTTTGCATAAGGTCTGATAGATTGATACGGTTACGCTCGGCATATTTTTGCAGAAGATTATGGATGGCTTGGTCAGCTTTGGCGCGTTGAAGGCGATTGCGTTCTTGTTTGAGTGTTTCTACGTCAAAACCGAGTGGTAAGTGGGTAGGATGCATTCTTGCTGCCGCTTCAAAATCGATTTTAAGAGCCTTATCTTCAGCTGAAGTTGTGAAAATTCCAGAAACACCAGAAACAAATAAACCACGACGGGCGTTAAGGAAAGCAGCCCATTCACGTTCATCCCCTTTCATAGTAAATAAAAAAAAGAGACAATAAATTGGGATAAGATAAGATTGAGTTTAGTATTTGGTTTAGTATTTAGTTGGGTTAGGATTGGGTTAGTATTGGTTGGAGTTGGTTTGGTTGTAGTTGGTTGGGTTAAGATTTTGATTTTAGTTTTGATTTTAGTTTTGATTTTGATTTTGATTTTAGTTTAATAAGGTATTAAGTTGAGTTAAGTTGGGTTAAGATTGGGTTGAGTTGGTAGATGATGTAGTTGAGTTGAGTTAGATTGAGTTAGTAGATGATGTGATTGAATTAGATCCTATTTTGAAACTTAGTCTGAAGTTGTAGTTGGGATGGTCTTGTGGAGATGTAAGTTGATCTGTAACAGTATATTAATTGATGAATGATGGGGATTGTGGGATGACGTTGCAGTTTTAGATTAAGGTAAGTTATGTTTGGGTTATGATTGGATTATGGTTGGTTAGATAATGCATTCATACGACCAGTACCTATTCCACCCACTATTTAGTATACTAACTCAATGCTAACTCAATCTTAACTAATCCAAACTTTATTAAAGACGTACCTATTGGGTTAGTAGTGAATGTAGGCGATGATATGACGTCATACTCAAATTTTGATAATGCCAGAGTATCCGTTAAAAGTTGATACCATTCGAATTCTTTACTAACCAAATACAAACCAAATACTAATGCGATCAATCAATGAATAAGTGATTTAGTATGAGGAAGAAGTAGTGGCTGGGTAACGGCACTACAATTAGCCTGATTACTGGCAAAACCACTCACTATTTAGCAATACTAACATCAATAACAACACCAACACTAACGCAATCCTATCTTAAGACACTCATATTTATCTAATAAAAGACATCAATACTTATCTCAAGTAATATCTTTCATAGAGTATGTATTAGTTAAGATGGACTTCGTATTGAGTATGTTGTATGTTCCTAAAAGGACATTCCCGGGTTTTAAAAAGGCGGGAAGAAAATTACCTAATAAGGAAATTTTCCTGTCTATAAACAGACCTGTAAATCAATAAATACGAGCGTGTAAATGGCGGACAGAAGAAAACAACTGAGTACTACATAATCAATGGATTTGATCGATTTTTATTCGGATTTTACTTCATCAATTCAGAATTTATTTTTTCTGGTAACGGAATAATTTCCTTATTAGGAAATTTTCTAAATTATAAACCCTGGTTTTTTTAAAGTATCAATGGCTACTATCAATCAACAAGGCATTGCTGAACTTTCTCAACGCCACTCTTCAAGTGTTATAGGATCCCCCTCTACTAAAACTATTACTTCGTCTTTTGATATCACTAACCCTCTCGCCATACTTTGTCTTATCGGAGCTTTAGTACTATTAATAGGACTTATTATTGCCTCCGTTGTTGTTTACCGGAAATTATCTAAGAAGAAACAGGTATTTGATGAGGGGAAATACCGGCAAGTAGGTAAATCCATGTGGTATGTTGATCACAAGGGTGAATCTCTTGATAACCAACCCTCTACATCGGGAGGGCTTATTAAATATAATAATGAGAGCCCGGCAGCATTCCAGAGGGGCGGCCACATAAGAACTCCAGTTAGGTCTACTACAAGACACCCAATCCAACCAACCCCTTTAAAACCAACACTAACTGCTGAAGAACAAGAGTGGGTGAATCAAGTAGACCTTGGATTAAGCGAAAGAGTGCGTAAATTCCTAATAGCGTGGCACACTTCTCATATAAACAGATTAACCCCATTAGTAAACAATGGTTCAGAACCCCAGGTAGATGACCCAAAAACACTCGAAGAACTACCATTAAGAGGCCAAATACAAGCAGCTATGTGCGAGATAGATCAGAACACTGAGCCATTCCCAGGTTGGGTACAAAAACTAGACGGCTACCTCCGTGGATTAGCACCGGGCGAAATGCAGCAACGAGTACAAGAAGTAAGACAAAAGATCATATCCTGGAACAGTGTTCTGATGGGCTATCAACAACAATACGAACAGCTGCTAACCACACTCCGATCCAATCAACCCAACGGGCACTTCTAAAAACATAAGACCAACAAAATCTTATTTTGAGATGACGTCATCTTTTCAGTCACGGTCGTATATGTTGTATGTTCCTAGCAGAACATACCCGGTCCGGAAAAGGCAGGAAGAGAATTGTCTAATAAGGAAATTTCCCTATCTATAAACAGACCTGCGAATCAATAAATACGAGCGTGTAAATGGCGGACCGCAGAAAACAACTATATACACTCAACAAATGCACTACTACATTCTATCAAGAGAAAGTACTACTAGAATTTGTATTAATCACACAAGACAATCATAAAAGCATATCTAACTATCCACACTGAAATAGAGATGATAGCAACACAATCATAACATAAATCACAACACAATCATAACCCAAATGGATCATTGTTTATTGAAAGACGAATAGATCTAAAGACTTATTCTAAAGATATATGATATACCAACTCAATAAGATATATCAACCTAATACCACCGCAACACCAACTCAACACCAACTCAATCCTAATGAAGACTTACTGGAAGAAAGGTAGGTTTAAGCACTCTTGGGCAGTTAGTCGGTTTTGGTGGTCGTACTGGAGAACACCTTCTAGTACTTCAAAGATCTGTTTAGTGTGCGCCCCAAAGGTTTTACTGGCCTCTTCTTTGAGTTTAGGCCAGAGTCCTTCTTTCGGACAGTTCTTAATACACGCCAATAGATTAGGAGAGGGAATAATCCCATACTTCTGAATGTAAAAGGTAAACTTATCTTTACCTAGAACCTTCACTATTTTGGCAAGTTGGTCCTCATTAGAAGAACCATTGAACATCGGCATCCGTTTTAAAACCATCTCACAAAGAACACAACCAAAAGTCCAAAGATCTAAAGAGTAATCATAATGCCGATAATTAACCAATAATTCAGGAGCTTTAAAATGCATACTAGCCACACCAACACTATAACTTGTACCTGGAATATAATACTCAGCTAAACCCCAATCAATAATTTTGATTTCTTTAGAATCATGATCAATAATTATATTGTGCGGTTTTAAATCACGATGCATAATACCCAGAGAATGCACAGAATCAAGTGTTTTTAAAATCTCACGACTATAATACCTAATATCTTCTAATGTAAAACGTTTGAATAAAGCCCGAGTCTCTTCGTGCTTCTGATACTTGAAAACTAAAGCTCTAGTTCCAGATTCTGGATCTTTAACTATATCTAATAACTGAACTACATTGGGTAATCCTACTAAAGTCTTTAGAATCTTAGCTTCCCGACAGATCTTCTTCTCGCGGACTGGCTTTAAGACCTTTATAACACATAAATTCCGATCTTTTGTTGTCCCTTTAAAGACTTGAGAGTACTTTCCTTTACCTATATAGTCCTTAATTTTGTAAGTATCAATATTACCGTACTCTAGCTTGTATAAAGAGTATTCATAGTAGGCAGGACCCTTTTGAATAGCATTGTTAGTATATACTCGAGACTGTGTTTCGATAACCATAATAAAAAATAAGACGAAGTAATTAAATCTAAGGCTGGTGCCCCATAGGATCCCAGCAAGCAAGCAAGCATCTTCCCATGCTTATTTCCGACTAATCAGCCGGATAAAATAGATACTACACTCGATCAAAGCAATGCCTTGAGAAGTGTTGAAAAATAAAAGAGAGAATATCTACTATTGGGTTGGGTTGGATTGAGTTGGGTTGGGTTAAGTTGGGTTGGGTTAAGTTGGGTTGGGTTGGGTTAAGATGATGTTAAGTTGTAGTATATTGGTAGTGGTGTTGAGTTAAGTTGGGTTAATGTGATGTTAAGTTAAGTTGAGGTAAGTTAAGATAAGAATATATTGACGTAAGATGATTTTATTAGTATAGAAATGGTTTTGGCTGAGTTTTGGTTGAGTTTGGTTTTTTTCCTTTTTGGGTAAGTGAAAATTCCAAAAATTACCCGAAAAGGAAATTTTTAATAAAAATTCTTAAGATCATAAACCTTCTAAATAAACATCTAAAACCATCTAAATTTAACAAACTTAGCAGAACTTCCAATTATTACCACAAACCACACAGTGCACATAAGTAGTCATTGGTTCATCAGCACTACGAGTCTGTAATTGCCGATAAGTACACTTCCTTTGCTTGCACTTATTACAAAAGAAGATATCCGTTTCTGCCTCCTGTTTAGCTATAGTTGAGTCTAAAATAGACCTTTCTAGTATTTTGGCCTCCAATTCTTTCAACTCTTTCGACTTCATCTCCTCACTAGACATCTTAATGAAAGAAACAGCATCAATCACTCCATTATAAACACTCGCACATAACCACTTATTAGTTGCCTCTTTCAAATTCAAGTACTTAGATCGAAACAATTTACTGTACTCATTCGGACTATCAGATCTTCTCTGAATTTCTTCTTCTAACATCATTCCTAAATGTGCCGATCGTTCAGCATCCCGCCCCTCAATCCGTTCCAAAAACACTTTAGACAGTATCTCCCGACAACGCGTTCTTGTCTCACTATTATCCATGACAAAAAATTAGACCACCAATTACTATCCCAATCTACTTACTCACTCACTCATATCTACTTGCTTACTTAATACTTACTCAACTTAATTCATCTACTAACTTAATACTAACTTACTCATATCTACTAACTTAATACCAATGCAATAATCAACTTATATTAATACTAAACTCATCTTAACTCATCTTAACTTAAACTTAAGCTTAAACATCAACCTCAACCCAATCTTAACTTAACTTAATACTAAGCTCAACTTAACCCAATCTTAACTTAATACTAAACTCAACATCATCTTAACTCAACTTAAACTTAAACATCTTAACTTAACTCAACATCATATAAACACATCTTAACTTAACTTAATACTAAACTTAACTTAATACTAAACTTAACTCAACTTAAACCAAACCAATCTAAACCCAACATCAACACAACCCAACTTAAACCCAACATCAACCAAACTCAACACCAAACCCAACCCAATCTTAACTCAACTCAACCCAATCTAAACATCAACACCAAACCCAACACCAACCAAACTCAACCAATCACAACCCAACTTAATACAAATCTGGATAAAAGTGCTTTATTAGATAATTCAACTGTTAAAAATAACAACTAAATCTTACCAAATCTTATCAAATCTTCTGCTTTTTGAAGATCCAGTGCCCGGGATTGTTCTCATAAGCCAGCCTAAAAAGCTTCTCAGCCTCCTTCTTCATCTCCACTCGCTCTGATACATCAGTTAAGTCCTTAATGATAAACTCAGAAGTAAAAACGTTCTCCATTACGTGCCTAGTAGCCAGTAAGTGTCTAACGTTCATCTTCTTAATAAAGACACGTAAACTGCCATGTCTCTTCTTCTGATGCTCAGTCATATCCTCAGTTAAAGGCTTAGGAACCTTTTCTAACCCAATTACAGTCACAACATTACGATCGTTTACTTTTGATATATCTTCAACTATCACACCTTTAAATCCTGCATATCGGCCTTTTAAGAGCAAAACAACTTCATCTTTGGCAAACATCGTTAATGAACAGGGTATTAAAAAAATTAAGAAATGGTTCGATTGAACTTAAGAATGGCTTATCGGTTAGATAGGGAAGGGGAGACTGAAAGTGAAGGAAATGGGTCATTTGAGAGTTGGAAGGTGGCTGAGAGGGAGATACTTAGTATTTATGATGTAGTAGGTCGTAGGAGGCTTAAACCGAGTGAAATGGGGCGATTATTGAAAGGACTGGTGGCGGAAGATAGTCGGGAGAGGGAGTTAGTAGGTCGGGTAATTGCTGAAGTGAGTGTAAATGCACTGGAGGAGTACCGTAGTTGGTTAGTAAGTACGGCGGTTGAGTACTTGGTTGGGGAGATAGAGGGATGTTTAGGGGGATTAGCGGGAGTTTTAGGAGTACTAAACCGACTGGGGGTGCAGCGGATGGAAGTTTTAGAGGTATATTTGCCTTTACTGGGTAGGAGTTTAACTCAGAGTATTAGGTTGGAGATAGTAATGGGGGTAAGGGAGTGTTATGTAGAGGGAGTGGATGGGGAGGGAATGGAGAGTTGGGATTGGGTGATTTTGGGTATACGTAAATTATGCCGGGAATTCTTACCTTTAGAAATGGTAGCTAGTCTGTACATAATTGAGAATATAGTAGTGAGTGGAGTAGAGATAGGGAAGGAGGCAGTGGGGGCTTTAGTACAGGTTTTAGAGATAGGATTAAGAAGTGAACATCAACGAGTGATAAGAGTGATTGGGCGGATGTTGGAAGTACCGGCCGTGCAAAGTGTATTGGGGAAGTATAGTGGGATGGCAGTGAAGGAATTGTTTGCTACAGTTTATAGGTTATCACAGGTTTACTGGAAGAGAGATGAGCAAGCGGTAGTATGTGGGATTTTAGAAGCACTGTTTTGTCTGAACAATCGGGCTTTTGATGTAGCCCTTCAAGAGTACAATCGCGTGCGTTATGAGCAAAGGTGTAAGCTAAAGAGAGTGGTTTAGTATTGTATTGAGTTGGTATTAAGTTATGTTAAGTTGGTATTAAGTTGGTATTGTGTTGGGGTAAGTATTAAGTTATGTTAAGTTAGAGTGGTATTAAATTGGGGTAAGTAGAGCTAAGTGGAGTAGTTCTGTAGATGATATATAAATTGGTGTATTATTGTATTGAGTTAGTATTGTATTAAGTTGAGTTGAGTTGAGTTGAGTATTAAGTTAGTATTGTATTAAGTTGGGGTAAGATTAGATTGGTCTTTATTAGTATTATATGGATGCTGGTCTGAGGTGGGTTGGAAATTACTGGGTTAGAATGTAAATAGCCTGGCTGTGGAGTGAAGTGGTGTTAGATGAGGTGGAGTGGTATGAGATGGAATGGAGTGGAGTGGAGTGAGGGGTGAGGTGGAGTAAGTTGGAGTGGAGATGGAGATGTGCGTGTTTGCTTTTTTAGTTGGATGCGGGTAGTGCCTTTGGGACGTGAAGAAGAAGCAGCTGCTATCTATGGACACTTAAAGAGTGCGGTTGAAGGTCGAGATCATGGAATTCTTTATGTTAGTGGAATGCCGGGATGTGGGAAGACTTTGACTTGTCAGAATATTCTTAAAGTAATGGCTGAGAAGTATACTGAGGTGAAAATAGTAGAGATTAATTGTGGAGGATTGATTCTTCCTTCTGATGTGTTTTTGAAAGTACACCAACAGATTGTTCCGGGGGTAGAACAGTCTTCGCCTAGACAGTTGGAAGAAGCTTTGAAACACGAGGTTTATACGATTATTTTGGCCGATGAAATAGATATGCTGATAAGTAAAGGTCTTGGGTCTTTGTATGGACTTTTAGAATTACCTTCACTTTGTAAGAATGTTTACTTGGTGAGTATTTCAAATACTTATAACCTGCCAGATAGACGGTTGACTTCTAAGGTAAGAAGTAGATTGGGTTGGAATCGACTTAACTTTGCGATGTACAAGAAGGCACAAGTAGTTGGGATTTTGAAAGAGGCTCAAACTAGTAGTAAGTTTACAACTGAAGCTATTGAGTATTGTGCTAATAAGATATGTACTTTGAATGGAGATATTAGGAAGGCATTTCAGATTCAAAGATGGGCGGTTGAATATGCTGACAAGAACAATATTGCGGAAATAGGCATACGTGAAATAGATATAGCTATTAAGAATGTCTTTTATTCAGTACAAGGTAGTTTTATTCAAGGTCTTTCTCTTTACCAGCAGATTCTTCTGCGTATTATTGCTCATAAAGGTGCTGGTGCTTTTCCCAACTCTGTTTATGAAGACTTCAAGAGTACTCTTATTCTGAAGAACTTACCGGTAGTGGGTTACAAAGAGTATGAAGCTCTTATTGCACGTCTCAGTACAATAGGGGCTCTTAAAGGCCGTAGCAACAGTCCTGTTCTAGAAACCAAATACATCCCAGAAGAGCTAGATGCCATCCTCAATGACCAAAACAATCAGCAACTCGAAATCATCACCATAGGATAATATTAAATTGGATTGTGTTACATTAAGTTAGTATTGTGTTAAGTTTGAGTTGTGTTAAGTTAAGTTAAGTTAGTATTGTGTTAAGTTGTGTTGAGTTGATTTATGCTGCTATACTACATTACAATTACAATCACATTATAAGCTTATCTACCACAACATACCACACCACACCACACTACACTACACCACACCACAATATAACTTAATAAACTGTTAGCTAAATTTAAAGTGTTCTCATAAATATTTCCTTTTTAGGTAATTCAGTAAAGAACTAGCATTTTCATTAAAAATTCCAAATATTCAACTTATTCAATATATTCAATATATTCAAAAACTTAACCCAAAACTAGCCCAAAACTAACCTAATACTAACCCAAAATAAACCTAACTGAATACCCAACTAAGACCAACCTAAACCAACTCCTACTTTACTCTACGTCACTCTAGATCATCTCAACTTAACCCAATCTAATCCAATCCGATCGAATGACATATTTATTTGTTTCTTTGTTTGTTTCTTCATTATGGATAGTCGGGCGGAAGAGATACACCTAATACTAGATAACTTAAAGGATGCTGATCCTGGAGTTACCCATTCAGCTCTTAGTATGCTAGTACAGAAACTTCGGTCTTCTACCTCGGTGGCTTCAACTTTGCCTAAGATTCTTATTTACTTGATCTCCCAGAAAGACTCACTTAAAGAGCGGTTGGAATCGCTTAGTGGTGAGAACAGACGGATTATGGCTGATATTCTTTCGGTTATTTCGGCTACTTCCGATTCGATTGATGCTCTTAATTATAGAGTTGAGGGAGGATCGACTTCTCTTGACATTTGGGGGCACCAGTACATTAAGAAACTCTCTAGTGATCTGATTACGTACCACCAGAATTTAGGAAGTTTGCCTGCTCAGCGCTTGTCGGAAGTCTTAAAGGAAGTCCTGCACTGTCTTTTTCAGTTCAATTCTGAGTACGATGCGATTGATTTGTTGCTGGAAATAGATAAGTTGGAAGAGTTACCAGCCTATACTGATTCTGATAATTTTGATCGAGTGGCTTCTTACTTAGTGCCTTTACTAGCTTACTTAGACCAGCCGGTTAAAATGAAGGCTAAGTCTGTACTGATTGATATCTATAAGAAAGAGAAAAGAACAATTGAGTACACAACTTTACTTATTGAAACCAAGCGTATAGAAGAGATTCAAACGGCACTGCAAACAGCTAGTCCAGTTGATGCTCTGCAAATGGCCTGTATTCTTTCTAAGCACAATCTTTGGCTGCCAGTTAAAGATAAGCACATTCAAAGTGTTATTTATGGACACCATATGGCTAGACTGAATAAGTACGTGGCAGATCAGTTGGGCCTAACTGCAGATAAGGATCGTGGTCTAGGCTCTTTCCCAGAAGCTCTAGCTAAAGCATCTTTTGCCCATGAAGCGATTCCTGAACATGATAACAAGAAAACCTACAAGATTTCATCACAGGCAGCTAAAGGTCTGCTTTATCTTTGGGACCAACAGAGAGCTATGGTTGAGGTCGAGGAGAACTTGTTTGCTGAGGACGGGTATGTCCGAGCTGCTTCTATCTTGGCTTTAGCCGTTAGTTCTTGTCGGACGCGTGATGAGAATGAAACTGTCCTGGCCGCAACTAGAGAGGCTCTTTCTTCCCATTCAACTACGCAACGACTTGTTCTGCTGGAGGCTTTGGCCTTACAGTATACAGGTACGGCTCGTCTGGATGTTTATGATTTGGTTAAGCCGTTTATGCAAGCTGATCAGCCAGAAGTATCTCTTTTTGCCATTTATGTGGCCGGATCTATCTTTGCCGGTACGGCTGATACGGAAGTTCTTGCTGAATCATTACAGATTTTAGTCGAACGACCGGCTGCTGCGCCCTTTGCTAAATTTGCCCTCCTAGGTATTGCCTTGCTCTTCTTCCAGATTGGTGATGCGGTTGAGCCAATGCTAGAACTGTTACAAACGGCTGGAGCACATGCTATCTCATTAAGTATTCTATCCCGGGCTTTGGCCTATTTTGCTACGGGTAGTGCCCAGGTGTTACATTCGCTGCTTAAGAACGCCTTGGAAGAAGGCTCGCCTGCTGAGAGTGAAGAAGAGTCGCCTGAAACTATTGAGTACAAAGACGTCTTTGGAATTCTAGGCATTGCTTTAGTTGGTTCAGGAGATGAGACTTTAGCCCAAATGGCTACGCATATCCTGGAAGGAGCTGTTTTACTGGACAGTCCTCGTGCGCAAATGGCTGTGCCTCTAGCCCTCTCGCTACTCCATCTTTCTGGGGCTAAGCCTGAAGTTCTAGAGACGCTTAAGCGCTGTGCGCATACGGGCGATGCTTCGGTCATTGTTGCTTCCTTGGCGGCTCTGGGTCTAGCAGCGGCTGGTACTAACAATGCCCGGGCAATTGCCGCTCTAGAAGAAATGACGAGTTTCTGTGGGAAGGGTGCACCAGGGAGTACATTACGTATTGCCCAGGGCCTGATTCGGCTGGGGAAAGGAGCAATGAAGATTTCTTTGTGTAATGGCCAAACACCATCAGTTCGATCGGTAGCTGGAGTGCTTGGCTTTGTATTTGCTTTACTTGATGGCGGCGCTTGTATTCTTGATCGGTATTACTTTACTATGATGCTTATATCACCCGGGATTGTGCCCAAGTACGTGGTGACAGTTGACGCGGCCGGCGAGCCTATTGAAGCTCGAATTCGGGTCGGTACTCGAGTTGATATAGCTGGAGTAGCCGGTCGGCCCAAGCGTTTGGCGGGTGCGCAGGTACACTCTTCTCCCATTCTATTACAGGCCACTGAGGCGGCGGAAGTCCTTGGCGAGACTCCTACTTACCACTGTACTGAAGAAATCGTCGTGATTGATACTGCCAAGAGAGAAGCAGACGTATCATAAGAACCATAGCAATAAATAGTGCTTAGTTAAGTTAGTATTTGAGTTGGTATTTTGGTTGGGTTAGATTAGGTTAGTACTTGAGTTAGATTGAATTGAGTTGGATGGAGTTGGTACTTGAGTTGGTATTTGAGTTAGATTGGATTGGGTTAGATAGAGTTAGTACTTGAGTTAGTATTTTGATTGGGTTGTGGCTATATAAACACCCCGTGGCGTGCCTGATAAGAATTGCTTTTGGTTTTTAGATTATAACTATGAACTTAGCTCATTTAGCCATTAAGGTAGTGCTGGTAGTGTTAAGTGCTAGAATGACACTCGCGACTAATTTGGCAGGGCCATCCGATGGTATGGGCTTAGATTCTTATGGCAATTTAGAACCAAAAGGAATTATCAACCAGTTTATGTGTAGACTATTTGTCAATTCTGTCGGCCTAGGGCATGGTGAGCAGACTCTAAACTATGACATTATTCCTGACAACAGCCCGGCTCGCACCGGCACCTATAGAATCCAAATCTTAAGCCTTCGCGTCTACTTAATTCTTCCAAAAGTAGATTCCATAGATTATTATACATATACCCAGATGGTCAAGTCAATAATTAGCTCAATTGAAGTGTGTCAGCTAGTGATTCCTCGGATTGCGGTTAGTTGGCCCAAAGAATCCTTTATGGCGGCATTTACTATATTAAACACGGTTAAAGCCACCATGATTCATATACAAGAGCGAATACCAAAAAGGCAGAGCCTGTCCACTCGCCCCTTTAACAACATGTATGAGGAGATAACCGAGCTGCGCACTAAATTTCGCTGGGACCCCCCTCGAGTTGATCGACTCATTCTTTCTGCCAAAACATTCATTCTTATCAAAATGCTTGATCACCTCTATGATCACATGACACTTAAGAGCTTTAAGATTGTTATTTATTACCACCATTTGGGGGCCAGGCACGACAATGAGGCAATCACGATTCACAAACACCCGTACCATCTTATTTTTCCCCAATCATACTACCGCCGCAACTCCCCCGATATTCCTCTCATTCTAATGCCCGGTGTTTTAGCTCTCGGCCTAGATGTCTACAAAGAACAAGTCGCGCCTAACACTTTTCATTGTCAACTATTTGCCATTGATATCGATGCCGATTGCTTAGCTATTTTTAAGATAGGCACTAATTCAACCGACCAGCAAATTAGTCCCATTTTCGGTCTGCTTAAGTCCGTTTGTCTTATACTAATCCAAATTGGACCCACTACAGTGAGACTCAAATTCCCCGACAGCAACATTCAGAACGTAGAATGCCCGCCCCTATCAACAGTTGCCAATTTTCTAAACTGTATCTACATCCCCGGCACTACTTTTGCTCTGTTCAAATTCCAACCTGCCCAAAATACAAGTACCAGCCTCAACAGCGACCCTACCATTACAACCATCTTTCCTAGTATTTGGCTAGAGTGCTGCCAATCAGACGCTCTTATATACATTGTCAATAACCTAGCACCTAGCACGTTCCTAAACGTTTACCTAACTCCTTCCTCTTATCCCCAGCAACTCAGCGACCTTCTAACCACCCTTAAACCCACATCTCCCCCACGGGTATTCATTCAACTCAACATCCTCAAGTACATTCTCAGCCAACTCAACACTAATAATCTCAGCAGCCAGTCCCAAGCTCTTAACAACTACTACCCCTACCTAATCAACCATACTCCATCCATCCAAAACGAATCGTGCTATAATATCATCGATCTGTGCAACATACTTGTCTCTCTCTATTACAAATCACGGTCCGATAAAAGTTACATCTACCACCAACTACTTCTCCATTTGGAGAATCCCCCCAACACCCAAGTATCTTTTCTAATCTGCCCCTTCGTCCACACCTTCGCCAACCATCCCAAAGGCCTTCTTGTTTCCCAAGTCCTTTTCGGCCAGCAAACACTAAACACCCGATACATAGACTTACGAGTTGAACATTACTACCACGGCGCCTCCGCCGTCATAATCAATCACATCCAAGAACTCCTAACCCATTCAGAATACTTCCTACCCAATGAACAGCTTCTCACCAGTTTAAGAAGTGTCTACCTCTACTTCCAGCACGTACCCTACCAATCAAATGCACTCGCTCTCTTATTTACCTTCATTGACTTTGTCTGCCGATTCAACTACCCCAACCTCACCATCTACATATTCTACCGCTACTTATACCCTGAACTAACCCAATCTATCATTGAGCACATCGCAAAGAAATACAACCGAACCACACCAACCCACAACTCCAAACTCGTTTTCTACCTCAACCTCGCCCAAACTCAAGTCAAAGTCCCAAGCACTAACTACCACGTTCTTACATATGATGATTTCAACCACTTCCCCAAGGGTATTTTCTATAAACTCAACTGCCACAACTTCCTCCTGTTCGTCGCCACCCCTCCAGCCTATACAACTACTACCACTACCACTACCCCCCAACCCAATTGCTTCAACTATCCACCACCTCCCATTCAACCTAATAATCATCTACCAACTCCCAACTACTCAACTCGCCCACCTGCTCCCAATCACTCAACTCGCCCACCTGCTCCCAATCGCCCACTGGCCCTCATTCAACCTAATAATTTCTTACCAACTCCCAATCGTCCACCACCTCCCAATTACCCACCACCTCCCATTCAACCTAATAATCTTTTACCAACTCCCAATCGTCCACCTGCTCCCAACTACTTCAATCCTCCACTAAACACCCCTCCTCCTAAACACCCATCAACCCCCACTCGACCCAATACTAATCACCCACCCAACCACACTTACCCCAATACATCCCCAGCACAGCCTAACCCACCTCAATAAACAACAATGCTGCCCACTACAACCCAACCCAATTTATTATAGTATAATCTGGCATCCTCAACCCAAACCAAACCCAATACCAACTCAACCCAATACCAATCCAATCCAATCTAAACACAACCCAATCCAATACCAACTCAACTCAACACAACCCAATCTAAACAATCACCAAACTCAATACTAACCCCGATTTTATTTATTTGTATGGCTGTTCCTCGTATTCGCGTTAAGAAAGTCCGAATGGTAGCCGTTTGGTCCCTTGACATGATTGTTGATAAGTGTGCTATTTGCCGAAACCATACAATGGACATCTGCATTGAGTGTCAAACTGAAGAAAAAGTCATGGAATGCAAAGTTGCTTGGGGGGCCTGTAATCACGCTTTTCATGCCCACTGCATCTCACAATGGCTTAAGTCCAAGAACGTCTGTCCTCTCGATGCTAAACCCTGGATATTCCAATCTGCCCCTGACAAATAACTACTTCCTCAACCCAATCTAATCTCTTACTTATCTCTTGCCTATAAACAGACCATCCTTTGAGTTAGTATTGCAGCAATAAAGTCTACTCTTAATCTAGTATTATGTTATCTTAAGTTAAGTTAAGTTAAGTAGAGTTAAGTATTGGGTTGGTATTAAGTTGAGTTGAATTGCTTTGCTACTTAACTCAGCCCAACTCAATCTTATCTCAACTCAATCTTATCTCAATTCAACTTAACTTAACTCAATATTATCTCACCCCAACCCAATCTTATCTCACCCCAACCCAATCTCAACTTAAACTTAAACTTAACTTAATACATAACTCAATTCAGTTTATTGCTCTAAGGTGCTCTGGGCCAGCCGACGAACCTTCTTATTATACGTACTGAGGTCCTTCTGGAACTCCTGGGCGGCCTCCAAATTCGCCGGACTCTCGGAATTCGGCGAAACCAACAACAACATGATCGAAAAGAGTACTGACTCAATATCCCGCACCGGCATCCACCTCTCGCTAGCATCCTCATATCCATACTCATCATCGCCTGATTTATGAAGAATTGAGATGCACAGATTGCCGTCCTTATCTATATTAGGATGCCACATGGGCGACAGAAACTTAAAACTTGGAGGGTCTTCAGGATACGTTTCTGGGAAGACTAGTACTCCTCTTAATAAGGCATTCTCATAGATCGTGTCTTTTGGACCTATAATAAGTACTTCCCAGGTATAAATGCAATCGTTAAGTAAACCAACGCTATAATTCTCACTGGGCGACTTAGTCATTCTATGCAACTCCTTGGAGATAAAGATCTTAGATCTCTTCTTTGGGTCAGCCCGAGTTGAGTGCATCCACAAAATAAAATAGTGGGCTTTATGGCTGTACCTCAAACAGTCTGCATTACAAACACTTGGTTGCCATGGTAGATGGCCAAACATCTATCTGGTTAGTTGTTCAATTAGCTATGTTTTTAGTCAGATATTTAGGTAGATATTTAATAGGGTTAAGTTGAGTTGAGTTGTGATTGGGTTGAGTTGAGTTGAGTTGAGTTGGTATTGGGTTGTGGCGTGTTGAGTTGTGTTAGGTGATGTGTTGGGTAAGTAAGGTTGGTGGTTGAGTGGCTGGGAGGAGAGTAGTTGGTGCTTGGGGGTGTGATGCTGATTTGTAGATGAGGGTGTTTGAAATGATGTGGTGGTTGGTTTCTAATTTTAGAGGTGGACATAATTGGATAGTGTAGTGTGGTGTTTGAAGAAGAAGACTTGGTAATGGACTTGTTACTTGTAAATTATGTCTGGATATCAAATTACAACTTAATTGCAACTTGATTATAGGTGGACTTGAGATAGTTGGTGTGAGATGGTCAAAAAATAAAGGGGGCTGAAAGAAGGCTGGCTTGTAGTTCTGTTGGGTTGAGATTGAGCTGGTGGTTTTTCTTCTTATCTACTGGATTTTTGGTTGGCTAGTAGTGGGTCTTTTTGTGATAATTATGTGACACTTGGATATCTTCTTTTTTATTTTCATGAGATATGGTCCTATCTCGTTGTATAATTAAACCATCAAGTCTTAGGGTTGACACCGGATCCAAAACTATGCTGGATGTTTATTTTGTCTCTCGCGTTGTTTCTAGCCCTAAGACGGTTGCTGGTTGGGCTCCTGTGATGATTGGTATGGCTGCGAATAAACCTGGGCAATTTAAAGCCATGGCTTATTGGGTTGTTGTTGGTTTGGGTGTTTGGCTAATGTTGTTGAGTAGTGTATGTAGCTCGAATGTACTTTATAATGATAGTGAGTTGAATGCAAGCAATGGGTTGAGTGCCGAATGCTTGCCAAAACTGCCGACTGCCTTTGAAATGATGCACACTCTAGCCTCAATTGGCTTTATGCTTGAGCTTTATGGTGAGCCTATTCGGATCAAGCACTACTATGCCCCTCCTGCCCAGTCAAAGATTCACTTACTTCCTTCTAACCCAATGATATATCCCTGTGCCCTGGTGAACAATACTCCCTTATACATAATAGAATGGCCGAGTGATATTATTGGCTTTGTTCTGCGCGCTGGCATTGATAAACCGCAGGCTATGACTATTTTGAAAGAGCTGAGGAAAATTGCTGTGATTAGGATTGATTGTCCTCCTTCTACTCATGCTTGTATTAGTATTGATTGTTTGGGCTTGAATAATAGTACTCAGCCGGAGAATTTACAGATTTTATCTCGAATTGTTAACATGATTTATTGTCCGCGCATTAGGTTTTGTTTTGATCTTAAATTGCCAAGCGAAACCGATATCAGCCAAACTCAATTGACCCTCTGTTTGTACGAAGCACAGGATACAATTAAACATGCGGACCCTACGTCAACTAGCAGCCTTAAAGTTTCAACTGAAATGGATAGCAGTCTTTCTAGCTTGGTGAATGGTGTTATTCCCTTTTTGCGGCCAATTATAGGAGTTCGCTTCTTCAGAAATGAATTCCACAGTATCCGCCTTATTAAGAAACTGTCGCTGGTTGATAAATACCGAATTTCCTTTGAAGAGCTGCCTAGGGTGGCTTGTATTGATCTTGGACCTCTGCACACGCCTCCTTCCAACTGCGCTAGTATTTCGATTGGGGACTTCTATTTCGGGATGGATTTTGATAAGATAACTCTAATTGGATTCGAGCATGGTGCTGATATTCATTCGAAGGTAGCTTTGGAGGCCCATTGGAATGTGCTTCATTATTTGGGTAAGTATAATGAAACTCTGATCGAGGTTTATACTATTCTGGGCTTTGACGTCACCCCGAAGTGCATTCAAGCGGTGCTTGGTGCTTCTCAGCAAGACTTATCTGCTGATGCCTGGCTCTCTGCTGTTAATGCTATTTCCAAAATATCCACTGTGTTGCCCTGCTGTGCCATTCAATACTATGCTCAACTTTATACCCCCACAACCTTTGCTAATCTTGGTATCTCTGTTGCTAATGTAATGATTGAATATGAGGAGGCCCGTGATGATCTGCACTATACCTTAAAAACACTTCATACGGCCCACGCTATCTCGAGTATTCCTAAGGTGGTTATAAACCATGAGCTTATCTGCCACGGCGAAAACCTCACTAACTCTAACTGGGTACTCCAAGAACCCGTCATTATTATGCTGGCTCGACCAGCTGCTAATGGCTTGTTTGAATATATGGAGGGCAACGAGCCGGTCATCTTCTGCCAAAACATAGTGTACACAACCATCAAGCTCGATGGATCTAAGGCGCCAGACATACTCAATGAATCCGGCTCGGGTCTAGTTACAAAATGCATTGGTTTATTCAATCGACTACAAAATCTCACGGCCGAACAACTTATACTCACTAACATTAACATACTTACTGACGATAATACTGTCACCGACTTTAATATAATCAATCTATATATTAAGCCTTGCATGGCACCTCGTCAGTTTAAGATCAAAACTTTGGTGTTAGACAATGTTGATGTATATCTTATCTACTGGATCTTCATCCGCTATAAGTTTGCTTCATACGTTGATGTGCATATTCTAAACCAACGCTTTGCTAATCTTGCTATCGCTCAAATCCTTTGCCATCCGGCCGGCCAGATGATCTCATACCTTATTCTCAACGACTTCTCCGAGCTAGCTGAAGTCAAGCACCACAACCAGCCATACCCAATAGGCAGCTTTTCCCTATTCAACTATGTGCAAGATAAACAAGGAGAAAACAAAACCACTAAAGATCTACGTCTAGATAAACTGTATCTGAATATTAGTAACCTTGATTATGCTCTTTATGATGAAGTCTTATCTAAATTGGCAAAGTGTGGTATTATAATTCCGGCTATGCCCTTCAATGATTACATCAAAGCAGCACCTACTCTACTTGATCAGGCCAGTATACCCCCCAAAACCGAGCTTATTCTTTACAACACCACCTTTGAGGCTTTAAAATACGACTTCGCTAACTATAAACTCAGCAACTCAGTGCTAGCCAATACTAACCCATCACAAAGCTCGCCAAGCCATAAGTATGCCGTTGAGAATCTATTCTTGCATTTTAGCGATAGCCCAGAACTACTGGAAGAGGATTTGAAGCTCGTTCTTCGCTGGTTAGCACATAGGTTTAAATGGCTGGTCAATATCCACCTAGTGCGAGTCAGAGTGTCAGAAAACGTGCGTGCTACAATATATTCGCGTAACTATTGGGTTAATGATGTAAATGTGTTTAATAATGTTCAAATCGAGAACGGGCCCTCAAATGATTCAGATGACCTACTCGTCAACCTGCATATTCGATCGTATACTATTAGCATACTAGCAGGTATATATAATCCTACGCCCTTTTTCATTGGTATGTCCTCTACACTTTTGCCTCCATTATCCGACCGGTTGAGTCAAACTGATCAGTCTGGCCGCCTTGATGACAGTTACTTGTTGCTGTGCCAAAGATTAACAGACTATCTCCATGGTAATCCTGTTGAAATTAAGTGTCCAAATTGTGCCCATGCCCCCTATAAGCTAGACGCAAACCGCCCTACTTCCAAGGAACACTGCCCACTCCAAACCATTCCTAAATCCGGCAAGACAATATGTCATCTCAAGTGTGGCCATGCAATCTGTTCAACCTGCCTATTTAATCGTTATATAGATGGCGGTTGCCCAATTTGTGGCCGCAATTCTCTGGATATAAATCTTCACCGAGTGGTCATTGTGCCGCAATCTAGCTTTGTTTTTGCCGATGACAACACCGGTACATATCAGTCTAATCCCAAGCTGTTTGAATTTATAACACTAACTGGCGGTTACCTGTATTTATACCTTGCCTATAAAAGCATTCCTGCTCTTATCTTCGACCTCTATGATGAAATAGAATATCATACTCCCTATCGAATCCTTGTTATTTAAGCCTAAGATAAATAAACTAGCCATCCTATCTTTAGATTGTATTAAGTAAGACCCTTTATTGACTTCTTAAGACTAAGACATATCTTCTGCCCCTTTTAAGCATTAAATCAACCCAGGCACTTATAGCACAAGTAGTTCTTTCGATCTTTCCCACATTGCATTCATTCCCAGACCACGACTGTTTCATATCAGCCTACTTAAATAATGAATTGATCCCTCTTTGTAGTGTTCAAAGCATCCACCTCCAGATCAGGAGATCATAAAGTATCAATCAGAATGAAAGCCCCGCATACGTTGTCATGTGCTAATCAAAATAAGCAAATCTTAAACTAAATCAAAAGCATAATCAAATCCAATCTTATCTAAACCACAACCAAATCTAAACCAAAATCACAACCAAATCCAATACCAATCTTATCTAAATCAAAATCACAAACAAAATCTTAAACCAAATCATAACCCATACTATCTTGTTTATTGTTTAGATGGAATGTGCTGCTTGTACCGCCCTTTAGAAGCAGCCTTTTCAAAGTCAATCACAGCAAAATGCTTAGTCTTAGAAAGAGGTCTAGTCTCACCACAGACAACTTTATCTCCTACCTCAACTAAACCATCCCAGCATGGCGATAAGTGCACATTAAATCGAGTGTTTCTACGTTCATATCTCATGTACTTCTTGTGGTAATGAAGGTACCTCTTAACTACTACAGCTGTTCGTTCTTGTTTTAAACTAACAATCTCTCCTTTAAAGATAGTCCCTCTAATAGTTACATCACTAGTAAACGGACATTTCTTATCAATATAAGTACCATTAATAGCTGTTGCTGGTGTTTTGTAGCCTAAACCAATAGACTTAACATGTCTTTTAAAAGTTGCAACTCCTCTAGCAATGTTGTAGGGATTGTTAAAGATAGAAGTCTGTTGTGGGTACTTCTTATGTTTAGAAAGATCTTCGGCTATGTTCTGCATGGCTGGGGTAGAAAATAAAAAAAGATATATTAGAGTGGTTTGTATATTTGCGTTGTAATAGTTAGACAGAGCTTGTATATTTGTTCGGATTGAGTTGGTATTGGTATTGAGTTGTGTTTGGGTTTGGGTTAGGTTTGGATTAGGTTAGGTTTAGGTTTAGTTGGGTTAGATGTAGTTTAGTTAAGTTGGGTTGTTAAGATAAGATAAGATATGCATTAGGTGCGTAGGAGATAAGATCTGCATTAGATAAGTATTAGATAAGATATGCATTAGATAAGTATTAGGTAGGAGATAGTAGTAGATGGACTGGTAATTAAGTGGGTGGTAGTTGGCTGAGGATGGAAGTGACGAGAGTCTGGCAGAGTTGGACGATGGTGGAAGATTCTTCATTATAGAGTTGGCAGTTGGTAAGGATAGCTTGAATATCTGTGGTTAGGGCGGTGGGTGTGCGGTAGTAGTGATGGGCTAGTCTTTTGCAGATGAGGTTCAGTGAAAGGGGATAGGAAATGATGTTGTAGTAGTCGGGGTACTGCTTTTTGGAAACAGTAGTGAAGAACAGGTCATACTCATCGGTTCGGAAAGTCTTGATGGCTTTGAGGTGGGCGGTAGAATTGAAGGTATAGTCGGTATAGCTGTACTGAAGATCAAATGGATAGATGGTTTGGTTAGTATTGCCTGTAGAGACAATGAGAGATCTGGGCTGTGTTGGATGGGGTTTAGCATAGGCTGAGAAAGTACCTTTGCTTAGTAGACCTTGGTGGAAGAAGTAGAGAGTTTGACCTTTGGCAAATCGTTTCTTTTGAACATCAAGATAGTACTGCTGAATAATAAAAGGATCATTAGAAGTATGGGTGGGTGTATAATGAATAGTAATAACATGTCTTTGGTGGTTTTCTAGTTTAGCAGTAATGATTAGTTCAGTAAAGTCAACTACTACGGTTTGGACAGTAATAGGTTCAGTAAAAGCAAGTGGGGTTTTAGGAAGACCTTTAAGAGGTGGTAGTCGGGAAGGAATAAGAATAAGTCGGTCTTGTGGTTGGGGTAGAAGTGGGAATTTAGGGGTGTTCATTAGAATCCATTCGGAAAAGTTGATCTCGGGATGAATAGCTACTTTTTGGGCTTTACGTTGGGGATGACGTGGTCTTCTGGCTCGGGTTCTATACCGACTGGATGAATTGGCCGGTGAAGTATTAGAATCGTAACTCTCATCATTTTCTTCGGCTGAATCATAGCACTCTTTAGAATCATAAGACTCTTCTATATCTGAATCGGAATAGAAAGATTGGTTAGATCCAGAACTAGTTGATGCAGTATTATCCTCTTCATCTTCATCTAAAGAATGCTCAGAAAGGTTTGTACCGCTTGAATGATCAGAAGAACCTAGAGAAGGATTTGAAACTGCTGAGATAGAGTTAGAATCTGAATCAGCTGAAGATACAGCTTCATTCTCATCGGAAAGACTATCATCAGTCGAGTAAATAACACTTTCTGGTGTATCATCTGAATTAGCAGTACTATCTGAGATATCAATAGTTGTATTGGACTCATCATCTGTTTCGGGGATAGTAATACTTTGGGTAGGTGGTTGCATGACCTTATAGTCCGTTTCAAAGACTTTGTTAGTAATCATGTTCGTTTGAAGTTGCAAGATAGCAGCTGCTTCATAAGAACGAGTCCCAGGATCAATAGTTTGCACATATCTTGATAAGTCAACTGATAAAGAACTAGGTGTTAAGAATTCGCCTTGTAAAGTATAGGAGAGACCTGGTCGATGGGGTACTTTCGTATTCTTCTGGCAAACGGCTAAAATACCTTCTAGACGGGCTGCTGTATCTTGTTGTAGTCTTTCTTGTCCTTCTAAAGGCTCTCTATCCCTGAGGAAGACAAAGTCCTCCCAGAAGAACTCCGATTTAGGAACCGAAAGAACTTCAGGCCAAAGTGAGTACTTATAAACAGCCCCATCTAAATCAGTCAAGAAAAAGGCCGTTCCCGTACTATTAAGCAAAAGACCACCGGCCACAGATATACCAGTGACAATTCTTTGGATAATTTCACCTTGTTCCGAAATCAACTTAACTACTCCATTAATCTCTAAAGAAAGGAAGAGAGAGTGAATAGGATGGGGAGTTAAAGAACAAATCTTAAAGTCTTTCTCAATCATAATTACTTTTGACGTATCACGAATATCAATAATTCTGATATTTGACTCATTATCAACCGAAGCAATAATTGAATCGTTAGCTAAAAAGGTCATATCAGTAATGAAAATAGATGGGGACATACCTTCAATCTTTAAAGTCTCCTTAATCCAAGCCCCTTCTAAATCTCGCCCTTTAAAAGTCTTCCGAGTAGGTAGATTAGATTTACCCGATTTAGCATTAGGCTGATACCGCCAGTAAAACAAATGAGGAGAGTAAGTACTAGCTGCTATTTTCAAAGAAGAGTAAGAAATATCTACAGCTGATGTAAGTAAATCATCCGTTTCCAACATATAAAACCGGCCATCTACATCTTCTGGATCAAATAAGAAGGCAAAAGGCCAAAGTCCTACTAAAGCTGTAACTCGTTTGCCTTTAGAAGAACAAGCACCATTAAAACTACCCTCTTCAATCTCAGATAACAAAGTTTCTATTTGGTACTTCCGATCACTACCCAAAGAAATACGTAAGACTCTACCACTATTAGTTACTACTAAGACTCGATACTTATCCATCTTCCCAACTTTACCTTTCATCCGTTTTTGCTCCAAAGGCACCGGTTCATTCGTCGCATAGATAAACTCAACATAATCTATCTGTTCATTAAGAGCTACTTTAACTAAAGGATCAGAACTAAATAAGATATCCCAAAACAAAACATTCCCTTGCTGATCACAAGATACCAAAATAGAATTATCATAACTAATTACAAAATCAAAGATAGGAGATACATGTCCTCTAAACGACTTAATTATCCGACCAGAAAACACATCAACCATCTTAATCAAACCATCTTCCCCACCAGTAAAAAGAACTGTTTCACTACGATCAAACATAATACAAAGTACTTTAGCTAAATGTCCGACTAAACTGTACTCCTGCTTATACTCTAAACCTCGAACTAAACTATCTTTGACCTTCACTTGTTTAGGCCAGTACTCTTCCGGTAGTAAAAAGGAAGAGAAGGTCCCACCCTCTAGCAAAGCCACTGGATCTCGAAAGCGTCGGAAATACTCGACTGCACTATCTATTTCTGACTTTTTAAAGAGATTTACAATACCCGCAACAATACTATCTTCACCAACTGAAGCCAGACGTTCTTCAATACATGTACTACTTTGGCCGTCCTTTCTTTCTAAGACATCTCCTATTCTAGTTAATAGAGTGCTAAGTAATCGATCGTGCATAATTAAAATAAAAGAAGCCCAAGCTACTACTTCTCTTGACTATCCTACTCCCTCACTACTCAACTCTTTCCTTGTTATATTCCTTATCTCATTCCTACCAACTTTTTCTTATCTCATTTCTTATCTCATTTCTTATCTAACTTCTTATCTAACTTCTTATCTCATTTATTATTACATCTCTTATCTCATTTATTATCTCATTTCTTATCTCTACTCAACTCAATCTTAATCTTAACTTAACTCAATCCTAACTTAATCTTAAACTCAAACTTAATCTTAACTTAAAATGACTTGAGTTTGGTTTTAGTTGATATTAAGATGAGTTTAGGTTTTGATTGGATTTAAGTTAAGTTAAGATGAGTTTAGGTTTTGATTGGATTTAAGTTAAGTTAAGATGAGTTTAGGTTCAGTTGATGTTGAGTTTAAGATGAGTTTAAGATAATATCAAGCAAATCACAACTTAAGATAATCAAAATACAACTTAAGATAATCAAATCACAACTTAAGATAATCAAAACAAAATACAACACAACACAAACAAATCAAAACACAATCAAAACCCAAGTGGACCTAATTTATTTGATTTTCATAGCTTGTAGATCTTGCACTACCTCTTCCTCCTCACTATCTATCTCTTCCTCTCGTGCATTATAATCACACTCCAAAGCCTCATCATCATCCACAAACAAGTCCGGCTTGTAAACAAACAGATCCTTACCCGATGGCACTATCTTACCCAGCCTAATATTCCCTTCCTTAATCCTTTCCTGTTCTTTACTCTCTCTTAACTTCTGTTGCTCTCTTTCCTTCTTCCAACGGTTAAACAACTCTTCATTCATTGGGGTTTGTACGTCTGGGAGTTTAAATCGTTCATTTTCAATGTACTCTTCAATGGTTAGTTCTTCAGTTGTATCTTCTTTTAGGGAGTATCCTTCGGGTGGTGAGTGCTTCTCTAGGCACATATTACCATTAGGACAGACCCATTTAGGATTATGTTTACCTGATTTTAAGGCATCAATATAAAACTTACAGATCTTTTCTTCTTTGTTATCTTTGTTATCTTTGTTATCTTTTGTGGTTGTTTTTGAAATAGAATGACCGGATAGTTTATCTGCCTCTTCTTTGGCTTTAAGAATGGCAGCTATACGCTTCTCAGTACATGGTTCATGACTAAACTTACAGGACTCGCCTTGACTACAGACTTTGTTCTTAAAGTTAACACAAAGAATAGTTTGAGGATCAACACCGACTGGGACCTTTTGATGGACTTCATAGACTTCGGGAGTGACTTTCTGCTCTTCTTGTCTGGGCTTGCCTTTAGTATAGGAGGCTTCTAGAGCTGTGGCTAGCTTTTTTAGTTTGTTGCTTTTGCCTTTGTTCTTCATACCGAACATTTGTTCTTCAACTAACTTCTTGGCATCCTTTGCCTTCAACGGTTCTTTGCCCTTGGTGCCTTTCTTGGTCATGGTAAAAATTTGCGGCGATCGTTAGTATAGTTGCTGGGGTTAGTATTTATTGGAGTAGTCTGGGCTTGTGGTTTGATTTTGATTAGATTTGGGTTGTGTTTGGGTTGTGTTTTGATTTTGATTTGGCTAGATTATAAATTGATAATAAATTGGGAAGAATTTCCTGAATAATTATTTAACGGCTTAGTTGAGTTGAGTTTAAGTTGAGTTTAAGTTGGGTTGAGTTTAGTTTAGTTTAGATTGAATTAGTATTGATATGGATGGGTTGGTGTTAGTATTGTTAAGTAGTGAGTGGTTGGGTTGGTAATCAGGCTAATGGTGTGTGAAATGGGTAGTGGTTGTATGGATGTATTACGGCTAGCTATCTATTAGGCTAGAATTGGGTTAACGGTTTTATTTTTGTTTAGCTTATCTATTTTGAGATGACGTCATCTTTTGCTTTTCGTTGGGATTTACTAATAAAAGTTGTTACTTACTTGAGGTATAGTTTTGATAGAAGTGTTGCATGCGGAGTTTGCAACTCGCCGAACTTGACATTTCAAAAGTATTGGCAGAAAGCGAAGTTCGTCACTTTCTGACCCGAAATTGCGGATTCCGAGGCCGGCGAGACAGAATACAATAAAGATGCTTTATTTGAAAGCCTAGCAACTAATACTAACCCAATCTACTAATCCAAACCTTATCTCCGAACGAGTACTGCTGTACCTTTTTATACTAACCCAATACTAACTCATTCCATTCAAGCGCTTCTGCCCGTGGTTGGCATCTATCCGCTCCTCTATAGGAGCTACCTTCGGCGGGACAAACACTATGTACTCGTTCGCTACTAACGGGACGGTTTTGTCACACTACATGTTGTATGTTCCTAGCAAGACATTCCCGGTTTTAAGAGGTGAGAAGAACTTCATGCGCCCTTCTTACTTTGAAGAGGTGTTTGGCCTCTGGTCCATACACGCACATTGCTATAGCCTTTTTGTTCTGATAAGCTGGCCCTGATGCCTTCTTGGCTGATAGCACAGATAGGTTAAGTTATCACAGGATTTAGATAACTTATAATAAAGAATCTGAAAGGTGTATTTTATTGAGTTAATGTTGAGTTGGAATTTGAATTTGGTTTTAGAATTATATTGGGTTAGTATTAGAATTAGATTGAGTTAGTATTAGAATTAGATTGAGTTAGTATTATATTGATATCAAAAGACTAGGATAGTGTTGAAGTCAGATGGTGGTGGGCTTGGATTAAGTATGCTATGTTGCTCACGGTAACCAAGACACTCCTAAAAGTATTCTCTGAAACCTCCAGAGGATACGAGGACTTCTTCAGAACCGCGGGATGATTATTGAACGGGACAGTAAGAGATTCAGCCGAGCGTATTCTTGTGTTTACTTCAGCCAACTTAATAAACGCAGATATAATGGTCACATAGAAGCCCATCCCGAAAAAGGTCCGAAGGCCAATGGCAGTCGATTTGAGGTTGTGCACTGATCAGTCGCATCAGCTAATCTCAACAACAATCATTTTGATTCTGCTGTCAAATGCCAAATTTAGATTTGTACGTATGTACTTGCCACCTTATTCTAACCCCATACTAACACATATCCAAATGCAAATATGCAACTACACCGAACTATGAGCTAACTACAAACCAATCCAAGTACATACTCCAGGCGTTGCTAGAGGAGATATTCAACAGCACTAATTCCCCTCGAAATTAAATGAAATGGCATAGTAGCTATTCTAACTATTCTGGCTATTTTCATCACTACCAAAACATAAGATATAACTTGAGTACTCAGGTTACTTAAAGCTCTAACTACTTTGAATCTATCACACCTAGCCAATAGAACCAGCACACAATATAGCCGTCATATCGAAAGAAGAGTATCAATGAAGCAATTACAGAGCATTCAACTAGAGCTACACCAAGCTAGTAGATATATCACAGATGACCACCAACAACTTAATAGAGATATGCCATTTCAAAATCAAGTGCTATAAATGATAAGAGAAGCAGACAGGCTGTTTGTTGTGACTAAATACTACCCATTATTTATTTGCACGATTATGTGGCTCTGGAAGAAGAAAGAAGAGAATATCGCTTTCAAAGTACCAGAAATGGTCCAAGATAACTTTATTGCCCTGGCATATGCCAATACTGAGGGAGAAAGAGAAGTAGATATAGTTGGCACTAATGGTGCTCGTAATTCGATTGTTATTCTATCTAAGAAACTAGGAGGTTTTGTGCGCGAAACTGAAATGCCAGTCCGATCTCGAGTTGACTTTATTATTCCCGTAGATATGGATAATGATGGTGCCGCCGAATTTATTGTGGTGACGAAAGAACAGTCGCATTACCAGATGACACTAGTTAATGGGGAGGGTATAGAACAGGACATGGGCAAGTCAGACTCAATGCCGTTTCTGGTTTCGCACAAGAGTCTAATTCCAGCCGTACTGGTACAGTCCGGAGGAAAGTCTTATCTCATACGAGGAGACAAAGGAGTCTATCGAACTGAAATACCCGAAAAGCTCGGATTACTCCGACCAGGACATTCATCCGCCTTTGTTGATGTGAATGGCGATGGCATTGCTGATTTAGTACTGGATACCATCGATGGATCTGAGCGCGTAGTAGAGGTATGGTTAAATAGAGAGACCGGATTTGAGTTCAAGGAAAGACTAGTACTGCCTGAAGCAGCCGGTCCGTTTGTTCTAGGCGACTTTTCCGGCCGAGGTTCAGCTGATATTTTGTATCTTACCAATACAGCCCAAGGACCCGCTGTTAATCTTTTACCCAATGCCCGACCGACTTACTGTTCCTCTAACCAGCAAGAGGACTGTCTACCAGCAACCATGATTATGAAAGAAAGTGAAGTCTTTGGATACACCCAGTCATCATTAGCCACTTACTATTTAGGCAACGAAATACCCGACTCTCAATTTGTCCTGTATAATCACCAAATTCCAATCTTCCCAGCTGTTCTGGACTTGAACAAGAACACTCTTCCCGACTTACTAGTCCTTGTTCATAACACCCAAACCAACCACCGCCATCCCATGGTACTAATGAACCGGCATGGTAAAGGCTTCCATGTCCAACCAACTGCTCTCCAATGGAATTACACGCAGCAGAACAGTGACAACATTTCTTTTCTAGCTGCCGCCCGCGGGGTCTCTGATATTCTTCTGGGCACACTAGACCAATCCCCACAAATCTTCCTAGCCAAAAACGAGTCAGACCTCTTCGGGTACCACCTAAGCATATCAGCTATTGGTGAAAATGCCAAAGGCAAGTACTCATCACCCGTTATTGGCACAACCTATGCCTGCAAGATTGTTGAAACCGGCCGAGTTGTAACAGGGTTCTATCCACCACAAAGTGGCTACGCCCCCATGCAAACTCCAGTCACTACTTTAGGTCTTGGGAACACCAATGTTTTTGTCGGAGCCGTTCATACTCGTGTTCCACATACAGCCTATGCTCCAGCCCTTGCCGTTGATAAGATTGTTCCCAACTCCGAACTAATGATGCAACTCCGCAATGGCACAATTAAGCACGTTCTTCACCTTAACATCACTGCCTACTGGGCAGTAGCCGTTCCCATTATTCTTTCACTTATGATGTTCTTCGGTGTCATAGCCATGTACTTCATCTACAAAGAGAAGCGAAAGACCGTTAAGAACAAAGCCAAAACCCGGTACGACATTAATTTCAGTGCCCTCTAACCAATCAATAAACTATCTATCTAATTATCCCATTAAATCAGTATATCTTATTGCATTAGGTTGAGTTAGGTTGAGTTAGGTTAGGTTAGGTTAGGTTGGTATATCTGCCGATTAAATAATATATCATACTAGAGTATATCAAAATAGAGTATATCAAAATAAGCCATCATAACACAACATAACCCAAATCTAACTCAATACTAACTCAATACAATACTTAACTTAACCACTACATCGTTTATTTAGATATCCAAACTCACCCACTAAACTCACCCACTAAACTCACCCACTAAACCCAACTCAACTCAATACTCAACTCAAGTGAGTATTACTGACTGCGTAGAGTTGTTAGGAGTTTATGAGCGGCATCACGATAAACCACGCGATGAATGGCCTCAGCAGTATACCGCATTTCCGGCTCTCCCTTATAGTTCTCCGACCGACCTCGTAAACTGACTTCTATCTCCGTGCCAATAGCTCCATTGATTTTCGCCATATAAGCCGCCGAGTCCTCACTAAACGTACTAGCTAAAGTCTCAGCTGGAACCCCAAAGAAACTAACCCCAGCTTTTTGAAAGGCTGAAATCCGCATCTGGTCAGTCGCATCACCAACTAGCATTAAAATGTTGTAGTTCTTCTTGCACTCCGCCGCCGAGTACTCACACTTAGGACAGACATAAGCCCCACTCGCACTATCATAACTAACTTTCTTGTTACATCCCACCCGCGCACAGGAATCATACCAAGTAGTCTCTCCAATATGCATTACCGTACACCTAACTTGAGCTGTAGTTCGTGCTTCAGCCTTAACATCAGCTAAACTAAGTAATTCACCACCACTTCCTCCACCTACTACTCCACCACTACTACTTCCTAATACTCCTCCAGCACTACTACTTCCCAGTACTCCTCCTTGTTCCAACCGACTTCGTGCCCCGCGGAACCACCCGCCCAAACTAAAAGCTTCTGGAACAGCCGGATTGACGGAAAGCACCGAAGTACCGACTGGACTTAGTTGTAAATTGCCAGCAAACTCCCCGACTTTAACTTGTTGCAACAAGATAATATCATCAGGAGCATACCCAGACTTAGCCATTTCTCCCCAAAGCACCAACTCACACTCTACTTCACTCTCATCAATCACTCGTAAGGCTCTTTTCTCCACTTCAGCCCCATCCCGACGTCGCACCACTATTACTTCTGGTACGTGCACAACCGCTACCATTAAGTTAGCTAGCAGACCAATACTCTCCCTTACAGCACTAATCTTAACCAAAGAAGGCACTTTAATGATTTCAGCCTCACAATCAGCTGGAATAAAAGCTGTACCTCGATCGGCCACTAGTTCATAAGTATGCACATAATCACCAAAACTCCGATTGGCTACTTTTAAAGACCCACCAGCTACTTCATAGGTAGAATTAGCCTCAATACGCTCATAAAAACTATCTACTTGTTCATTGAAGAAGGTCATATTAATCGACCCAGATCTATCCATAAGACCTATTTTAAATAGTTTACCTTCACCAGTAGCTGTTGTATAGGACTTAATTTTAGTCTTACGAGTGACTTTGACTCTTAAACTCCAAGATCCATTCTGAACCAGGGGAGATAGTTCGGCAATAGTTGTGATTGTTCTTTTTAGTTCCTTACGGGGTGATTCAGGTTCTTTACGCTTACTTGGTGACTGAGCTGGGTTTAACCAGGCAGTAGATCCCATTTCTAAGATCTCTTTGAAGTACAACCCAAACTCATCATTAAGCATACGTACCTTTAAGCGATCACCTACCCGAATGACAGAACCAATAGATAAAGACCGATCGGAAATTGCAGGTTGGTATTTAGCTGATAAGAGACAGCGCATGGTTTGCTCGTTATCTGATACTTCTATTTGAATCCTTTCCTTCATTTCTGAGGTGTTATTTAGGAAGATATCTTGAATCTTGACCACTAAAGGAATGGTTCGAATTAAACCGGCATCTGCTTGAATAGTTTTGGCTAAAGAGCCTTTGAGAGGTTGAAGACCACGTGTTTGCTGTATCATTTAAGCTAAAAAAAGAAAGGGGCCTATTTATATGCTTAGTGGTGTGCGATCGTCTAGTGAGATAAGTAATGGCCGATTTGGTAATGAAGGTGAAAGATTAAAAATAGGGGATAGAGTGGTGGTTGATGGGTTGCGATTGGGAGTTATTAAGTATTTAGGGCCAGTAGGTACTAAGCGGAACTTAGTTTGTGGGATTGAGTTGGATGGTCCTTGGGGGAATACTAATGGTACTCGGGCTGGGAAGGTTTATTTTCAATGTGCAATAGGGTATGGAGTCTTTCGGGATGCGAATGAGGTGCGGAAGTATCGAGCGAATGATTATAATCAGACGGGGATGTTATCACGAGAACCGGCGGAATCGGTGGATGAGAAAGAAGAGAAAGAAGAACGAGGAGTGAAAGAATTATTGGATGAGAATGTGGAGATACAAAGGTTGGTGGAAGGACTTAGGAAAGAGAATAATGAATTGACGATGGCTTTAGCGGCCGAAAGACAAACGAGTGAGCGGCTGAGAGGGGAGGTAGGGAGACTAGAGGGCGAGTTAGGGAAGCGACGTAGGGATGAGTTGGGAGGTGGGAATGGGTTGGGATGTGGGTGCATGAAGAAGGAAGAGGTGGTGAGTGTAGGGGAACGGAGTAGTAAAGTGGGTGAAGGTTGGAGAGGTAAGTTGCTGGATGGATTAGGAAAGTCGGGAGGTAATGGAGTAGGAGTAGGACGAACAGCCCAAGTAATTGTAATGGAGTTACTGAATGAAGTAAAGGATAAGATAGAAACTGAACGGATTCTTCTAGGAGGATGAGTTGAGTTAGATTGAGTTGGGTTGGATTGGGGTGGGTTGAGTTAGATTGGGTGAATAGTGGAATAAATGTAGCCGATGTATTATTAAGTTGAATTGAGTTAAGTTAAGTTGAGTTAAGTTGAGTTAAGTTGAGTTAGTATTAAGTTGAGTTAGTATTGTATTAAGTTGTTGTAATGCTCATGGGATGCATGTATCTCTTAACTAATACACACCCTATGAAAGACAGTCCTTGAGACGAGTGGTGCCTTTTATTAGATAATTATGGGCTTGGATGAAAGCATGCCATCATATCGAAATACATATAAGATATGTAGACCCAATTTAGTTAAAACATCCTGGTCTTATTAAAGTTATCGGTTAGTGGTAATATCAATAGATAGTTATTATTGAGTAGTTTGACAGCAATCGGACTGGCTGGGTGGAGAATGGGATGGGTTGGATTTAATAGTTGGGAAATGGTATAATGTGAAAGTGGGAGTGTTATTAGAATTAATGGATGATTATTGGTGGGTTGGTGACGTGTGGAGGAGTTAAGGAAGTAATTTATGTAATGGGGTAATAACTTATCATTATCTTAATATAAATTGTGAAAAAGTACAAATATTGTTGCTATCTCATATAAAATGACAAAGAGAATACGTTGGAAAACCATAATTTGGATTGTTATATGGTGCATAATTGTTTTCTGGATATTGAATATATGTAGTGAAGTAGTTATATGGGCAATGCCGCGTGGCTCCAGAAAGTCAATGCCCTCAAAAAGCTACGCTCCTATCTTTTCGGTACCACAACATATAAGAGAAGCTATAAAGCGAAACCCAAACACTACCATGGCAAAATATATGCGCTTCTTGCTGGACGAAGACGATGGCCAGTCCGTAGTGCGTAGTCTAGGGAGAAGGCCTTTCCTGAGGTTTTCTCCACCAAATCTACAGGCCGACGAGGCAAATGCTTTTTCTACCCAGAATCCGGCTAGTCTACTGGCTTTATCGACTGCTAAAGCAATGGGCACATTAATGCAAGAGTTACTGGCGGCCGAAACAAATGAAGAAGGCACTCTTCCAGAGCTGCTGATTTATTCTTTACGTCCAAATCCCCATTCTACCAACCCAAAGATCTACTCAATTGAAATTCACAACCATGCAGTTGAGTTTTCATTTGACTATACCATTGAGTCGAGTCCCGTCTGTGACCTCTTAGCAAGTCTCAGCAAACAGTTCGGATATGTTTATATTAACCAACTGAACATTCCGAATTGGAGGCTGACAGAGTCAAGTGATGCCATTCGGGCTTTAACTACTATTATGCCGCTGATTCGAGCCCGCTCTATCTATATTGTGGAAACAGTGCCAGATAGGAGCAAGCCAGTTACTGCAGATCTAAATCTTCTGTTCCAACAGATGCAAACAACCTATTCTATCCGCGATTTTCCTGGGCCCGATCACAAAGGACACACTATAGTTGCTCGGGTGCACACTTCAGCAACCATATCTCTTATTTCCATAATAGCTAGATGTGCTTTAACTAAGTCTGTTGTTATCCACTTTCAATACAATCTTGGCCTAAAATCCGCTTTTAACCTACTGGGACCTGGACCAGAGTCAACGTCCGAGCCCGAACTTAACCCAGAGCTTAATCCGTATCCTGAACTCAACCCGATGCCCCCACACCCATATGACTTGGATGAAATCATAGACAACCCCATCGTGCCCCAAACCTGGATGGAGATTCACGATGCTAGCAATATTGATAGTCCACCAAAGTCCAGGTCACGCACATCCAGCCAGACGTTTTCACTATCCTTTAAGATAGATGCAAGTGTTCAAGCATTATGGGATTATTACACCCAAAACAATCTTGAACAATTTGCGCCCGTGACAAGCAGCACCTTAAATAATCTTAAGCCGTTGTTTCGTGAAAGGAATGAATTAGTTACGTTTAGATGCGATCCAGAAACGGCTAAAGCACTTACTCCTCAATTCTTAGACAAGTTCGTTGATTTGGTTTTTGATATTTACAAGAATGAACTACTCATTCATATGATTAGGCTAGAAGGATTTACGGGTGAAGTTGACCAATCAGTTATATTAGACGCAATGCATGCGTCGCGCCTTAATACTCGCAAAGAAAACAACTCTATACTAGCACAAGATATTGAACACTGTACCAATATTAATGGCAGAGTGGATTACCTGTTCCAAATCCAGAAGTTCCTAAAAAGAATCATAGAGATAAGGATCAATAATTGTTCTGGCAGCTTCCTCGCGTGGTTTTTGCATAAGACATATAGGTTATGCGATATAGTTTATCTGGTTCTAACATTATCTGAATCTACATGCTGTATGAATAGGTTTATAACCAAGCTTAATCTGGCCAAAGACCGAGCACTAGTATATTCAATTAGCGTCTATCAGGTTGTGGAGGCTTCGCTAAAGAGCGGCACCCCTAATCCATACTGGCTGGAGTCGGACTTAACTAACGACAGGCCAACCGAACAAACCGAACAAGAGGATCCCCCGTGTCCTGTTTGCCAAGACATATTTGAGAGACCTTCACAAATAGCTCCTACTTTCGGACAGCATAGGATGGGACCGGTTTATACCCCGCATAGTGATACTCCAATGGTAGGATCGGCCACATCAATCCGGGTATATCAACTACCGCATAATATTGACTATGAGACTTTATGCCAACTACTTGAAGAAGGCCAAAATGATTGGGAAGCCCAGCCAAAGAACACCAACAATCAGCATTGGTTCTGCCATTCTGTCACCTTCCAACTCTACCAGAAACCACACAAAGACGTAGTCAAACTAATCTACCAACTAACCAAAACCATAATGCTAATCCATCCATGCGTCGAATACATCAAATTTAAACCACTCCTAGTCACTCCAGAAATTGCAGCCCGGCTAAAGTCCAATACTGATAAATACTCTCTTTCCTTCCTCCGCTATCTCAACCAGAATATGATTGTCGAACTCAACATGATAGACATCACTACCATGAAAGACGAAACATACGCTATTGTATCGGGTATACCCGAGTACGCCGTGACTCTTTATCGCTGCTTCCGCCCCAACTCCACGATCGACCACCGTCCATCCACTAGCGCCCAACATCCCCCCATCCCCACCAACCAGAATACATCTTCGCCATCCGAAGGCAATCCCGTTCCTATGGCCACCGAGTCATAATCCAATACCAACAGAACAAACAACACTATTTCAAATCGGGTTATTATTAAACAACAGATTATGATCTTCAAACATGGATTGTGATCTTCAAACCCACCCAATCGAGCTAAGCCAGTAATGGACTATAACCAATAAATCAGATAACTAGTTGAATTCATTTAGTGTTTATTAATGCATTGTGCAACTCAGACTTGATTTGCTCAATGTATACCAGAGACCCTTCAATATCAATCTGGGCATGAGAGGGCGAAAAGGACTTAGCCGTAAGCCCGTGCAGTTGAAGAAGAGAATCAATCTTAGCCAAAGAAGTCTGTTTAACCAATGAAATACTCCGATAGACCTGTAGACTATGTAGTTCATCAACCAGTTCGTGAGCAGGCGTCTGTACAACCATTAAAGAATTTCGAGAGCCAGTCCTTCTTCACGCATAAAGAGAACACCTTTATCTGGACTAGAAAGAACCACCAAAGCCACCGAGCCATTTTCAAAAGCAAAGTCTCTAATTTCCGGCCCAAGCTTATCCACACACAGAACTAGCACATCCGGAACCGTATCTAAAACAAAAGGATCAGTCTTAAGAGGATAAGTCGGGCATCTATCCGGGGATGTCGGTGAAATATGCCGGCACCTAATAATGCACTCCATTGCCCGGAAGTACTCATTAATATCTTCACTACCTTCACTACCAAAGTACCACATAATCTCCTTAACAATAGCAAGAGGACAAAAGACAACTCGTTGGCCAAAAACAGTTACAACCGCCGGATTAGTCAGAATTTGGCACTCTTCACCAATATGCAACAACTCTCTTGATGGCGGTGTATACGGCACCATCAAAGGCACATAATCTTCAGCCCCAGGAATCAAGCACACCTGTTTCTCCATTCCAGCTATTAACTCCCGTAAACCAAAAGAAGATAGTTTCTTATCAATTACATCAATCTTACCAGTCTTATCAACTCCATCAATCTTACCTCCATCAGCAACTAATCCTTCCAGTAGAAAGACCTTCTCTGGTACTTTACCTCGAGTCTGGAACAGGTTGAGTAAAGACTTCTTCCCTCCTAAACCATTGACACGGGGCAGAACCACTACTTCTTGCTCACCAAAATCCATCCGTTTACAAGGCGGACTCTCACTATCACCTACTGAAACAGGAGGTTGAGGTCCAGTATAAGCAGTAATGGGATAGATTACTTGGGTGACTTTAAAGGACATTCCTACTTTCTGACCAATTAAACCTACTACCGCACCAGAGATAAGACTTTTCTCTTCATCTGCTGGCAACTCAAGCTTAATCCTTTCTATTTCAGCACTTTCAATAAAGTACTCCTTCTCCTCTGTAATTGCTGGATCAACTACTTCGCCTACTTTATCTATTTGGTGAATTATCTTAGCTACAGATGCTCTTGCAGTTGTTATGCTAATACAGCCGATCAGTAGAGTTTCTTGTTCCATAGGAGTTGTACTTTTAGTGTATCCTAAACCTCCTAAGTACTTTTCAAGTTCACGGCCCAAACGCAATGTTCTATCTTTATACATCTCTGCATATTGCACGGAATAATCCAAATTAGTACAATCAAGTCTTTCCATGGGCAAAATAAAAACCCGTTCTTTACGCATCTCTTCTTCTCTTCTCCTTCACCTCTTCTTCATCACTCCACATCATATCTTATTACATCATATCTTATCACATCTAACCAGTTGTCGACCGAACTTGTCTTACACCCAATACATCCACTTACAATACAATACACCTCAATAAGATACCAATACTAATAAGATACCAATAAGATACTAATAAGATACCAATAAGATACTAATAAGATACTAACAAGATACAAATACTAATAAGATACAAATAAGATACTAAACCAACTCAATACAAATACCAATCTAATCTAAACTAATCCAATTTGGTAATGAAGTACTTCTTTTCTACAACCTCGGAATTCTTAAGTGATAGTTTGATAACGGCATGAAGAGGTACAGATTGCTTAAGTACATCAGAAGGCTCAACTCTTTTTAGATGACACATAATGAGCTTAATTACTGGTACTGAGGAAACCACTAAAGTCTTATCCATTCCCTCTAAAAGAAGTAAAGTTTCAATCGTATCTCGAACTCGGGACTCTGAAGCAATAGCTAAACAAGGTGCCTCGACTTGAGAAATATTTCCTAGTTGAGAAACAGTCTCTTTTCCTATCTCATCACCAGGATAAAGTACTTGGCCGATTCTTTCCTTCTCACAAAACCCGCGTAAGTCCTTCTTGAACTTATTCTCTGTTTTCAACGACCTAAATGACTCTTTCCGACGATCTTTCTTCTCCTCAGTATGAACGAGTTTATGATACGTAGCTAAGTAAATCGTCCATTTCTTCTTAGTTGAAGTTTTTGATAAGATCTTCATAACTAGATCTAAAATACTGGTCTTGTAAACAAAAAACAAGGTATACCCCGTATGGAGTAGATAAAGAGTACTATAACGACTGTACAGATAGATACCCTGGGATATTTTCGTGCGCCGGTACAACATAGCGCGCTTCTTCAACTCACCAAGCAGGAGAGAAAGCTTCTCCAAGTACTTTTTATTGGCCAAAGTCACTCTTTCCTTGATTGAGTTCCCAGGTGGTAAAGCCTGAACAGTCACTGAATCATCGGCACTCAAAGATACTTTAGCAAACTTATCCATTACTTCCCTAACCAAATAGTCGTACTCCGGACGTACTCCTAAATCCGAACGAATTGCTGGTATTTCAGCCGACTCTAAGATAAAGATAGCATTGGTTTCAATCGAGTATCCAGAGCGAAAGTACCTTTCTCGTCGTTCATAAGGCTCAGTCAAAGAATCACAGACAAAGATAAAGTGTTCAGGTTCGACCCCCAACAAAGATAAAAGATGAATAAAGGTCTCCCGATAGGTTAACTCAGATAAGTGCTTCTCCCGAGGCCCAGAACCCAGCAAAGATAGTGCTAAACCCTCTAAATTAACCTCATGAACAATAATGCGCAAATGTGAGAAGAAAGACCGAAATACACAATATAGATGATTAGCCTTATCCGGCTTAAACCCTTCAATGATCAAAGCAAGTCTCTGTGGAGGAGAAGCATCCATCTTTTTAAAATAATATGAAAGAGATACAAGTAATTCCCACTTCTTATCCTCTTCCTCAATCTCTAAGTAATCTCCCTTCTACTTCTGAAGCTATTATTGATGGTCGGCCGTATCGTAAGTTTACTACAACTCTTCAGTCGCTAGAACATCCAGGGCTTCCCGTTTATCTCTGGGTGGAAGAAGGCCAGACTAATCCATTTATCGATCTTATAACTCAACTTAACTTAGTGTCGAGAACAGTCCCGACTAGTTTAATATCAACTACTACCAATCCTAAACCCAAACCAACTACTACTCTGGATCGTTTCTTTAAACCCACTACTCTTCAATAAACCTACTTATTATCTATCATTTAGGCAATTTATTAATCACTTGTCAAACTACGGGTTTATTAAGACTCTATCTTTATTTATCTTGAAGCAAGTACGTCATAATACTAAAAAAGGATGATAGAATTTCAATTATGACCATTGATAAGATCAAAGTAAATTGTCAATTTGGATTAGCTCAGATTAGATTAGAGTAGTTCCTATACTTATGATCCCAACGCAATACTAACTCAATACTAACTCAATAGATAGCCAAAACACATACTATTGGGTTAACTTAACAAGATATATACATTACTTTATTGGTTCGATTGAGTTGTTGTTATTATTGTTATTGTGTATCAATGAAATCCTATTGTTTACTAGTCTAAAAATTTGATTAAGTAGCCAATCAGCTTTGACAGAAAATTTTGATATTTTTGTAACGGAATGTTTTCCTTAAAAGGAAATTTACTAGCAATAAATATGATTGTTTTTTGCTCTTTTTATGGCTGTTAGTCAACAATATTTCGCTGATCTGTCTCAAAGATACTTTAGCTTTGATGTGAATTCTTTAAATGCTGAGCAACGATCGGCATTGGAGAGGATATATGCTCTTATCAAAGACTGTATACCCACTACTGCCACAGTCACTGCTAATCATACACCCGCTACTGCCATAGTCACTGCTAATCATACACCCGCTACTGCCATAGTCACTGCTAATCATACACCCGCTATTGCCACAGTCACTGATAATTATACACTCATAATGGCCATTGCTGCTGTTGTGGTTGTCGTACTGGTATTGGCTATACTAGCTATCGTTCTAATTGCTAATCATAACTCACATAGAGGATCTTATACACTCAGACATGCATCCGACGAATTAGTCATAGACACCACATACCCAAATCAAGGCGACTCCTCGCACATAACCACGCATGGTTTAGTAGATTCAAAACTTACGAGGCCCAATTCCGATGGCCGTGTTAGCACAGTGCCAGATATATCCCATGGTTTATCTACTGGGCATGTCGAGCATAGTGATCCAGACAAGGTGGAGATCCACGATAACTTTGACATCCCAAGACCAACTGTGTCCCTTTCGAGCATTCAAAGCCCTCGAACGTACACAAGCGAACCAATTCCCGGACCCGCTGCCCCCACAGAAAACCTGGCCGGTTCCCATTCAAGCCAACCATTTGGTTCTCATGAGTCTTTAGGTTTAGAAAGATCTACTTTACATTCCAGTGTTGATAGCCACCGTGTTTGGCCCGCTGGCCGCCTACGATCAGCTTCGGTTGGTGGTTCCCTATCAGAGCACACGTCGTCCGACCCCTGGCAGCTTAGAAAAGAAGCAGGTAAACCACAACGGGATAATGAACCTAGTGTTAGTCCGAGCCCCGAGCTAAAAAGACCCGAGGAATTGACTGGTTCCACTGGGTCTTCCGAGCCATATTTTTCAAGGGGCTCAAGAGGCTCCCAGGACACCATTATTGAAAAACCTCTCAATTCATCACGGGATTCAAAACTCAGCCTAGATCTATCATCTACAAGCCAACCTAGTGACCCAAGCAGCTTGGTTGTGACCCAACATTCGGAAACCCCCTCAGAACAGGCTGGACCTAAAGATGACGTCACAAAATCTACTGCCGATCGCAGCTTATCAACCCAGGAATCAACTGGTGCCCCAGAACAACAGGCTACTTTGACTAAATACAGTACTAAGAAAACATATCCCAAAGTAGATGTTAGCCAACGAGCGCCTCTGGTAGAGTTTGATGGGGATGGTGATATCCAACTGGTTAGTCATCAGGAACAGACAGACAGTTCAGAGTCAATGAGCGGAGATAAGACTACTTCTACAGGGGGTTTAAAAAGACCTGGTGAATCATCAAGCAGTCGCGGCTTTGCACCATAAACATCAAGCGGACCTCGACCGATCACTTTTGCACCCGAAAGACCATCTACCTATCTGGTGAATGGCAAGGAGAAATGCCCGGGCATTTTAAAGCATCCATCTATTCTCCAAGCAGTGCAAGACAAGCAAAGGTTGAATGAGTCACTATCTGAGTACCCCCCAATGCCTACCACGAAAGTCCAAAAAGATCTTTCCACTCAATCAAGACATTCACCCGATACTATTTCTAAGCAATCAGAGGATTTAGAAGTTTCGAAATCAACCACAGCAGAAGAAGATCCTAAAGGCCCAAAATCAACTACTCCTCAACAGAAGACTCAACCAACTGAATAATCATCACCCAATGACTCTTCCAAATAATCCGCTAACTCAACCCACTACTAGTATTCAATTTGAAGTAGTCTCCGTAATAAGCAAATGCAATTAATAAATCAAAACTACCTTATCAAGATAGCATAATCTAACTCTTTATCACATATCCAATACCACTCCACTCCACACCATCCCTTCTAACTCAACTCAACTTAATACAAGTAAACACTTTATTAATCTAGTCCATCTTACTATCTAAGTTGGGGCAAAATACTCAGAGTACTTGGCAGTCCCCCTACTACCTTCCGACCTAAATCAATCCCAAGTGCCGCCAAAGACCCGGTCACTAATCCAGCCGAGTAAAACCCACCCATAAAAACCAACCCACCCGGCGACAAACTCTTCACTCGTTTCTCATTAACAAAGGTAGAATACTCCAAAACAGACCCTCCATAAAAACAAGTCAACACACCAGCACTTCCCCAAACCCAACTCTTCTTCCTATCCTTCTTCTCCCTATCCAACAAAGGATAAGCCATACCCAAACCAATCATTCCCAAGACAACTCCAGATCGCATTAAATTTTATGGAAGCCGCCCACAAAGCTCCACTTGGTCTTCTTATTCACTATCTAAAACAACACATTCCCGTCCAAATCACTCTAATTAATCATGAAATCCACAAAGGCTACATAATAGGTCTAGACGAACATCTCAATATTTCCCTACAATCCCCAAACTCCCCCCAACTCACACTCCTCTACGCCACCTCAATCCTCACCATCTCCACCCCC